AATATTAAAGAAGATTCACTTTAGACATTTTTAATTTTCCTCTGTTACATGTTAATCTATGTCATGATATAGTCCACACAGGAGAGCCCTCTTTAATTATATCAGAAAAAAGACGAACAATTCACATTATGGTACGAATATTTCATATATTTCAATGTCTTTTCATCGATCATGCATAGCGTGCACTTTGTCTCACACAACAAAACAGCATATATAAACATAGATTGTATACAGAATTGTCATATTAATCTCAATAATGTATTGCCTGAAAAATTAGAAGATTGGGGACAAAATTATGACAAGTAATAAACAGTACGTTAGGGCACAACGTTCTTCTTTTCAGTATTGATCTTATACACCCGTCACAATGACAACCCGACTCCACATAGACTCTAACCCAAACGATTCTTGTCGATTGGAGTTCATGTAAGATTTTGTTCAGTCTGGATACTGTGGTGCTGGTCTTTGTTTATGTGACCGAGTTAACGTTAGCTTTCAGCTAACACTCAATTTTTGGCAATTGTATTTGTCCAATAAATAAGGTCCAAATTAACGCCTCTTATTCTCTCCATTAGTCCGGAGTACATGTCACATGACCAATATATTGTAATTTGATACAGTTATGAAATATCTTAACCCTTCCAGGACAGAATTTGTTTCGAGGGCTAAAGTGATCTTCATATTGGCAACAATTTTATTTTCATTTTGTCTTTGACATTGCTGAAATAAATGTAATGTCTCAGATAACAATCGAAATGGGTGAGAATCTTGTTGGAAAGATGAAACCTACCAATTTTGATCAGAAAACAATAACTTTCAATTTCTCAAGTTGTTACCAGTTTAAGGATTTGTTTGTCTTTCATTATTTTAAATTTCTGACATCAAATGTGATATATTCATAAAACAAACAAATATGCAGTGTATGCAGAACTATTAACCATTTCCACTCATGCAACTGGCATATGTTTTAGGGATTTGAATCAATAGTTATTGAACCAAACCACAACTATGGTATGGCTGTCTCGGAAGGGTTAGAGCGTATCAATCAACTAACAACATAATTTGTGAACAGGTACAGTGTACAAATCAACCTGAACAAAAATTGTCTTACACACAAAATAAAATTGATACTTGAAGGTCATATTACGAATTGTATTACCATTTGGAACTTAAACGACACGCAGCAAAGTTACAGTTGGTGGTTTGTCCACTGGAAAGTGTATCAAACGCTGCATACTATTTTGCTCCTTACGTAAGGGGTTCTATGTCGCTATACTACATTTAAAATATGAACTTCGAATATTACTTCTGCACAGTTATTGCATGTCAAAATACACTTGTGACACAATGATCATTAAGATTAGTGCATGAACGGGTGTATCTCGATAATGGCACATAACTACATATTATTCATATACTTTTAAATCATCTAATAATTTCCTCGATATATATATACATGTATAAATTTGTTAGAGTTGAGAATTCTCGCACTTTTACATGTATAAATATATATATCACCCGTCCCCCGGTCAATTACAAAATGGACAATTACCCCCCGGAAAATTACACACCATAGACTTTATCTTTCGCCGTGGTTAATTACCCCCCCCCCCCCCCACTACCCTCGGACAAAATGAATATCAACTTATAATCAGGGTAAACTTCCCCTTTAACCCTTACAAAGACTGAGCGATTTTGAACCTTTAAAGAAACGGGGGGGGGGGCTAAAAAGGGCCACACCCTCCTACGATCTCGGCAACCGAAACTCCGATCGACTCCGAATTTGGCATGGTGAAAGATTTCCATGAGACCTACAATATTGCATAGTTAAAATATCCTTTTGAATTAGAATATGCTAATTAGAGCTAGATAATTATGCTTTTTTTATTTGTTATATATACATGTATATATGGTAATTCTAGTGAAACAAAACTGTGTCCATAGTACAATATACATGCTAAGATTATATTAACACTATCTATGATTTTGTAAAAGGTAAATTATGACAACTATCCAATTTATGAACAATTATGATGTTATAATATATCATGAACACGTGTTTTGGTGACGATTTCATGTGAAGTTATGACAATACATTTTACTTCTTGTTGTTTGGAGCGCTTGTTTTTTGGTCTTAAAATCACGAAAATTGATTTAGTTTTACCGTTTTCTATGTTGTTTTCTTTGTTTATCTTTGTATAATTCTTTATGTATAGTATGGTTTGATACAAATGAGAATGCTATTAGTTGTACTCACCATGCTATATGGGAATACTTACAGTACATGTGAAAAGATGGGTATAAAACTGCAACATTATTAGGGAGCATTTACACTGTATGTCATTTTTTGTTCACTTCAGTGACACACGATCGCAAAATGTTACACAACGCCCGGGCAGTTTGCCCTGTGTGTGCAAATTTGGTATCAGAGGATGCGCAATACTCTAAGGAAAAAGTCTTGAAGTGGCCCCGTAAAATATTAAAGAATTACAAAGAAATCACAAACATAGAGGAGTTGAAGGTTAAATCACCCGAAGTATTTTCAGGGTTAATGAACAGTATGTCATTTTACAGGGAGGAGGTAGTTGTCCTCGGGAGGGGCTTGGTTGCCCTTGGGGGCAATATTGCGGAGGTAAATTTCCTGGGGACTGTTTTTCTTGGGGAGGGGCGTTTTCCGGGGGTGGGGGGGGGGGTGTCCAGGGGATATAATACCCTGATACGGTTATTAACAAAACATTGTACAGTCGAGAAAATAAGTGTTTTGTGTAAATAATTGTATTAGCTAATATAACTTTTTTTTTGATGCTCGAGTGTAAATAGACACATCAATTGATGCAGACACACACACTCTCTCTCACAAACACACACACACACAAACACACACTCACTCAAGTATTGTCTTTTCAACAGTGTTCTTGAATACAAACGTGGTTACAATGTTAAAATTACACTTGAGTATACTGTCAATTTCATGTAGTTTGTGCATCATAAGAAGAGAAGTGGGTTTTCACACAGAACGTATACACATGCACCTTTGAACTAAATGGCGGTATTCATCTTTTTTGTATGTATCTAAGAAAGGCGACCTATTTAGGCCTTAAGTGGTGAATAATTTGAGATTACAATAAGTAAAGTCCTCGATATTAGAGCAAAACTTGTTACTTGCGTTCATTACTACATGTAAATTTGGAATTTCTCTAGTTCTCTCTCTCTTTCTCCATCTACCACTACGGGACTCTATCAGTATCAATCTACAACACCGTGTGTATACAACAAGATAATGTACAATTATTGACAGGGTAGGTTTAGAGCGTCACCTACATTTTATTTCGTATAACTACTGTATTTTCTAATAAAAAAAAGCAAAAGAGGACAAATACAAAATACAAACTATGAGACATGTGTTAAAAGTACTTTACAAATTGTTTACACAAACAGTACATAAACCAAAGGGCCTCGTCTTTGATACAAAGAGTTGATATCGACCGCAACTATGTACATAAAGAGAAAGGAGACTACCAACTTCCGATTGATTTGGATCAATCGTTACGATTTGTAAGACGGGGCCCTGGAGTCTAAACGAAATAGTTGCTCCATTTTACAAATATGAATTGACTTTTATTGTTCGAAAAAATGATTAGTAACAATAGTTACTGTTATCACAATATCTGTAAGTATTATAAATATGCGAAGTGACATTTTTACCAATAATAACAGAAATGCAGTAAACTTGAAATATCATAACGTTTTTACATTATTTAGGGTGTTTATTCAACAAATAAAACTTCCGACTGTTAAACTAGGACTAATTTGTGTTAATACATTGCTATTGGCTACATCAAACCAAACTAATGTGTTCTTGTATCAGTTACAAGAGCTAGAAATGTAATGGGTTTCAGACAGGCGTAATTTGTGTTAATACATTGTTCTTTTTCTACTTCATAACAAACTAATCTCTTATTCTTTTGGTTCCAATTATTCAAATTAATGGCCTTTCAGAAAGGGTGCAAAGTGAATACGAAGGAATTTTTCATTAAACTTTAATAGCAATACAAGTTCTTTAATTGTTTTTATGTTCGTACGTATAAATTGTATTGTTTGAACAGATGTAAAATATGTTGTCAAATGGAATGGAGGAAAATAAATGTTCATTTGAATTGAATTCATTTAAACCCTATGGTATAATAATACTACTTGTAGTCATTTCTATAGCTCCGCCTATCTACACATTCTATTCCGAGGCGCATTTATTATTAAACCGGCTTTAGCCTAACTGCCATTACAGCGCTCTAGCATTTCGAGGAATTAATTCCTGCCAGGTACCCATTTACCTCACCTGGGTCGAGTGTGGCAAATACAGATTAATGCCTTGCCAAAGGACATTACTGCCGTATCAGGGATCGAACCACGACCTGGATATTGGATGGCTTTGAGTGTGATAGAAGAATATATTCATCGAGTTATGCAATATTGAACAAGGCAGAGACGAGTCTAATATTGTCATAGCGGGAGCAATATATTCTTGTATTACACGAAAACAAAGCCATATAATATTTTACTACTATTATCTATATCAGGCTGAATAGGGACATAACAAAATTGTAATTACCTCGGTAATTATGGCTTTTGTGTGTGTGATATCGATATCGATAATTGAAGTTTCCGGATGACTGAGCAATACGAAGACAACAGTTATCCGGATACTGCGCTAAAGATATCGAATAACACTTATTATTGTACCTCTTGGAAGCCTTATATCGATAATAATGATCATTACTTCATTCAAATATACAAAGTTATCACAATACTACTCAAGAAATATAAAACCAAACAAAATAAAGTTTTAAATACTATGAGAAGAAAAAAATTATAGAATAATAAGAACTAATAAGAAGTCAATCAATATTGTACCCATTTTCAAGTTAAACATAGTATAGTATTAAATCACTGGCTTCTATTTATTAAGTCTCAATTTGAATTGATTTTAATTTTAATTAGTGTTAACAAATCTACAAGGATGCAAGAGAGGAAAAGAGGATAAGTGAATATGGTTATCAGACAATTACAACAAAATGTTTGCTCTACATGTTAATGTTATGCTACGGTCACAAATGTTCGTACGAACGATTCGTTCGTACGAATCCCCCTGTTTCTACGAATTTCAGAGTTCGTAGAGATTCGCAGATGGGGCATATATTCTTACGTCCTTCTTACGGAGTTCGTACGAACGCCGTTTAATTCGCAAGAACAACTCAAGACCTTCTTGAGAAACGAAGTGATTTTCGGTTATACAATGGCCCCAGAGTTTGTACGTTTTCGTAAGAACGTCTTGTGTTCTTCTTACGTCAGACGTACGCCAATCTTACGAGTTTTTGTTCTCGTAAGGTAGTCGTACGTTTAACTCACGGCATTCACAAGTCATTCGTAAGAAGAGCTTAAGATTTTTTTTTCTATTTGGTCGGGTTGCAAAAAAAGCGCTGCCGTATACTGTCGAAAATTCTATGACTGTTGAAAGTTTGATATTACACGATGACAGTATTACCAAGAAGACTACAACTGCAACTGCAACTCCATAAAGTGTTTCTTGAACTTGCTGTTAGCATATCTGTTACTTCCTTTATTATAAAAGCAGTCATGTTAACCGAAGAAGTCAACAAGTTTTTGCTCTGTGGTGGCATCAAAGACATAGGACTACTTCTCCTTTCTCAGTTTCCCCGTTACCTCATCTTCATCGCCGTCAAACTGCCGTCTTGATGATTCTCCCTCCTCCTCGTCGTCGTCATCTTCCACCGCCTCCTCCCGGTCGCTTCCGATATGGCCATCATTTCTTGATATCAGGCGCGCCGAAAGCAGTTTGGGATTGAAGCTCAAAGGTTTTCGGCATCTAATTACGGTCAGATGAGCATATTTTGATATCTCATTTGTGACATTGGTAGGTCACACATTTTGTTCTCTCTCTTTCTTTCCTTTCCTCTTTTTTTTAAAAGTGAGGGGGGGGGCTCGAGCCCCGAGCCTCGCCGTTCTGCAGGCCCTAACATGAAGGCTTCTAAATAAGCACATTTTTATGCCCAGCTGTAAATTTGGGAATTAGTAATTTTCAAACAAACGCATCAAAAGATATGATTTACCAAAAAGTGGGAGAAAAAATACCGGAAAATCATGTCATTTCAGCAACGTTTGTAAATCACTGGTATCGAATTAGAAATACCCCCCCCCCCCCCCCCCGCTCATTGGTACGCCAGTGTTCAGGGGCTCATGTCTTCTCACCACTATAATATTAAAAAAAAAAACTTTCCCATCCTCTTACAATATTTCCACGATATGCGCAAATCGCATATATTATAAAAACATCCATTGATAAAATGTATTAGCAAGCGAAATGTATACGAAATTTAATCTCTATTAACTTTCCTTTTCTTTGAATGGAATATAATTTAATTTAATTTAATTAAATTAAGTTTGGTTAAAAAATACAAACCATCTATACTCCTTTACTGCTTTTTTTTATAGGGGTGGGAGGGGGCGAATGCCCCCCTGCCCCTCCACCCCCCCCCCCCCCCACTTCCGGCGCCTCTGCTTGATATTGCTGTTGCCGCTCTCCTCCTCTTTCTCCTTCCTCCTCATCTCTTTCCTCTAACAGATTTCCTCTTTGGTCCCAAATTTCTTCGACTGGAGATGCACCCTCGACGAACACTATGAACACAGTGAGGCTTTATAACCCTTAAAACTCAAAATGTGCATAAATTGTGTACGTACACCTTACGAGCACCTTACGAACTTCTTACGAACGCCAGGAGTCATTCGTACGAAGACCACAAGAATCTCCGCTCGTAAGGCGTTCTTACAAACGCCTTACGAGCCTTCTATGAACAACTTGAGGCGTTCTTACGGTCATCGTAATAATTTGAAGCTTCTAAAAATGTCCCTCCACCCTACGAAATGTACGAAGATCTTGCGTGGTTCTTACGATGTAATTACGGCGTTCGTACTGCCGCCTTACGAAGAGAGGGTTTCGTACGATGTTAAAAAAAATCTTGGACAAGACCATCGACCAATCTGCGTTCTTACGAACGGTCTACGAACGGTCTACGAGCGCTTGTCTCGTACGGCCGCCTTAAGAAGATCTTACGAAATGGTCTGAAAATCGTTCGTACGGCGTTCGTAGCAGCCCGTAAGGGTATTTGTGACCAAGGCATTATCAGTTTGTGCTTTCTCATACACAAACGAATTAAATATCAATCAAATAATATAGCAACAAATAATGTGTATTAAAGGTTTGCATCTTGCACTCAAGAAAAACAATCAGAAAACGATGAGTCAAGACATAATGTGTCTGGATTCGTTAACTTTGCAATATCAATCATTTGTTGAAACATCATAGTGAAAACATTACACAATGCAAGAAATATTTTTTTTTTAATGTATTAATCTATTTCGAGAGGGGAACTCAATCATTGTTTTGGGCAATGACATCTATATACAGGTAATTAACATTTATCGAGAAATATAAGTATCATCTCAATCTATTAGTTATTACAGAACAAACTATAGAATATAAAATCTAGGCCCGTATCATAGAAGGGCTGGAGCAGAGAGGTATACCCTATACACGTAATGGAATGTGAGATTGATTACAGTCACCGTGATAATTTGATAAAATACAACATTGTTTCACAAGAAAACGCGAGCATGGTCGGAGAGAGTGAAACCAAATAACACCATTCATAATTGATCAGCTCCAGATCAAGTGCATTAAACACAACTCTCTCCTTTAGGTTCAAACCATCAAGGGCATATAGCCGAATTACCAAGTTACCAGTTTTAGCATCAACGAACGCTACATAAACCCTGTCCTGCTCATCCACGGCAACATAAAGGCTGACCGTATCAGGAGCGTGCAGAGACTTACCAGCATTCCCTTTCCTGTCATAGACCGTCACCACGCTTCCATTGTCTGGAATACATGTACTCGTTATGATCAAACCCGACCTGGTAGAAGATGCCTGCGATGCCCTGTGTTTTGTTGGAACAGTGTGTTTGAGAGTGGATCCAGTCGGGTCATAAATGAAGACTTGGTTTCCATCGTTAGCGATGAGGATATCATCAGATGGACTAACTCTGTTTAGTCTGAGTTCTAGATCTGTGCGATTGCCTTGCATGCGGATGGTTGATTTCCTGGCTCCATCGTGAGAATATATGTGTGCTTCTTTGCTACCCGTCGATACGCACAACGACCTGTCTTGTTGAAAGACAAGATCAAAACACATCATGTTAATAGTTGGTATGTTTGCATACTGCTTCCTTTTACCATGTGAATTAATGATATCTATACCACATGAAGTATGCGTGAGAGCTACGCTGTCCTCGGAGTACGGGGTCATACCCTCCATCTCTCCCCGAAGACCTACACGCATAATGACTTGTACATAGATGCTCTCTGGGTCAAGACGAGTATTACATGTAGGCTTTAACTTCTTCTCCTGTGCTTTCCTCGTAGTGGCTGCCGCAGAAGTGTGATCAGTAGCTGGTTCTAAGATGCTCCCGAGGTCAAGACGAGTAACCCCTGCAGGCTCAAACCTTTTCTCCTGTGTTTTCTTCGTAATGGCTGCCGCAGACGTGTGATCAGTAGCCTCCTTCAGCATGGCATCAAGGTCCTCACAGAGCAAGGTATGAGCAGACAGACTGTATAATTCAAGACGATCCAGTCCGTCATTAGCTATCAGTGTTATTGAGCTACAAATACTCTTTATCCTCTGTCGATCTTTTGATTTCAAGACGTTCAGGTTGTCGTCTGAATTCCGCTTCACTGCATTGATTTGCTCGACGAGATTTCGATGATTTTCTATAAGCTCCTTGGCCTTGATGCTGTAGGCCTGACTGACGTTATCAAGTAGTTTCTGCACGGCAGTGTATACTTTATGGCGGTGTTCTTCAACGTTATGAATGTTCTTCTCCAGTTCTGTCTTCTTAACGGCACATCGCTGGACAAGGTCGTTCACCTAAAAAAAAATAACAGAGAGGTGAATAGAACTTCTAGCATGAGATGTATGCTAACTACATAGATTTGGTTTCAACATGAAATATGGATTCGCGCGCGCCTGAAGTTTCACAAATTTATATATCGTACGACTGTACGAGGATGTAGGAATAGGATTCATTGTTTTTTCTGCTTCATTAAAAAAAGGAACTTGCCCTTGTCTTTCTAAAGTCCATTTGTATGAAAGCAGTAATATCAGACAAATATAACGGAGGCTTACTAGTATTGTTATCATCATAATAATGATAGATAATATTAATACAACTAATACAAGTACTATGATGATGAAAATAAAAAAACATAATTATATTTATACTCTATTGGTAATTATATTTGATAATGATGACGATTTTTCATTTATATTATTACTATAATTGTTATCATGTTCACTTTTCTTCTTGTCCTTATCTATCATTTATGAATAAAATTATCCTCATTGTCATCATAATCATAGACAAAGACAAATATTAATGTATTGTTACGTTGATGCAAAGTATAGGCTCTTGCTAGTATACGCCCTTTTACACAAATACAAACAAAATAAATTAATTAATAAATCAAATTTCACTGATTCCTTATTTGGCGTAAATGGCGTAGCTACAAATCTATTTGGATAATCTGGGCATGTGCCCCTTTCACCCATTAAATGGTAAAATAACAATTTCAGTAAAAATAAAACCACTTTTACCTTAAGCTGTAACTCCTGCTTGAAGTCAGCCTGATTCTTGATGTGGTGAATTTGATGACCAACGATCACGCACTTGAGACAGACATAGACCTTACAATCCTCACAAAACATATCTTTGTTCTCTTGTTTGTGGATGCAGCACTTCTCAGATAGATGACCAATTCTGACTTTCCCGTTGATAATATCCTGTATGGATACAATTTTGTGACCTTTAAAGACAACTTTAAGATGTTGATGACAATCCAGACACTTATCACACATGTAGTTATTACATGTACAGCAGAATGAGACGGCATCTTGCTGACACATGCAAGCAGTGCATTTCGGCCTCATCTCAAGGACAGCTTTCATTCCTCCACACTTGGCGTGGTAATCGTCTACGAGTCCGTTGACCGTCACATTGGTCAGGAAATCATCGACACGGTTCGCAGACAACTTGGTGATCTTCCTGCAGAGAGGACAGATCATGTGATCGAGATCCTGGTGGGAAAGGTCGTAGTTCTTGAGACATTTCCGACAGAAGGTGTGTTCGCATGAAGTCAGGATGGTTGCCTCGTCAAGGATACCAAAACATAGTGGGCACGTCAGGTTCTCTGAGGGGCCTGAAGCTTTCTCTTCCTCATTCCTCTCAGCCATTGGTACAAATATCGGATTTCTGACTTATTACAAGCACGAGCTCATTCTCCGCCTATACAACTTTAAAATGTTACCAGCTGGTGTGCACTAGAAGCCAACCGTCAGTTCATGCAAGCACAAACTATATGTAATGGCGTAGTAGAATTTACCAATATCCTGACTCTACGCAACAAGTGCGTCCTATTAGACTGCATGCAGTTCAAACATTGATTAAAATATGCGTCGAAAAGGGTGCGCCTAACTATAATACCTGAATACAAATAAGGTTATAATAGTAAACTTACACTTGATTAAATTGGTCATCCTATAAATAGAGGTGGGTTTTTCCACAGAGAGCGCTCAGCTTATTATTAATTGGGGCTCTTCATCATTTGTATCTAAAGAGGGCGACTCGTTTAGTTGAGTGGTGGATAGATTGTGTTGGAGGTTTACTTCAGTAGAATCCTTTGTATTAGAGCGCTGGTCTGCGAGACATTTTATGTACTTGTATTACTATGTTTGAAAGGGTAAAGGACGGTCAATACAATAATAATTTCACTTCTTCTTTCTCCACTATTATTCCTTTATCTCCTTCAATTTCTGTCCTTCTCATCCCTTTTTTACGTCACAAAATCTCTTTTTTTTTAACGAATGGAATCCTACGAGGCTACGCCTATTACTATGCAAATTCGCCTTGAATCCACTACTTTCTCTCTCATTATTTATTTTCATAACTTAGGCTTCTAACCATAGTTATGTTGATCATGTATGTTGATCATGTCTGTCTCAAGAACTGATATTGAGAAAAATGATATCAAAAAACAATGTATAGGTCATATTGCAAGAGAATACGATTAATTTAAAAGAACAATTTATTAATTTCATCACAATAGTTCTGTTTGTGATATTACCTTTTGGGGAAATCTGTCCAAAAGATTTTCATTTCATTGTAAAACGACGAAATGCTTGAATGAATGAATCCGTAGTCAAGCTGTTAAGTGATTCAATGTGTACTGCTATCGAGGCCATGCAGGTGAAAAGGAGACCAAATATCTTCAATTTCTTTCTACCTTCCTTAATCATCCAAGGTTCAAAGCAGTCCATCCCACAATATGTGAAGAGTGACGTCTCGGAAACTCTGTCAGAAGGTAGATCCGACAATTATTGGGATTTGAGTTGGGCTGCGTAGTTTGTGGCACATTTTGTATGAGTTTTGATACTCAATTATTGCCTCCAACAACCCAGAATCCCTTCTCTCTGATTTCATTGATTATCATGTCCCCTGATGTGCTGTAATTTCATGACAATGACGAATCATCAGTTCCGTGATTTGGTGACTTTGCGGTAGAATTGCTGGGTGTCTCCTTTAATACATAAGAGTCATCACCTCTTCGAATCCGTCCTCCTATCTTTAGGAGGTAATAGTCATCTATTAAAGATAATATGTCCCTTTTGCAGCCAACATCAAATTCTGTAGAACTTTGCAGGAATTATGAATATGTCATGTATGTCACTCCTATCTGTAAAATTTAAACGTTAGCAGTGTCCTAATATTAAAATTATGCAAGGAAACCCGTTAACTTGCTAGACTTCACTGTCAGACACTATTGAGTGACTGACTGGCTTTTTTCTTCTTTGGTAATAACATACATAAAATGAGCTGTAATGGGTACATGAGCATTTGTCTACGTCAATAAGCCACTTCGTGTAATGGGCAAAATTAAACTGATTGAATCTTTGTGCAGCATAGAACGTACGACCATTCGGTAGAATGGTCTAAAAATCAGACTATTACTTATTGGCTCTATACCTCTTAAGTCGATTCAACAACTAATAGTCGTTATTTTCCCACTTAAAGACATTTTCAAGCCCACCTTTTTTAGGGAAGTTCTAAATTAGTATTATCTTTCGAATGCCGTAGGAATTTAACCTTTTATTTTGTTTGGCCTGCAAATGGGACATAATAACTTTAAGAAGGCATCAAGATCATGTAAACGACTAGCTTTCTTGATTTGTTGCCTCTTTTCTTTTTAAGAGTCGTTCTTCTGGATATATGTCAAGCATGAAATGAAGAGCAGACAAGTTGTGACTGCTTTCCTGATGCGATATAAGGTCAACTGTCTGTTACTTTATCAATTTAATGTCTGAAATGTAAGACTAACAGACAGCGGACATTGAATCGCATCAACGTCTGAAAAAAGAGACTATCAACTTTCTGAACAAATGCTCATACAATGTACATAGCATGATAATTCACAATATTTGTAAGCTTTAACTGTATTTATTGTTAATTATTATATGGGATATGTTAATCTTGTTGAGTAGGTAGATGGAATATATGCTATATTCATATAATATTGACTGGCCTTGAGGGGTATATCAGAAATATTGACCAAGCTCAGATCATATTGCCCCGAGTCGAAAGACGAGGGCAATATGGTCTTAGCGCGGTCAATATTTCTGATATCCCCCCGAAAGTAAAGCCAGTCAATATTTTTATTGTTATCCAAATCAGACATCTAGAGCCAGGGGCGTACGCAGGATTTTTTCAAGGGGGGGGGGGGGGGGGGGGGGGGGGGGGGGGTAAGCGGACACTTTTTTTTTTTTTTTGGAGGCCAAAAAAAATCGCAACGACTCAGCCGGCCGAAAAGTCGCTAAGTGGGGGGCGGGGGGGAGGGGGGAAGGGGGGGGGGGGTGGGGGGGGGGGGGGGGGGGGTAAGCGGACACTTTTTTTTGGTCTCGAAATTTCAAAATTTGACATTTTTTTTCGTTGGGGGGGGGGGGGTAAGGTTACCTCATTTAGGTTAGCCGTGGGTATAAATTTTTTTTTATAATAAAAAAAAAAAAGCCAAAGGGGGGGGGGGGGGGGGTTTAGGTTTTTTTAGGGGGGTTTACATACATAAAAATACCAAGGGGGGGTTGAACCCCCAACCCCCCCCCCCCCCCCCCCCCCCCCCCCCCTGCGTACGCCCCTGTCTAGAGCAAATACAAACATCCACCATGACAATCTCAAGAACTGAACAAACTTTGTCAAACCAAAAAGGTATATATAAGTACTATCTATCTTCTTTTTGTAAAGTAATTTTTTGCTGCTGCCCACTTGCGCGACTTGCGCATTGAATAAGCATAGCAAAGTACGTTACGCGAAATGTCAAAGTCAATGTCAATGTCAAATGAGCCCGCATCGACTGTATTACATGTATGCATGTTGTGCTTTGTAAAATCTAGCTGAAGCTAAACTGTCTGCAAAATCAGTTGTTTTAAAGATGAAGTTGAGTTCTGGTCATGCGATAGCCTCTTGTCGATGCCCTCGCGCTGTTGGAGTCTCTAAATTCTGACGAGCGAAGCGAGTCAGAGAAAACCGAGGCGCCTCCGCGCAAGCGCCTCGGTTTCTCTGACTCGCTTCGCTCGTCAGAATTTAGAGACTCCAACAGCGCGAGGGCATCGACAAGAGGCTACATGCGATTGCATTGTGAAAGAAACGGTGTGGAATCGACCAGAAAACGTTGATCATCTAGCATATAAGAATTTGTGTGTATTGCAAGCAGTGGCGTAGACAGGTTCGTACACCTGGGGGGGATGACTCAGGGGCGGATCTAGCTTTTTGCTAAGGGGGGGTGACCAAAATAATGACGATGCGGAGCATCGTCCACGAGCCGCGAAGCGGCGAGCCGATTTTTTTTGGGGTGTTTATTTGAACCCCGTAAGTGATGTTTTCCTGGCATCTATTAACACAATGGAGACCATAAAAAGCAGTGCATGATAACGTCTTTTTAAATCAAGTAACAGTTAAATACACAGTTATATCCAGAGTTATCATGTGTTTGGGTAAGTTACTAGATGAGTTGAATATCTTCTCACAATATTTGCACTTGAAAGGGTTTCTCTCCAGCGTGCGTTCTTTTTTTTTTCTTTTTTTCTTTTTTTGGGGCCGCCCAAGGGGGGGGGGGGTTTAAACCCCTAAAACCCCCTAAACCCCCCCCCCCCCGTAGATCCGCGCCTGTTTAATCTTGTGGTTATCTTGTGGTTTCCAAACCACAAGATAACCACAAAATACTTGTAAGATTTTCTTTTTTTTACCGTCTGAATTGGCTTTCACCGTGTGAATGCGGCTAATAACAATAAACACAATTACAATAATGATGATGATTATTATTATCATCATCATAATTATTATTATTATTAATATTATAATTGTTATCGTTATTATTATTACTATTATTATCATCATTATGACTTATTAAGTAAGCAAATATCATTCCCCAAAACCTGGGGGGGGGGGATGATTGTACATGCCATCTCCCCCACTGTGAGGTGGGGGGGATGCATCCCCCTCATCCCCCCCGTTGTCTACGCCCCTGATTGCAAGGTTCTAGAATCATCAAAATGATAATAAATTTGGCCAAGTCTTGGTAAAGTTACAAACACTGTACACAGAAAAATGTATATGGGACTACACGAACACGTGACGTAAAAATCCACCCCCCGAGTTTTACGATGTAACTGACATATTTAGAATATAAAGGCATTTGAAGAGCAATGCTTTTCAGGGAACATGTCTTGACTGATGATCTTCCACAATTGCATAATAAGAATTATTACGCTCACAAATTATAATTCACCTCTTCCCAGAACTCAACCTTCTCTTTAATTGTGTAAAATTCACTTTAAATATATTGCCGATGTGGGATATAAAACAAATATTAACCTCCTTTACTCGGGCAATGGATACAAACTATCATCGTCTCGGTGATCTCGGGCTAGCCCCGAGATCCCCGAGACGATGATAGTTTGTATCCATTGCCATTACATTGTTGTTCAGTCTTTTGTTGCCATGCATGTGTTTAAATGTTTTTTATTCAGGGGAGGGATATTCTACTTTTAATCTATAGAATGTACAATATCATTGGTAGTATTGCGTGAGTTTATCTCTTGTTTGTTATTTGGTTTGTTTATTCTGTTGGTGTGCGGTAGATATATTATAAATAGTCATGCTATACCATTTATATAATTTGCGAAGTTTGATTATATATCAGTAGACCATAGGTATTAAACAGTCATGAGGATAGTTGTGTCATGTAAATGCATTAAATGATAGAGTACGGAAGTATGACGTCATAATTGCTAAGTTGTTAAGGTGGCTGGTTCCCTCTTCAGAACTGCGTGTAACTGCAGCTGGTTATATACATCTGATATTCTTTCTACATTCTTTGTTTTAAATTGTTTGGGGGTGGATATGCATATCCCCCCCCCCCCCCCCCCCCCCCCCCCCCCCCCCCCCCCCCCCCCCCCCCCCCCCCCCCCCCCCCCCCCCCCCCCCCCCCCTGTAACGCCTGTAATGGCATATTAAGGAATACACATGTATTCATTTGATTTTAGACAGCTACCATTCATATTCATATTAATCTATTCACCAAGAGCAACGGAGCACATCTTTGTCAACGTCCATGCATTGTGTGTTATGGGGACAATAACTGCTGCCTGTACTTGCAATATTCATGCACTGTATACATGCAAGCCATGTGAGAAGAATGCCCATACATTGGTAAGCAAATCAGTGACACGTGAGCATCAGTTTGACGTAGGCTGGCATACAACTAGACACCATCTTGAATTGCACCTAAAACACAGATTAAACGAGGCGAGTTGTTCTTCTTCAAACCAACGTTAAAAGTCGGTCCACAGACGTAATAATCATATATGATTGATAAACGTCTGTAAAAAACTCAATTACACAAACTTCTTCAAACAGTATCAAATATTATAAAATGAGCCTCTAGACTGTACAGGGTGAGTCAGAAAAAATGTCCAACTTTTTAAAAGTTGTATTGTATGAAGTTTGAATATTTAATCAGGGGTTTAATGAGTTACCCTCCCACTACATTAGGGTACCATTTTCATTTGAATCCCTTCACGCATGACTGAACATCAGACAATCTTCACAAGATTGCCATATTTCACTTGCGCCAACTTACTGGGTGATGAATAAAACAGTGCATTGAACAAAGACAGTCAGACAGACAGAAAGACACACACACACAACCACACACATGTACACACCCACACACACACACACATGCACGCACACATACCCGTCCCTTAGTCCCCTTGAAAACTCAGTTCGGCATGGACAATAGCAGTGGCATTACTATCATCATCGTTATCAACTTTCAAATATAGGGGGATAATATTTCAGATCATCTCCCCACCCAGTGGCCGATCCAGGGGGGGGGGGGGGGGTGGCAACAAAAGTTTTTTTAAAAGATGGTAACCACAAATACACCTTTTTTGCTAAAGGGGGTTGTCGAAATGAAAAAGAAACTGATTTTATAGTTAGTGTTCACTTGTCCCCCCCCCCCCCTCCCGTTGACCAAAACAAAAAAATAAAATAATTGTAATACCCTCTACAGAATAAAGAAGAACACTATCAGAAATGTTTTAGTAGTTTTTCATTTTTCCTGAATCACACAATTAATTTCATTGGTATATATCAATGTTTGTTTTGTACTTGTATGATTGAGAAACAAAATAACGTGAACCAGATATCTTGGACTTATATTTCATTTGACATTTATTTTTGAACATTTCACAAAGTCATGTGCCTAAAGTGTCTGAAGTGTTGAACACATGCTGAAGGAGAAACAAATTGCTTATATATTGTATTTCATTTGACATTTATTTCTTAACATTTCACACAGTCATGCGACTGATACAATTTTCATCAATCAATGGCCTACTATAAATGAATATTTATATTTGTTAAAGTCTACTTGAATGAAATTCGTGTTCATTTAGGGGGAAAAACAATGCATATTTTCACGATCTTCGTGTGCTTGACATAGCTACTGTAATGAGAAATCTCCATGAAATAGTCTGTTCTTATTTTTAAGACATTTATCCGAAACTTGTATAAAGAAGCATTGTGTAAAGAATCTTTGTACAGTGGAAAGGTAATACATGTATATATACAGACTGGACAACAATATTTTTCAAAGAAGCATTGTATAAAGAAAATACAGTCAACTCTGCCTAAGTCCACAGAAATAGCTTGGACTTAAAAGAAATTTGACTTTTATGAAGTGTAAAACAATAGAATATAAGGACAGTGGACTTTAAAGGGAAAGTTGAGTTCTGTCGCAGAGGGCGCTACACAAAATAATTTTTTGTGAGATAAATGAAAAACTGAGTGTCAAATTTGAAAGAATATACAATCTAATTGACAAAATCATCTTTGTTTGATCAAAATTGGTTCAGAGACGGCTGAAATATCCATAAATATAATGATTTATAATACTTGTGTACCACCACAAATATTAGATAATTTGAAAAAGCTGTTGAAAAAAACGAAATAGCGCCTTTTAGCGGGTTTTTGTTGGCATTTTCGTGTTGGTTATATTATGCACAACCAGTCGGCCCATGTATTGTTATTTCTAATTAAATAATTAATTAACGGTCACCGTATTTTTTTGAAAGTAGAGCTGAATTGGTATGATTGAATTGGCTAAATTTCATACATTATGGGTCTAAAATCACCTTCATAGCAATTTTAGGTTCTAAAAGGGCACTAGTAATGTCATAGATAAGAATAAGAGCAATAACCAGGCACTTTGAAGGCATTTGTGGTCTGAAAACAGAACTCAACTATCCCTAAGTAGACAGTCGACTTACGCAGAGTTGACTGTGTTTTCAAAGTGACTTCTTAACTTCTTGTCTGTAAACCTTATTACACCAGGGGAATACAAAACGAGTATACCATCTTATCTACCTTAAACAATAAGGGTTTGTTATGACATTGTTCTTTATAATGAGAGGGGCATATGGCAGGAACTTCCACAAAGGCCTCTTTCAAAAGATGGATTGAACCCACAACCTTTGCATTTCCAGTTAAGAGCTCAAACTACTCAAGTACCGACGACATCTCTTTGAAGCAAAATTGCCATGTCTTCAAAAATTTGATGGCAGGAGGATCGTGTAATGTATTGTGGGCATTAGACTTTTCACATCTGACAGAGGCAAATACGAGGCTCAAACTTGGTGATAGTATGTATCACCATATAGGAAGATGCTCTGATCAGATTTTGAGTAAACTGGTCAACGGTCAAAGGTCGCAGAGGTGAAAAGGAACATAATTCACATACTCCTTTTCTGTGTAAATTTAATAAGATACTAAGATGTGAGGGAGTACAAGCTGACTCATAAAAAAACTACGAAAAAACAAAGATGTGGTTAACTGCATCAAATCTGAACGAGCCTGAACCCACTGTCTATTGACCGGTCTCATTCCTATAGGCTTAGTACAGAAACGACCCTGTTCCTGTAGGCATTGGGGTAAGAAATGTAGTTAATCCTACACGATAATACCCCTCTTGCTGGCTATGTATAAAAATGAATTTGAAAACAAGTTTGTTATCATTTCATGACACCATAACATATCTATATGTTTGAAATTCTAATACAACAAAACATGCACATCGTCTCTCCAGAGACAAAAACGTGAACTAAAGCACAAATAATAAATAAACCAAAAGCTACGTCAACCGTTGGACAATGACCGCATTCATTAGTTTGGCGCCCTCTATCGTCTGGCTGGTGTCGGTGAGAGTCTTATTTGGAAATGTTGTCAAGAGGTTGAAGGATTGTCCGCTATACTGGGGTCTTGATCTGATGGTGAAACTCAAAGTTAAGGACATCTTTTTCATTCATTTGGTTATTTATTTCCAACTTCATATAAAACAATAGATCATTACAATAGTATACATTATACAAAAAATGACATGCAATCATACATGTAAACAGTATCAGAGACACCAAATTCAACAGTCGAAAATGAGAAAAGGGGAACTAAAATAAGGCCAGAGTTTCTTGTAAAATAATCTGAAACAGAATAAAAAGCTAACCGACCTTGTAATTGGTACATTTGTATTGTGATATGGGATGTTATAGATGTGATATAAAATGTATGTGACCTTACACATGTGATACATGATCAAATACGACCATGCTGTGCTGGATTCAAAGCTATTAAAGTATGTGTGTTATTTTCATTAAGTAATACAGCCACACGACACCACACCCCACGGCCGCGTCATACCAAAAGACGTTAAAAGACGGGTGTTGCTGCTACCTTGTTTGCCGTTGAACAATAAGGGGATAGAGCAACGTCGATCTGGCGCTGCTCAGTGGCTGCCGGGCACGCGATCAATTGGGCAAAAAGAATTTCCATTTCAGTTTAACTTAATAAAATTTGGAGTGGACCTTAAAAGATTATTATTATTATTATTATTATTGCAGCGGTGGGATTCAAACCCATGCTATCAAAATGACTGGAGCCAAAAACCATATTGCATGTGTGAAAGCAGGAATATGGAAGAAACAGAATGGCGACAGTTCTAAATAAAACGACCCAAAAACAAGGGAGTCAAGAATGATTGAAATACCCGTATGAGATTACTAAATCTACCGTATATTGACTCAAAATGACAATTTGGTTTGTAGATTATGACGCAGCCACAGTCAACTCCCCTGTTTATTTTGTACACAAATATCTTTACTTTCTGTTTTTCTTCAAAGTGCCTTGAAAGGCATCATAACTTACTTATTTGGCAGCTAAAATGAACGTAAATAATAATGTAAAAGTTGACATACATATTTTGGAACACCTGGATTCAAGATAGTGTGATGGGAAATCTAAAACAGTTACCAACAGGATTAGATCTGGTTCATAAAATAGTTGTGTACACAAAAATAAAAATCGAATTAAAAGTAAATTGATAAATAACTATTTGGTGTAGAGATATTGGAAGCTGATATATTTTAGTACAGAGGAAATAGCAGAGGACCTTTAAAACTATATCAAGGGTTTGCCGATTTGTATTTGATCTACTACAACTTTAGGCAGTCTTAAAATTCAGGTCTTTTATTGCATTTTCCCCACACTTTTACTGATCAGTTCTTCTCATTTTGTTTGCTTTTATGAAACCAGCTCGATATCAGGTTGGACTTCCCCTTTGATACAAGAGGCATATTCACTGAAGTTATGGCAATATAAATAATGCAGTAAAGTGAAAAATATTAATGAAAAGAAAGGATACGCAGTGACGAAATTCCTGATGTCTCCGACTGTGTGACAGTGGTTGAATTTTCCTGTAAGTCTGAGAAAGAAAGAAATAGAAGGAAAGAAATTCATTAAAAAGGCCTTTAAAGGCAGGTGGTCTTCATTTACAGGTTCTTGTAGTACATGTTTTAATAATAAACCATGTTCAAAGGGAACAAAGAATGTGGTCTCTATAGATAGGTGGTCTTTCTATACAGGTGGTTGCTAAAGCAGGTTTGACTGTACATAGCTCGGGTTTATTCTCAAACATATAAATCAATGGAAGCAAACATTTAGGTTGGCAAAATACCATATTTCTACTATATATTGTTCCACAATAGAATGTATTTCTCTAGTGATAACCACTACATGTACCACAACATGTACTAACAACATTATCCTGTCAAATTTATAGAGTACATGCTAGTGTTGATATGCTGATTTTCGAGTCGTCTCTGAAGTAGATAAAGAATGCATCTATTTTTATCTGCCATGCAAGCTGCTCAAGACGTTTCAATGTTACCCTGTTGGTAGCTAAGCTAACTATTTAGGTACTCACAGCATACCAAGGAATTCCTTCCGATTGGTACCATCTGCCACTCTCCACCCAGGTTATATACGGGTACCTGACAATTGCTTGTAAATAAGCAACCAGGGTACAGACGGATTTTAATCCTCTCCGAGGGACTTTGTAATGAGGATGAATGCCTTACCAAAGGGGCACTGGCGCATCAAATTGGGTTTCGAACCCGGACTTCCCGGTTACGAGACCACTGCTCTACCACCGAGCCATTGTGCCTCACAAGTATTAAAGGGAGTGTAGCATGACAAATACTGGTTTACGCCATCTACGCCTTTTGGTGGGCAACTGCTCGTAAACGAATGGAATCGATTAGCGGCAGTCAGCAACTTAATCTCTACATGGTTACACACGCTCCGGTTTCACGTATGTTGCATGCATGTGATTGCTGCGGTCGCGTCTTCCGTAGTCATATTGTACCCGATTGGCCCTGAGTCAGGCCACGGGAAAGACACGGAGTCTCTTCATGCTACACTCCCTTTAATACCAATGGGTTGTATTCTCGAAAGCGGACTAACTATGGAATGCCAAGTGTCCATAGAAAAAGTTTTTTGAATAATTTAATCTGTCACTAAATTAAAATAAAATGTAATAACATAATTTATAAATAACAATATTACTATGATATAATTACGTTATGGTAATTTAGGGACATATTAAATTATTAAAAAATATATTCATATGGACACTTGTCATTCCATACTTAGTCGGTGGATTAAACCATGGACTAAAGTTAGTCCGGTTTCGAGAATACCACCCAATGTGGCTACCTTGGGTAAATACGCCTATCTTGACCTACCTGGAACCATCTGCTAATCTGAGCTGCAGGGTTGTAGTAGGTTGGTTAGGGTCGACATCTATCGAAGCTGCCGGGGCTGCTGCTGCACCTGATGACTGTTGTGATGGAGTCCCTTGAGACTGCCCACTAGGCGCTCCTGGGTTCATGGTCGGTGTGGGACTAGGAGAGACACAAACAAAATATTTTGAAAGTGTTGTTGTGATTATTCAACACTTTTAAAATCCCACAGCACTACTTATAGCCCTCTATGTAGAAAACAATGCCTAATCAGTGCCTGTTAGTCCCCTATAATCCTCTTTTTCTTATTTTAATTGAGAGCTGATTTGATGACATAACCACCTGTCAGTGACCTTGCAGGGAGGTCTAATCCCCCTGGCCAAGCTAGTGCAGATAGGCTTTAATGCACAATTTCCAGTAGGTACCAGTAGAAAGAAATTCCTTGAAAGCTGTGAGGACTGATATCGGTGTCCGAGCAGAGCTGGGGTAATATTGGAGAGCACTAAGCAACTTCTGTGGTGGATATGTGCACTATAGAAATATCCAATATTATCATTATCAATTTCGACACCAATATAAACAAGTGCACATTTTGCCCTATTCAGATATGGGGGGTGTTTCACAAAGACCCTAAGTAGAACTTAACACTAAGTTGGACTTACAAATTATGGACAGCCATTGGAGCCTTAAAATGAAATATATTCAAAAGCAGAAATTCAAGTATTTTAGAATTTTTATAAATTCCACATCAAGAACATAGAATCTCCCATGATAATAGAAAATATGAATGATTTGAATCAACATTTTATGTCTTTTAAAATAACTTTTACAAAATGTTTTCAAGGATGCTAATGGCTTTCCATAATTTTTAAGTCCAACTTAGAGATAAGTTCAACTTAGGATCTTTGTGAAACACCCCCCAGATGTGGTAAAACTGCAGCGTTTTTAATGGTGATGTAAAGTGTAATACGTTTTATATTTCTGTATCTTATAACATATAGCTCAGTGAAAACTTGCAGGCTCTATGTTGCCGGCAGTTGCCATACATTTACACATTTCAAAATAAATTGCGACAGTTTATAACGTCATATCTGAATGACCCCTTACTTTATATCAAGAGCAAAAGAAGAAATGAAACTCCATATAAAATTCAGTTTAATGTACATCAAATACATGAGAAGGATACAAACTGAAATTTGACATTGGAATATAAAACATGACGGAATGTAATTGAACTTGAAAAAGGAGAGGTTTACCAAAAAATGAGATATTCTTGGGTCTTAATGGGAAAAGGACCTTACCCACTTAACATAACAATGTGTCTAGAGAAACTCTACAAATAGATTGCTTAGGATTAAGTTATAATAATAATGATAATAGTAATATTCCGCTTATATAGCTCATGTCTCTAAGCGCTTTACATATGTTCTATTACTCAGGTCATTGGATTCAGTGCTTGCCCGCACACACTGTGTGCCCAATCTCCACTCCCTAAGGAGCATTCCAGGCAGGCGTTACATGACGCTCAAAAACTGTTTGACCAACAGTGACCGTCGCATCCTACCGGGTACCTACTTAACACCTGGGTTGAGAGTAGCAAGTGCAGGTTAATGTCTTGCCAAAGGATATTAGTGCTGTGTCGGGATTCGAACCCTCGACCTTCGCATCTCCAGTCAAGCCCCCTAAACCACTTGGCCACGACACTCCCACACAGTTCCAAGGAACCATTTCACAAAGCCAATGACAAATGACAAATATCTGTGACAAATCTGCTGATAACTAATCAGAAGCAAGGATTTCAGTAGCTTATAACAAAAACTGTCATTTGTCACTGATGACAAGTTTTGTGAAACACCCCCCTGGTCCTTACCTGCCCAACATAACACCATGTCCAGTGAAAGCTTTGGTGCTCTGCTTGGGTCTAGTGAACTCCTCGCTCCGATGGTCTTCTAGATCTAGGCTCACCTCACCTCCCTTCCCCAGCTGCAGCAGCTCATCTGGGATCTCTCTGGAGAGAGGGAGAGAAAGAGAGAGATAGAGCAATGAAGAGAGAGATAAAGCAAGAAAGAGAAGATAGAGGAAGAAAGAGAGATAGAGAAAGAAAGAGAAAGAGTTAGTAGGAAATCATGTTCATAATGTAATATGAAAGAAGAGAAAATAAGCTTTTTGATGATTTGTAAATTAAACAAACAGTAATTTGGGATTATTGACAAATTCAACCATAAATCTTGATTTCCTTTTTTCAGAAACACCCAGTATATTATAAGACTTAAACGTCAAGCACTTTACATATATAATTACTACCCTGCTCATCGGGTTCAGGCTTGCCCGAACACAATGTACGCACATTCTCCACTCCCTGGGAAGCATTCCAGCCACATGCCATTTGAAAGATGCTCACAATGCTGAGCAAGCCACAATGACTGTTGCATCCTATCAGGTAATCATTCCACACTTGGGTGGAGAGTGTAAAATCATAAGAACAATAATAACATCAACATTTATATCCCACAAGTATTTATCCCAGGGGATGCTCAAGGCACCTATAAAGTAGTAGTAATACTCCCCAGGGAGTGGAGAAGGTGTACACTTGAGGTACATGAATGAATACGATGACCAAAGGAATAATATCTGGAAAGTGCTTAGAGACAGTATGTTGTATTAAGCACTTTATTAATCTAGATTTATTATCATTATTAATATTACCCTGGCTTTAGCCCAGCTACCCTTAGGTGCTAAAGGCATTCAAGTAATACATGCCTGTCAGGCTGTCAGGTACCCATTCACTACACCTGGGTTGAGAGTAACAATTTTATAGTTATGCCTTGCCAAAGATTAGTGCCACAGCGGAACTCAAACCGCAAACCACAGTACGGAGACATATCCAGTAGACCACGACACCTCTCGTCATGTGGATTAGTGTCGCACCAAAGGATGTTAGTGGTGGGCTGCGATTTTAAGAATAAATGAATGGAAGCACTAACTTACCCTTTCATGATAGCTTTGAGGAAGGCATCATTCTGTGGTTCCCTATAATCTCTGAGTTCACCATCATCAATACTAAAACCAGTCTTCCACATCTTAAGAACTACATGCCTCTGTGAGGATAGAGAAAGAAAGAGAGGGATGCAAAACTTAAAGCCACACTGCCCTACTTGTAGCTACTTGCTCCCTCTAAATAGAAAACAATGCCTAAACGGTGACCATTGGTCCCCCATGATCCTCTTTTTCTTACGTTAATTAAGAGCTGAGTTGATGAGATAACCACCTGTCCAGTGACCTTGCAGGGTGGTCTAATCCCTCCTATAAACTAGTACAGATAAGCTTTAAGAACGACATGTCTCTGTGAAGATAGAGATAAAGAGAGGGATATAAAACTCAAAGTTCATCATCAATAAACTAAAACCAGTCTTCCACATCTTAAAAACTACATGCCTCTGTGAGGATAGAGAAAGAAAGAGATACAAAACTCAAAGTTCTTCATCATTATACTAAAATCAATCTTCTACATCTTACATGTCTCTCTGAGGACAGAGAGAAAAGGAGAGGGATACAAAACTTATATGTTTTGAAAGTTAAACATTAGATCTCTATACAAAAGTGGGTAAAATTGCTGACAAAGGCTGGCATAATTAACAGCAGAATATTTCTGAGGCAAAGTTTTTGTATTGAAATTAAAAGTTGAGAACAGTAGATTTGTGGGGGATTCCCCTACTCTGTACCTAGTGTTATTGATAGAACAACCCCCCCCCCCCCCTCACCTGTGAATATAGACATATACATTACTAACCTTCTTGGCCTTGGACCAGGCATTGTACCAGAGGTGCCTGGTAACGGTACCACAGGTTCCTGGGGGATTTCCCTAGTCTGTACCCAGTATTATTGATAGCACACCCCTCCCCTATGAGTAGAAACTCCTACTACCTCTCTTGGCCTGGGACCAGGCATTATACTGGTACCACAGGTTCCTGGGGGGATTCCCTTGTCTGTACCAGTGTTATTGATAGCACATCCCTCCCCTATGAGTAGAAACTTCTACTACCCTCTCTTGGCCTGGGACCAGGCATTGTACCGGAGGTGCCTGGTACCGGTACCACAGGTTCCTGGGGGGATTCCCCTTGTCTGTACCCAGTGTTATTGATAGCACATCCCTCCCCTATGAGTAGAAACTTCTACTACCCTCTCTTGGCCTGGGACCAGGCATTGTACCGGAGGTGCCTGGTACCGGTACCACAGGTTCCTGGGGGGATCCCCCTAGTCTGTAGCCAGTGTTATTGATAGCACACCCCTCCCCTATGAGTAGAAACTTCTACTAACCTCTCTTGGCTTGGGACCAGGCATTGTACCGGAGGTGCCTGGTACTGGTACCACAGGTTCCTGGGGAGATTCCCCTAGTCTGTAGCCGGCACCCCTGAAGGCTCTTGAGGTGTTTCTTGGCTGGGATGTTGAAGGGCTGCCACCGGCTACCTCCTCTGCACCATGCCTGAAACATAATGCATACAGTATATATTCAAATTATCCTCCTGAATTTTCTATCGACAATCCACTAGGAACTGCTGATAAATTCAATCAATAGAATGCTTCTTTCAATATACTGACCGATTCTCTCCGTTAGGTCGGTCCTAAAATGCGGAATTCCCTTCCTCCTATTTTTACAGTATGTCGGATTTAATAATTCATTCAAAAGACTTTACAAGAAGCATCTTCTCTTTCTTTATTATGCATAATTTATTTTAAGACCACACCTCTAATACTAAATACTTCCATTTTTTTTCATTTTTTTTCTTCTTCCAAGTATATTGTCACGAAATTGGTTTCATTTCGTAGATAGTTATTTCGGCGTAGATGGCGTAGTTCAGGTTAAATATACGACGCTAAAGTCACGTGTTAATTTTAAGAATGTTCGATTGTGCATGTTTTTGACAGTTTTAGTGTAATTACTTTTCTACCATTAATAATTACTTGTTCTCTTTTGTTTAGTTTTATAGAATAAAACTAGTGCTTTCATTTGATATATGGTTTGTTTCAATCTGATATTGGAAAGTGGAGTTATATCAATGTTTATGTAATTTTTGGAAATCTAACCAGAATAATAAATTATGTATAAGAAATGTGTATATAAATCAATTGTCTCACGTGTCTGTGAGCTTCCTGTCATAGTCTACATAATTGCCGTCGCCCACTGGGCACACTTACATTGTAAGGCAATCAGATTATGTTTGGATATTTGCCCAATAAAGTATTGCGTGCAACGAAATGATTGAGATGATCGTTTGCATGTCTTTCCATGGGGAAACCTAAAGTGGAAGTCTGATTTTAGGTGACGACCATGGTAAGAATCTAGGTTGTGTTTGTTGGGTCTTTTACGTTCTAGTATTAGACAATACCAGGGACTACTGTGTAGCAGAGCCAGTGGCATGGTCGAGTAAGCTGACTGTACGAAGTCAGACGGTCTGGTTGTTTGGAGGTGCATGAAGCAAACTGGTGCGGCCAATTGGAGTTGCATGCACAAGCAGACTGGTATAGACGTCTGAAAGGTGCAGAAGCGGACTGGCCTAGTTGGCTTGTGGTATATGACGGTACAACGGTTGGTAGAAGACGGTGGTCGAGAGGTGGTGCGGAGCAATATATCAGACTGGTGTCAACGTCAACGGGCAGTATATTTCTGCCAAACGGATCCACGGTAAAATTGGTACCGGACCAGGAAAACCTACCAGCAGAAGGCATCCTGACAAGAGAAGCTGCTGGGAAGAACATCGACAGGAACCGGTTTCGTTACATGTGGTGTCAGAAGTGGGATCCAGTGACAATGGCACAAGGAAGAAATATGCAGAATCGACCAACGCCAGGAGAAATGATGACGCATTTAGAAAGCAGTATGACAGAAATAGATCAAATGATGGAGCAACTACGTGCTTCGATGAGGCAGGCACCAGTTGCAGACTCAGAACCAGGTCGCCGCCAGGAGGCATTTCCCCCAACTCTGAGTGGACAAACTGCATCAGGACCAACTGCAGAATCACAGATGCCAGCGGCACAGCGGGTTAGATTTAGTTCAACGCCCCGACAACAAAGTAGGCGGATGCCCACTGCAGGAACTGAAGTTCATATTACACCACCGCTTTTCTCTCCACCTATGCAGGATGTGGGGAGGTCAAATGATGCAGTAATCGGCAGACGGCCGCATATGGTACCAGACAGATTTGACGGTCACACTCCTGTCGAGGATTACTTGCACCACTTTGAGGCATGTGCTGGAGTAAACAAATGGACCAAAGTAGAAGCAGTGCAGTTTCTTGCTGCAAGTTTGAGGGGATCTGCTGTGAAGCTGTTAAACCAACAGCCTGGAGTGGATTTGACGTACGACGAGTTGGTATACAGACTCAGGAACCGGTTTGGTCTTGGAGGCAAAGCTGAGGTATACCTAGCAGAGTTGAGACAGCGTCGTCGGCAACCAAAGGAAAGTCTCCAGGAATTAGGACAAACGATACGGGAGCTGTGTGCATTGTCCTACCCCGAGTTCGACGAAAAAGGACAAGACCGACTAGCCCGTGGGCATTTTCTGGATGCCGTAGTAACACCAGAAATAAGAAAAGGATTGTTCCGTGCTCAACCTCGCACGCTTGATGATGCCGTGGAAGCAGCTTTAAATACAGAGGCCTTCCTGAGGATGGAGGGTCAGAGAAATGAAGTGAAGCGTTCAACCACGTACAGTCGAGCACTGGAAGAGTGTGAGGTTGCAGCCATCCGTGAACAGCAACCAAGGAATCCTACTATGGATGAGATAGTAGAGAAGGTATTAGATGCCTTAGACATGAGAAATGGGAGGAATACGATTAAACCAGATGTACCAGATAGGAGACCGGAACAAACCATGCCAACTAAAGTCTCAGAACGGGAAGATAACCGGTGTTTCAACTGTAATGAATTAGGACACTGGAGGAACCAATGTCCTTATCCAAGGAAAGTTAGGGGAGGAACAGCACCACCAGCAGCAGAGAAAGCAAATACAAACTTACAGTGGGCAACTGCAAATGGGATGACAGATGAAGAGGAGCAGACCAGAGTTGGTTCGTCTCAGGATCCTAACAGGAAAGGACTTTTCCTGGAAGGGAAAATCAATGGACAGTCCTTGAAATTACTGATCGACACCGGAGCCACCAACACTTTGATTTCAGATAAGGTGTTTGACCGGATAGAGGATAATAGAAGACCTGAGTTATTACCAGTGACCAGCGTGGTATTACAAGCAGATGGGACCCCGTTGAGGACCAGAGGTAAATCAAGGCTGGAAGTGCAGATCGGAGATTCACTTGTCACTACAATGGTAACTGTGGCCAGCCTCAAGAACGAAGGCATTCTTGGGCTAGATTTCCTAGTTCAAACTAATGCTGTACTTGACTGCCACAAGATGGAATTGAGGACCGAGTGGGGCATAATTCCATGCCTAGATAGTGAAGGAGAATCATTCTGCAGAAGGATAGTGGCGGGGGAGGAAAACTCAATTCCTCCACGACACGAAATGGTGCTAGCAGACAGAGTAACAGGTAAAAAGGAAGCACTGTGTGAAGGACTGGTAGAATCTCCTGTGAACCCAATCGAATTATGGAAAAAGGGACCCATCGTTGCCAGATCTGTCGTGAAGACAGATGAAGATGTGTTGCCTGTCAGGGTGTTCAATCCAACAAGGGAACAGAGGAACATAAAGGCAGGCACTGCCATTGCCTCATTGTCAGCGGTGGAAGAAGTGGGCACAGAAATGTGCAACCAGACGATGCCCACTGAAACCAGTGCAAGCAGAAACATGCCACCCGACAAGCAGGGAAACAAGGGCGTTGATGCCCGACGTACGACTACCCACTTCTTTCAATGTGACTCTTGTACCAAAAGTTATGAGAAGAAAGACTCTTTGCAAAGACACAAGCGGGAAGTGCATATCCTGAAGTATCGTTGCGACCAATGCGATTATCGCACGGGTAGGAAGAAGGAGATGGAGCGGCATCAGGGAGCCCACGATGTAGCTGTGGTTCCCGTGAGAAAACACAGCTTAACACCTGTTTCTTCGCCAAGATGCAAACCCACTTCCACGCCAATAACAGGGACCTCTGAAAAAGCTGATGCATCGTGGCGTCATGTAAGAATGGACTGGCGGTCGCCACCACGTGATGATCCAAGATTGGACCGGCCTCGAGGGAGGTCACCATGTCGCTACCGCTCATCGCGACGAAAATCCAAATCGCCCCAAAGCGACCTAACGAAATCGTCATTTCAAAAGACCCCGGAGTCTCCACAGCACGATGGATCGGAAGCTTCCCCTCGACATAGCTGACAATCTACGCCCGAACCAGAAGAAGAGTTGGATAACGACGAAAGGTTCCCTTCACCACTTGACTTGCGATATTCATCTAGGAAAATGGCGTCGGAGACTGCATGGGCTAGTGAGTGGACTGAAATTGCTAGTAAGAATGCTGAAACTCAAACTGACACTGATAGTTCTCGTTAAAGAATTCAGTCAGTACTGCATGAACTTAGAACCGCTGGTTCCGGTGGGAAGGATACCTAGATGCCCATGGACGTTATTTTCTGTAAATGTGTTATATGCAGTTTGTAAATTGTTGTTAGATATCGCTCGGGGAGCGAGCTAAGGAAAATAAGGGAGTTGTGTCACGAAATTGGTTTCATTTCGTAGATAGTTATTTCGGCGTAGATGGCGTAGTTCAGGTTAAATATACGACGCTAAAGTCACGTGTTAATTTTAAGAATGTTCGATTGTGCATGTTTTTGACAGTTTTAGTGTAATTACTTTTCTACCATTAATAATTACTTGTTCTCTTTTGTTTAGTTTTATAGAATAAAACTAGTGCTTTCATTTGATATATGGTTTGTTTCAATCTGATATTGGAAAGTGGAGTTATATCAATGTTTATGTATTTTTGGAAATCTAACCAGAATAATAAATTATGTATAAGAAATGTGTATATAAATCAATTGTCTCACGTGTCTGTGAGCTTCCTGTCATAGTCTACATAATTGCCGTCGCCCACTGGGCACACTTACATTGTAAGGCAATCAGATTATGTTTGGATATTTGCCCAATAAAGTATTGCGTGCAACGAAATGATTGAGATGATCGTTTGCATGTCTTTCCATGGGGAAACCTAAAGTGGAAGTCTGATTTTAGGTGACGACCATGGTAAGAATCTAGGTTGTGTTTGTTGGGTCTTTTACGTTCTAGTATTAGACAATACCAGGGACTACTGTGTAGCAGAGCCAGTGGCATGGTCGAGTAAGCTGACTGTACGAAGTCAGACGGTCTGGTTGTTCATGAAGCAAACTGGTGCGGCCAATTGGAGTTGCATGCACAAGCAGACTGGTATAGACGTCTGAAAGGTGCAGAAGCGGACTGGCCTAGTTGGCTTGTGGTATATGACGGTACAACGGTTGGTAGAAGACGGTGGTCGAGAGGTGGTGCGGAGCAATATATCAGACTGGTGTCAACGTCAACGGGGCAGTATATTTCTGCCAAACGGATCCACGGTAAAATTGGTACCGGACCAGGAAAACCTACCAGCAGAAGGCATCCTGACAAGAGAAGCTGCTGGGAAGAACATCGACAGGAACCGGTTTCGTTACAATATGTTATTATTACTTCTGCGCCTGGTGCATTCAATTGTCAAGCCTTATTGGCTTCATCGGATGCACCATCTTCCATTTGTACTATGGTTTATACTTACATATTTTCTTTTTTTGAATGCGATTATGTAAATTTATATGTAATTTTGATATTGTTATCTGTAATGAAATTCCATATTTCATCTTTGTATATATTGTCATGATGATGGAAATAAATGTCAATTCACATGTCAATTCAAAGCCTGAATGGCTACAATGTGGTTGGCAGTCCATCTGCATATTTAATGTACTGGAGCAGCGTTTCTTAACCTTTTTTAAGTCATGCCACCCTTTTGCGTCACCCCAATCCAAAATCCATTGACAGAACATTCATTTTGCATCACTCTGAAACGTGTGACACACCACATACACATCAGCAAATTTGTTTCTAACTTTATGTCTTATAAAGAGCTGCAACTGATCAAAAAAAATTGCAAGTTTACAGTTTCCTATCTCTTATTATGTACATAGTTGCGATTGATATCAATCACAAATAAGTTTATTAATATTATATTTATAGTCGGGGCCCATATACCTGAATCTCAGTTCGTTTGACTCTCGACTCAATCTCTTTCTCCGTCATTCTCTTGATCTAACCTCCTTTTTCTAGATCGTTTGCAATCATTCATTTTCCCTTTTTCTATCTTTCTTTCTTTCTGTTTGCCTTTTACTATTTTCCTCCATTTTTCCCTGTTTTATTTGTTTTCCCAACAAATCTATAATTTCTTAGCTACATATTTTTTTCAATTTATTGATTTTCTAAGCATACTTTGTTCATGTTATATTGTAAAACAGCATCTGAGGAACTAACACTTCAACAAGCTCTGCTTCTAGTTAGTTCCTCTATTCTTGTGCTTTTTCTATTATATTTGTTGTTTCATTGCATATTTTTGTAATATAATTTTTTATTGTATTATGTTTTGCATGAGAAATAAAAACATTTGAATCATCAATTAATCCTTGGTGATACAAACATGCAAGAACTTTGTAACTGGAATGGAAAGGGGGATGAAAGCAGAGATGGTTCAAGCAAGCTGACCTCAGGTCAAAGGTCAAATGTCATAGGTACTACTCACTCTTTAGCCTGTTTGAAGATGTCTTTGACGAGACTGTCCGATTCCACCTTCTTCTTCTTGGGACCGACCACCTGCTGACCGCTGGAATGAGAATGGTATCAAATATTAGAGGATCATTCCATGGGGTTGGGGTCACTTTGTGACATACCACAAGTGAGAAACTTAGATGTCTGCTATCAACCAAAACAATGTTTGCTCAAACTGGGTTTAGCATGAAAAGCATAGCCAACTATGTGTACAAGTAATCTAGCTACAATGAGAATGGTATCAAATATTAGAGGGTCATTCCATTGGGGTTGGGGTCACTTTGTGACATACCTCAAGTGGGAAACTATAGATGTCTGCTATCAACCAAAACATTGTTTGCTCAAACTGGGTTTAGCATGAAAAGCATAGCCAACTACATGTATGTGTACAAGTAATCTAGCTACAATGAGAATGGTAAGAAATATTAGAGGGTTGTTCCATGGGGTCGGGCTAATTTTGTGACATACCACAAGTGAGAAACTGTAGATGTCTGCTATCAACCAAAACAATGTTTGCTCAAACTGAGTTTAGCATAAAAAGCATAGCCAACTATGTTTACAAGTAATCTAGCTACGTGGTGAATTAATATCATAGACCAAAAGTTTAAATTTGATGTCCATGTAACGCTGAAATAAGAAACACATATTAAGCAAAGATTTTGAAGAGAAGTAACTGAAACAGGAATAATTCTGGCAAGGCACTTTATATATACCGGTACATTGCTTTAAACATTTCAGCAGATGATTTCATCTTCAGTGTGTACTATTTTTATTTTTTTATATCAGAATTTGCACAAACTTTCCCTGACCTGCTATTCTCATTTTCTGCTACTATTAGAACCAGCTTAATATCAGGATGCACTTCTCCTTGAACCATTAGCAGTTTTGTCTCACGTATGAGTGACGTTTAGTTTGATATTTTAATCCAAAATGCTCAACATGCCTGGAGCAGAAAGTTCCGAAAAATCACTGGGAACTTTATCTGACCTGTTTCTCTCATTTTCTTGCTTCTATCAAATCGAACTTAATATCAGGGTGGGCTTCCCCTTTAACTTTACCTGCCATGCTCTGGTCCACCCGCGTAGAAGGCTTGTCCTTCTTCATCACTGTCATCATTGGCTTTCTTAGATGAATAGTCACCCAGAGTGGCTATACGACTGCTGCTTCCTCCTCTGGAAAAGAAATAAAAATTCAATTATCAAGTTAAAGGCCGTCTGTACTAGTTCAGCCAGAAGGGATTAGACCACCCAGCGAGGTCACCCAGAGTGGCTATACGACTGCTGCTTCCTCCTCTGGAAAAGAAATAAAAATTCAATTATCAAGTTAAAGGCCGTCTGTACTAGTTCGGCCAGAAGGGATTAGACCACCCAGCGAGGTCACCCAGAGTGGCTATACGACTGCTGCTTCCTCCTCTGGAAAAGAAACAAAATGCAATTATCAAGTTAAAGGCCGTCTGTACTAGTTCGGCCAGAAGGGATTAGACCACCCAGCGAGACTGCGGGGTCACTGATAGGTGGTTATCTCATATCAGCTCTCAATTAACATAAGAAAAAGAGGATCATGGGGACAAACAGGCACCGGTTGGGGGAGTTTTCTATATAGATGAGCAAGTAGGTACAAGTAATTAATGCACTTTCTAGACCAGTATTTTTAAACCGTACTAATTAAAGTCACGGCACGCTCTTTAGAAATAAAATGTTTTGTGTCTGAGGTATTCTGAGTCTTTGATTTTGACGTGAATAGGTTGACTAATATTTGCCTTTCACATAAAATAAATATGCTTGGGTACGAAATTCAAAATGTATTTGTTCCACTTTTACATCAACATGCAAAATTTTTTAAGATTCGTACATAGTAAAGAGTAACAAAACATTACGGGTAGTGTATGGTTGATAGCCAAATGTTCTGAGTGAAGTGAAAATACATCAGGCATTACAAAATAATGAACCTTCAGAATAACGCAATAAATTTTTTGAAATTATGAACCTTATTTCATTTTTGGAATCTTGAATCTCGTGGTAATGTGGTAACTGTAAATTTTGTTTTGGAATTGAAAACTTTTGGAATAATGAACCTTCAGAAGAAAACGAATGAGTGCAACCTGAGTAGACCTACCTTCCTTTTGGGGCTGATCCTTTAGCTTTGCCTCCTCCCTGTGGCTGAGCTGCAGGAGGTGGTTCAACCCTAGGGGGTTCAGGCTGTCTTTCAGAGGGAGGGTCTCTGCTTGGTGGATCAGTAACCATGTCATCTGAGTTATCATAGAAACTCTCTAGCGCCACCTGTAATAATCAGAAAAAAAATATTTTATTTTACTTTATTTGAATTTGATTTATTGGTTTCTGCATCTTTTTTGGTTTGATAATATATAGATAATATACAAAATTAAACAAATATATTTAGGGGGAAACAGAGTGGCCACTGTAGACAGGTGGGTGTTCTACTGTCTACAGCACACAGTTCTTTCTTAAAGGAGACAACATACTTTGCCACTATAGAAAGGTGGCCTTTATAGGGAGGTGGCTACCTAAAAAAGACAGAAGTTTCATCTAGATCTTTTCAGCAGAATGTAAAATACAAAACAGCATATATAGCAGTCTTTTAAAATTACAAAGAATGAAATGCAAGTGCTTCAGTTTTTTAAGAGGTATCTACATGGATCCGGGCTAACTCGGACCAGGGGACAACTCGGCCCAGCTGCAAAAACGGTCATTCTTTGTCATTTTAGCCTAACTCTAACTCTAACTCTAACCTTAACCCTAAACCTAACCCTAAACCTAAACATGCAAAAAATGACAGTTTTTAGAGCTGGACCGAGTTGCCCCCTGGTCCGAGTTAGCCCGACTCCATCTACATGTATCTGCCCACGAGTGGACAGTTTAGATAATGTTTCAAAATGTGATGGTTCCCATCCAAATTTATACACTTTCTCACAGGTTTCAGTGCAAACAATTTGCAGCAATTTGTAGTGAAACCTGTCAGGAAGTGTATATTATAATATCTTTGTTTTAAGAAAAAAATTAAGAAAATTGACACCAAACAGATAAGAAAGATAACCACTTTGAAATGCTGTCCATTATTGAAACAATTGTTAAAGATTTAGAGTAAAACCGCCAAACTTCGGACACTAAAGACAAAACGGGGGAAAACATTAAATTCTTTTTTAATTATTGAAAGATCAAACATACTATTATTGTGCAAATACTGTTTATGTATGTCATGTAAAAGAAAATTAGTAAAGGAAATGGAAAACTAGAATTATTTACTTACCCGCCGAACCTGTTTTCATGCCAAGCTTCGGACGTTCATATGTAGCGCACGTATAGCGCATAGCGCACGTATACACCTTAACTCCCCCGTTAAGGAACTGTAAAAATCTAGGTAACCTGAAATCTGTCTCTGAATTCAATGTTTTTTGTGAGTTTTGCAGACGGCAACCTGCACGATATAGGTTAGTAGTAGTATCAAATGCATGCAAGTTAACCGCCTGAGCTAGGCTCATATTTTGCGTTTGAGCCGTTGAAGTCATTTTTGTCCGAAGTTTGGCAACGTCCGAAGTTTGGCGGTTTTACTCTAGTTGATTTGTGAATTTTTTGGTATGTAATATACTCCACGCTCGAGTCAACGTAAACGAGGACGTGTCATATTTCCGATCTGCATGTTGGTGATGTGAAAAACAGATTCCCCAATGATTTTCTTGATGCATTTTACATACACGTTATGAGCGATAGTCATAAATCAACAATTAGCGCCAGACGGACAACCCATGAAAGTAGACCCTAGATGGTGAACTGGGGTTATTTTCTTACGCGGTATCCGTTTTTTCGCATCGCCAGCGCACGGTTCGAAACCTGCAGATCGCCGATAAAAAAAAAATGTCTGCGAAAAATGTGAATGATCCTTATTTTTTAGGACGCAAGTTGTCGGCATTTACGAGGATATCCTTAATTATCGGACGATCCTCATAGTCATACTTGGACCAGTACCAGCAGAACTCTTCATCTTCACATGGCCAAATCACCGGCAAATGGGGACCAATGATGATATGGCTTTGCTTGCTAATTGCTACATCAATCATGGTTATGGAAACCACTCGTTCGTCAACATGGACACGCTTGTGTTTAGGCAAAGTCTCACACGAACAGATGAACACTTGACTCATTCAGTCATTCACTCACCACTCACTCAACTCAGCTCAGCCTCAGTTATGACAGTGCGCTAAAATTGAGTTGGATATCCCCGTTACTTTCCCGACATAGGCTAGATCTACACCGTCAATAGTAAAGTTCCATTATAGAATCTCAATATCTTACCTCCAACTTCCATCCTGACGACTCAAGAAAGAACGAAGCTCTTTCCCTTTCCGCCCCAGTAACGCCAATAAACTGGGTGAGGAGTCCATCTTTCTCGAGCTCTGCACTGGTGGCTGCCATTTTGATGATAATTTCTTTCTGGCAAAGTAGTCTACTGCCCTCTATGTATTACTTTGCGAACATAATTTTAGTTTATTTTATTTTTTCTACATTCATTTACCTTTTTTTGATTTTGAAATTGTAAAATATGACAACACATTAACATAGATATGAAACAATAATTTAATATAATTATCATATACAAGAGAATCATGAAAAACTCCAAACATACCAGAAAGGTGAAGATACATAATTAGATTTCGAACGTCCACTTTTTTAAATGAATCGTTACTTTATGATCATTCTTGTTCATGTTCCGTGGCTTTTTTTATTCTTTATAAATATATTGATTACCAACAAGGGTATTTGTTCATCAACATATCGCAGCCAATGGCTGAATTACATGCATGATTTACAGATATTTGGTTTTTAAAATATTTTTAAAAAACATCATATTTACGATGAAAACCCAGTAAAACTCAGAAAGGGAAGAAAGAAATAAAGGAAAAATGTGGAGCAGGAAAAAGGAGAAAAGGAAAGGAAAGTTGAGGGAGAGGGAGTGGAGAGAAAAGGGGAAAAGAGAATGAAGAGTGATAGAGAGAGGGAGAGAGAGAGAGGGGGGGGGGAGTGTGAACACAGAGCTGGTATAATAATGATACAAATTAAAAATTTAATTGACAAAAGTTATTTCATCCAAGTTAGTGCATGGGAATGCACTTCAAAGGAATTGATTTACAAAAAAGTAATTTTGAGGCAAGAGAAAAATACATTTCCACATTTACAGGCAACATTATTCATCAATCATCAATTCACTATAATGTGTGTTCTAAAACTCTAAGTTCAGGTTTTTAGCATTAGAGTGAGGGATGTTTATACTTTAAAGGTACTATGTCCCATTTGCAGGTCAAAAAAATGAAAAAGTTAAATTCCAACTGCATTTGAAAGATAATACTAATTTAGAACTGCCCTAAAAAAGGTGAGGCTTGAAGATGTCTTCAAGTGGGAAAATAATGACTATTAGTTGTCAAATCGACTTTAGGGCTATAGAGCCCAAAAGTAATAGTCTTGATTTTCAGACAATTGTACCGAATGGTCATACATTTCATGCTGCGCAAAGATTCAATCAGTTTAATCTTGGTCATCACAAGAAGTGGGTTATTGATGTAGACAAATGCTCATGTACCCTTCAACTCATTTCATATGTGTTATTACTAAAGAAGAAATAAGGCCAGTCAGTCACTCAATAGTGTCTGACAGTGAAGTCTAGCAAGTAAACGGGTTTCCTTGCATAATTTGAATATGAGGACACAGCTAACGTTTAATTTCACAGATAGGACATACATGACATATTCATAATTCCTGCAAAGTTCTACAGAATTTGAGGTTGGCTTCAAAAGGGACATAGTACCTTTAAAGGAAGAAATTCGCCCTGATTTTTTTTAAAAACTTGAAGTGTGACTTATTACCTCAGATGTGGTTGTTGTTGTTTTGTGTTTTTTTTTTGGGGGGGGGGGGGGGGGGTGGGTATTTTTGGTCGGCCGAAGTTGATAATTTAGCCAAGGAAATAATCGTGAATCTAAATGTGCTAAAGATAAAAATCTAGAGGTAAAACATGTCAGAGATAAAAGTATTAGAGGTAAAAATACCGGACTCTGGTGTAAAACGTCAGACATAAAATGTATGCTTACAAAACCAAATTTGGTATGTATTCAGATATGTATGTATTTCATAATAAACATATATATATATATATATATATTGATAGCACACTTGATGAGAAATCTTTTAATTTGGACTTCGTATAAGTCCTAATTAAATGTTACAGATTTTCTTGGAGTACTATATACTAGAAATAACCTTCGCTGGGATGCCCGCGTTGACCGTCCGTGCGTTGGTATTTTATATAAGTTGAAGTTTAATAATGTATCATTCCCTACATCATTTACATACCTCCCTCATATTTCTGTATCTGACATATTTTACCCCCCCCCCCCAAAAAAAAAAAAAATCATCAAGTGGTATGAAATGTTTAGCTAATAATCCAATGGAAACGTCAACCGGGGAGGGGATGTGAACAAGCAAATTTCTTATAAAGTACGCTTAAATCTTTTTCAAATTCTACCAAAAAGTGTTTTGAAAAGACGGAATTATCTATTTATTTAAGAGGCTTCATGGATTGATCTGTAAAGGAAGTTATACTGTTTTTGCCCGTTCCGTTTTATATGTTTTGATTTTGTAGTGCATGGATGATTTATTCGAATATCGTATTGCACTTTTTGGTTTTCAATAATTTAAAGATTTGCTTTGTGATAAATTATTATGTTCTCAATTGATTACCAAATCATGCCCATGAAACTAGGCCTCGTAATTTATTAAATGTGTTGAAAGTAAAAGGACACCAATCAGAATGGAGGGAGCTTTTATGAGAAGGGGGGAGTGAACATGTTAAAATAAAACGGGGTAAGTATACTTATCAGAGATACAAAGCGTTAATTATGAGAAGGGGAAGGAGCTCTTTTTCTAATGAGAGCACTTATCATAAGGAAAAGAGGCGCTTATAAGAAAGAAAAATGGGCACATGTGGAAATGAAAGGTGTACTTATCAGAGTGAGAAAGAGGTAGTTATTTAGACAGGGAAAGGGCACTTCTTACAGAGAAAAGGTGCACTTGTCAAAGTCAAATGGGCACCTCTCAAATTTGAATAGGGAAACTATATCAGAGGTGAAGTGAGTACTTATCAAAAGTAAAAAGGGGCACTTCTCGTACCTCAAAAGGGGCACTGAGATTATAAAGGGCACCTATGAAAATGGAAAATTGATACTTATTGCAAAGGAAAATGTGAACTTGTCGGTGGAAAAGGGACATTTGTCAAAATAAAAGTTGCACTTATCATAGGTGAAAAGTAATAGGGGCTCGTTTTCAAAGTAAAATGGGCAATTTTTCTATGTAAAAGCACTTCTTACGAAGTTGTAGGGGCACCTAGTACGTCAAAACGGGCACTTTTGGTGTACTTGAAAAAGTGGAGGGGTATGGGCCCCAGGCGCGTACGCAGGGGGGGGGGGTTTGGGGGGTTAAACCCCCCCCTTTGGAATTTTTTTGTGTGTAAACCCCCCTAAAAAAACCTAAAACCCCCCCCCCCCCCCTTTTGGATTTTTTTTTTTTTTTTTTTTTTTTTTTTTTTTTAATTATTAAAAAAAAAAAAAAAAAAAAAAAATTATTCCCATGGCCGACCTAAAAAAGGTGACCTTACCCCCCCCCCCAACGGAGCAAAATGTCAAATTTCCAAATTTCGAGACCAAAAAAAAAAAAAAAAAGTGTCCTCTTACCCCCCCCCCCCCCCCCCCCCCCCCCCCCCCCCCCCCCCCCCCCCCCCCCCCCCCCCCCCCCCCCCCCCCCGCTTATTCAGCGGCTGGCTGAGTCGTTGCGAAATTTTCGGACCGATTTATAAATGTTAAAACCCCCCCCTTGAAAAAATCCTGCGTACGCGCCTGATGGGCCCCCACTGCCCCCCCCCCCCCCCCCCCCCCCCCGGAGGCCGCCTCTGGGTGATATATATAGATCTATAGGTTTGCAATTATATAGGGTCGAGTGGCTTAATTCATGTCGACTTTTTCATTGAGATCCGTTTAAAAAAAAAGTGCATGTAGGTCTAGTATAAGGATCTCTCTCTCTCTCTCTCTAGCTGCGCTGGGCTCTTTTGTGTAGCGCCATCTTTCGTTCAAAATTTGAAAGTCGGTTCTAAATCATCATGGCAGACACAACGAAGCAAGAGGAGAAGAAACCGGAGCCCAAAAGTGACAAAAATGACAAAAATGACAAGAAGACCGAAGATGAAAAGGAGCAGGATTTGGTAAGAATCAGTCATTATTTAATTTAATGTGAGCGTTATGGTTTTGTTTATTATAGGGATTTCAGAAAGTAAAGGTTCAATGCTGTCTACTGATGATGACAATGCAAGTTTTATGAAAACATCATGAAAAGGAGCGGATGGGACCAGGCTAAAATTGTGTATAATGGTTGTGTGACCGTTCGTGTGACTAGGCTAGTTTGCGCATGTTCATGGTTCGCTATTTAGATTTCGAAAATCTGATATCTCCAATGAAAAAATGAACATCAAATTACACGATGACAAAATTTTCTTTGGAATATGGTGTGAAATAATGAAAATATGGACAGATTTTGCAGTCATTTGCGAATTGCATCCTTTCCGAAAAAATGTGAACTTGTCGAACAACTAACCGAACAGGGTCTGGAAATCTTCATTTTGAGAGCAGATTTCCTCAAAATTGTAAATAAAAAGTACCACCATCTGATTGTATGACATTTGATTGACATTTTCCCTTTCAAAATATTATATTTGATGGATTGCTTTGTGCAAATTCATACACAAAAATATATTTAAAAAATTGACTTGAAAACACATCAGACAATCGGTAGGGGCGCTGGTCCGAGAATAAGGATCGTCTTCATAAACAAGGACCAATGCGTCCTCAAAAATAAGGACCGTGTGCATTTTCGCAGACGTTTCACATTTTTGATCGGTGCATTAGCGATGCAAAAAATGGATTCTGCAATGATTTTCTTGATGCATTTTACATTAACTTTGTAAAGAGACCTTCACATTATGAGCAATATATCCTTGGGAAGACGGACAACCCATAAAAGTAGACGGTGAATTAGGGTTGCTTTCCCCCGGGGAATCCATTTTTGCCATTGGCAGCAGGCCGTTCTGTAACATGAAACCCCCCAGAGCGCCGATGATAAAAAACGTCCTCGAAAATGCAGACAACCCTTATTTTTCAGGACATAGTTTGTCTGCGTTTATGAGGATATCCTTGTTTATGAGGATGATCCTCATTCTAGGACCAGCGCCCCTACTGACAATAAGTCTGAGACAGTGAGAAAATATTGGGTTGTATTTATGAATTTTGTAAATGCCTCTACAGCCACAGGATTGAATCAAATTATAAACTATTGTAAGGTGCAAAATTTTAATGCTAGACAGATGGCTTTCATTCAACAATTGCACAAAGTTTCTTGCCACAAAAGTTTAGGTTATTACAATTCTTTTAGTTTTACTTGGCACTTTTCATATCGGTTTTCTTCTCTTTTTTTTGTGTGTGAACAGTCTGAGGAAGACAAGACGCTTCAAGAAGAGCTGACAATGCTAGTGGAGAGGTTACAGGTAAGCCTGTTCACACAGAACAGATTTCAGTCTGTACATGTAGCTGATAAGTAGTTAACCTTGAAGCTATGTTATAAGCCATTTTCATTATGTATTCAGATTTTCAAGATTACTAAGCAGCGAGCTTTGATATTATACATTAATGTATTTCAATACTCAGAATGTGAATAGACCTGTTTACTAACAAAACAAACTTGAAAACTTGCCCAAGGCTTGCCCTACATAGTAACAAGAAATGTATGCAGACTGGATTCCAAATATTGTAGGTTATTCATAAATGACAGGTTAATGGAATACAATGTCACTAGGGCCCCAGGATCAAAATATCCATAAATTTTAATATATAGGTTAGTACCTAGGTCCATTGCATACTTTAGTTCTTGCTAGTTAAGTAGGACAAATATGGCTAGCACAACATGTACATGTAATGTATGCAATTTGCATTCTGCCTATTGAAATACAGTTATTTGTAATGGATAAATGAAATCATTCATAACAGAGACTCATTCATTAGATTGATTACATTACCAAGAGGGCCTATTTTATGTAGTTATTTTTAGATAATTGTGTGTTTATCCACTGACAGGTACATAGAAAGATATAGCAGCTTGATGTGTTTACCAGTAAAAACTAGTTTAAACCAGTAAAAACCAGTTTAAACCAGTTTAAATGAAAATGATATGTTCTCTAATGGATAATTTTAATAGGCAGTTGCACTCCTCACAAAAGACATTGCCGACGTAGTGTCACAGATGAGCAAGTAATGCAGTCTCTAGCCCGATTTACGTTAAACTGCAGCAATTTGATAGAGAAAATAGAGACTATGATCAGTTTGCATTGTCACACATTCTTCAATTCTTGCTTTTCATTTACAGGAGAAGGATACCTCCCTCTATCGCCCCGCCCTGGAACAGTTGAGGACGATGATAAGAGCGTCGACAAGTTCGATGACCTCGGTTCCAAAGCCTCTCAAGTTCCTTCGCCCTCACTACGACACTCTCAAGGAGATCTTTGAAAACATGGCTGTCGGTGATAACAAGGTATTAACCTGTTTACTACTGAAATCTCTTATTCTCATAGGTTTGATACAGGGGCCACCAGGTTCCAGGAGGGAATGGGTTATATTCATTCACCCCAAAATTAGAGAACAAAATTTAATCACAATAAGAAAGTTATGAATTTTCTAAAAAAGCTGTAATCACATTGATACGTAAGGGAAATTCAAATTGGCTGAAGCAATGAGGTCACTGCGATGTAGTGGTGAGCAACTCTCCCATTTGTTCCAACGTAAAAATACAAATGTGTACATTTAGAAAAATGTATTAATCAATGGGATATTTCTTTTTAGAGGATCTACATAATAATGTGTTATCAGTGTTTTGAGAAGTTCCCAAGGGAGAAGTTGCTTTGGAGAAGAACAAAAAGTAATATGATATTTGTGTACACGACAAACAAGTAGGCCTGAGTCGAAACGGGTCCCCGCCCGGGCCCCGACCGTCGAGCTGAAACCCGGTTTTTGGTTTTCGGGTTTCGGTTTTTCAAAATTAAATTTCACACTGATATTTTGAAATATAGAACTAAAAATATGGAATTCACAAACTTATATTTCAATATAATCAAATAAATATGCTTTAGAAATAAATGGATATTGTTTCAATTGACGGTAGGTGTTTTTATCGCTCTAAAATTGAGGCTGCAAGAAAGGAATCACGCTTCGTGGTACCGATCGAGTGCGTTCAGAAACGGAAGTGGAAATAGATCTATGACCCACTGAAGACAGAGCAAGAAAATGCCACACACAAGACTAAAATATTGATCAGACTATTGCAATTAAATCGTAATACTAAAGGCATTAATTTAATTGTCAAAATATATCCACAACATAATGGTTTATCCTTGATAGTTTGATGAAGGAAAATAAATTAGAGCTCTTGAAATAACATTGAAGTGCCTTTCGTTCGTTCTAAAAAATGCGTGTATAACGGCAAGCAGAAGTTACGAGTCAAGCTTGATATGCACGTTTAAATCGCTACACCGTCATCCGACCTGATCGGAACAATAAGCATTAAACCAATTAAAAAACATCACGGAAGACTTTAAGGGACTCCAATTCAACAAAATTACCGTAAAATAATTATTTGCTTTGACAAATAATACTATAGATATTCATAATATCTTACAGAAATAATGATATTTCATGAGCTACGTACTCGATATCGAGTTCAGCTAGCCATCATTTTGAAATGAGACGTAGTTGTCATGCATGCAGCGCAGAATGCGGCAGCTCGCAGCTAGAGAGGGAAAAAAAATCACGTAATAGTCACGTGAATATCACGTGATCTCAGGCCCGCGCTTTTTCCTCTCTCTTCTGCATACTGCCCTCTACAGTCTACAAAGGAAGAAGAAAAAAAAGGCTCTCAGTCAACCTGTTTCTCTATCATGTTTCTTAATGACTCTTTCATTGTATTTATGCAATTCATGTATATTTCCTTAGTGTATCCTTACATCAACTTCTTTTTTGGAGGTTCTATGTTTTTCTTCTTGATAATGATTATATTGTTCATGTACTTTGTATTGCACTTAACATTTAATGACAGTTTATATGTTCATGTACCCCCTCAGCGTTTTCATTATTTTGGGAAATGGATATGGCTTTTTACAAATACTTATTATTTAATATTATTTATTTATTTATTTAATTGACATATTTATACAGAATAGAAAAGAAACAATCGAATCAGCCAAGCTGTTTTTCATTTTAACATGATTAAACATTTCCAATTCTAACCAATGGGATTCTTTCCATTACATCAGTGTTTTTTTTTTCTTCATTTGCAGTGTTTCTGTGCAGACATTATCTCTGTGTTGGGCATGACCTTGAGTGATAACAAAGACTGTCTCAACTTCCGCTTGGTCGGATCCAAAGAGGACATCGCATCATGGGGCCATGAATACGCAAGGTAATATTAGAGACATGTAAATCCGGTTTCTCAAGGGTACAACCATTCAGGGATTTTGTTTTGTTTGATGATGATTGTTTTACCTGACTGCTAAGAAAGCATGTACTGTATATGCTTGTAAGTAAACAACCAGGGTACAGACGGCTTTAAGTTCTCTCCAAGGGACTTGATAATGAGGATTGATGCCTTCCCAAAGGGCACGATCGCATTGAACGGGTTTTGGACCAGGGACCTCGCGGTTACAAGCCCACTGCTCTACCACTGAGCCATCACGATTCCTCACCTAATTAAAGATGTTCTCAATCACCTAAAGTGGCCTTCACTTTTACAACCGTATGGAGCGTTTGATGGAAAAAGTCATCATCGTAAATTTTCCCTCACCCAAAGTCTCTCAGAGAGACCAGGGGTATAGGGACATCCAATTCGCTGTGTCTGATACTTGTTCACTCTTTAAGAGTATTTCCATCGGTACGGTGTCAGCGAATTATGACCCACTGCACATGGAAGCTGCACAGTACAGTATATAATATAGTAGTATAAAATGAACCTATTATTATTATATCAGGCACCTTGCGGGTGAGATAGGCCAGGTCTGGAACGAGACCGATGCCGAGAAGGACCAGGTCCAGCGCGAGAAGCTCCTGACCCTAGCCAAGGAGATCGTACCCTACCACATGCAGCACAACGCCGAGGCGGAGGCCTGTGACCTTATCATGGAGATAGAGCAACTGGACATCCTTCAGGACTACGTCGACAAGAATGTCTTCCCTCGAGTTTGCCTCTATCTTATCAGGTATGGCCAATTTGAGCAGTGGTTGCGAAAGACTGATTTTTGACAATGTGTTGGTGATTGTTTTTACCCGTCTGCTAAGTAAGCATGTTAGTGCTTTCTTATATCAGGTATTGCCAATTTGAGCAGTAGTTGCGGAAGACTGATTTTGATGATGTTTGGTGATTGTTTTACCTGTCTGCTAAGTAAGCATGTTAGTGCTTTCTTATATCAGGTATTGCCAATTTGAGCAGTAGTTGCGAAAGACTGATTTTTTATAAATATTTGATGATTGTTTTACCTGTCTGCTAAGGAAGCATGTATGCGATTTCTTAGCATTTAATTTCTTATATTTTCTAATGCTTTCTTATATTTTGAATTTTTTTTTTTTTTTTTAAATGAGCCATTACCGGTACATTTCACCAAACAGAATCTCTATCAAGGCTTTGTTGACTATATTCTCACATAGTATTTTGCTAAATATTTTGTGAGATGTTATTGCAAATCATACTGCACTTCCCTTTTTCAGGGAATTTAAGATATCAAATTATGTCGACAGGGCTTACTTCTGAAAGAGAACACTTTGTTCTAATTACAGTCAAACTTGCTCTTATAGTGACCACCTGTCTACAAAGACCACATGTTTTGTTTCCCTTGAAAACAGTTCCTCCTTGAAACATGTACCAAAGGAACCTGTACATAAAGACCACCTGCCTATAAAGACCACTTTCTTGTCTCCCTTGGGTGGTCTTTATAGACAGGTTCCACTGTATATGCAAATGATATGTTTTATAAAAACAGTTATCCTTGGATGTAGCTCCATTCACATGCCTCTTTGAAATTTCATCTCCTTGTAGCTGTGTTAACTATGTCCCAGAACCAGAAGACTCCATCCTGTTGAGAACGGCCCTGGATATTTTCAGGAAGTTCAACAGCTATCCCGAAGCTATGAGGCTGGCGATCAGGCTGAACGATGTGGAGCTCATAGAGAAGATATTCACCTCCTGCCAAGACAAGTAAGTCATGTCTCTTCTGCTCCTGCAGATGTACAGGGTGGTTTTTCACCAAGACAAAGATCGACTTTAAGTTGGACTCACTTATAGCAGCCACTAGTTCCTCTTACCAATCCTGGCATTGGATTTTCAAGGGATGTTGAAATCGTGGTCACAAATCTTCAGAATTTACCTTTTTTGATAATTCATTATTGAAGGGAAAAACATTGTCTAAAGATCATAATTGAAAGACCAATGGTGAGAGCAACCAGTGGCATAATTGGCCTGCCATAGTCGATCTTAGTCTTTTTGAAACACTCCCCAGGACACCATGTTGCGGGGGGTGTATCTTCGTACTTTAAAAGTTGTGCAGTTGAATTCACAGTGGTGTGTAAGATTTAATCTGTGTGCGGTTAAAAATAAGAGACGCAATCCTAGCGCAACTGTATCACAGGGTAATCTGAAATACAATAAATGAGCATTTGCCACTCTCCACCCAAGAAATTTAAATGGATGCCATTTTTGATAAGTATGTCATATGGCCACTTGTCTTTCATTGTACCTTTGTTTATAAAAATGTATGTATCCATCATTTTGTACATTTGCTTTGCTGTTTTATGCTTTGAGCAATATTAAATAAAGACTTATCATAAGCCAGTCAAAGAGAAGGTTGAGTTCTTTGAAAGGTCTAATATGATAGTGAGCGTTTCCATTCTCATTATGTGAGTGTAGATGAATATCATCCTGGATACTAGCCACCGGACCATGTTAAGTAGGCTCTTACTCATTGTGGCCTTCTCACCTTTTGACCTCTTAACCTCTGACCATTAACCCCTAGGTTGGTCCAGAAGCAGCTAGCCTACATGTTGGGATCCCAACAGATCTTCTTAGAACTTCCAGAGGAGACCGAAGATTACGATGACCTCGTTGAGATCATGTCTAATACTCAACTCAACACACACTTTCTTGCTCTAGCTCGAGAGGTAAGGTCTTGTTCATACTAGAAAAGATAATATGTGTATTGTAGGTAGTGGTAGTAGTGGAAGTTTTAGTAGTAGTATTAGACATAGTAGTAGTAGGAGTAGTCGTTGTCGTAAAAGTAGATGATTTTATTGACCTTGTTGAGATCATTACACACTTTCTTGCTCTAGCTAGAGAGGTAAGATCCTTGCTCATACTAGAACAAATTATTTGTATGGTAGTGGTGGTAGTAGTAGGAGTAGTAGTAGTAGCAGCAGCAGTAGCAGCGGCAGTAGTAGTAGCAGTAGAAGGAGTAGTAGTAGTAGCAGTAGCAGTAGTTATAGTAGTAGTAGTAGTAGTAGTAGTAGTAGTAGTGGTAGTGGTAGTGGTAGTGGTAGTGGTAGTGGTAGTGGTAGTGGTAGTGGTAGTAGTAGTAGTAGTAGTAGCAGTAGCAGTAGTTATAGTAGTAGTAGTAGTAGTAGTAGTAGTAGTAGTAGTAGTAGTAGTAGTAGTAGTAGTGGTAGTAGTAGTAGTAGTAGTAGTAGTAGTAGTATTAGTAGTAGTAGTAGTAGTAGTAGTAGTAGTAGTAGTAGTATTAGTAGTAGTAGTGGTAGTGGTAGTAGTAGTAGTAGTATTAGTATTAGTAGTAGTAGTGTAGTAGTAGTAGTAGTAGTAGTAGTAGTAGTAGTAGTAGTAGTAGTAGTAGTAGTAGTAGTAGTAGTAGTGGTAGTGGTAGTGGTAGTGGTAGTGGTAGTGGTAGTAGTAGTAGTGGTAGTGGTAGTAGTAACAGCAGCAGTAGTAGTAGCAGTAGAAGTAGTATTAGTAGTAGCAGCAGTAAGAGTAGGGGTAGTAATAATACAGGTTGTAGTACATGGCATAGATGTGGTCAGCTATACAGATATTGATGAATAAAGAAAGATAATTCAGAGAGAACGATGTTTTTCTTCAACCTCAACTTTTCTTTGTTTATTTTCAGCTTGATATTATGGAGCCCAAAGTCCCAGAAGATATCTACAAGAGCCACTTGGAATCAACCAGTAAGTTTCTTATAGATTACGTTTATGCTATGGTCAGATCTCACCCTGCGTATTTGCATGTGGGTGACTATGTGTCCTCAGGACTGTGTGGTCGGGTCATAGGACATCTCCTGCATTTTCTATGACCTTGTAATCATCCAGGCTAATATTGGAGCACATTAAAATATCCAATAGTTTTTAGTACCTTTCTTCTTAAGCTTTGAAATGTTATGATCAAACGTTAGTATTAAAGGGTAATAGTCAGTAATACATCAATTGTCAAGTTTACAAGACTGAAATTACAAGATTGATTGATTAATCTAGGAATTGGAACTAGTTACGTCCTTGGACACAAGTTATTCTATCTCTATCCTTGCTAGTTAGGTATATCATACAACAATACTACATGGTACAGCAACATTTGCTCAGCGGTCACTTCCTTCACTTACCTCATTCCTAACTTCAACCCTGGACCCAGCACTGTATCTAACCCAAAGCCTGACGCACAGCAACCCTCTCCCTAACCCTATTATTTTTGATGAAATAACGCCTTTAGCTTTTGTCGCAGAAGCCAGTGAGGAGCACCATATCATTGATGAAGTAAAGTTCAGGAACAAATTTTGGGTCACTGTCCAAACAATGCCTCTTTCTTTGAATTCAAACTTTCCTTTTTGAAACTTTTTCTTTGACAGGGCCCTCGTTTGCCCCAAGCGGTTCTCAAGTGGATTCGGCCAGGCAGAACCTCGCTGCGTCTTTTGTGAACGGTTTCCTGAATGCTGGGTTTGGACAGGACAAGTTACTCACAGACGACGGCAACAAATGGATCTACAAGAACAAGGAACACGGTAAATAATGAAGAGGAATTTCATTTTTACAGTTTTATTGTATCCCTTAAACTTGAGCCTGGATGGCGAACAGCGGGGGAGGGTGGCGACTGTAATCTTTGTCTGCCATGTGTATAGCGAAAGTCATATTGAGAGTCAGCGGAGGATCTGGGCTCTGTTTCATGAAACTTGTTATCAATAGCTAGTTACAATAATTGTTACTTATAAGCTACTGAAATCATGGCATTTGATTGGCTGAGAGCTATTTTGTCCTAGATATTTAGAATAACAAGTTTTGTGAAACTGGGGCCTGATTACTGCTATACTACTACCCCAATATTCCGTTATACTTTCACACTATGCTATTGAAAGTTTTGAAACTTTGGTGATGTAAGTATATTTCAACACAATGCATGGTGAGAAAACTTAAGATTTCCAAGAACTATTAATTTCTTTCATTCATTTATTGCAACCGTGTGTTTGATAAAAGACTACATTATGAGCTGATCTTGTTATTGAGATCATAAATGTGGAAATTGTATCATTCTATATGTTTTGAATTACAATTTTTGTTTAGGTATGATGAGTACGACGGCTTCTCTAGGCATGGTGCTCTTATGGGATGTGGACGGTGGTCTTACTCAGATTGATAAATACCTCTACTCATCGGAAGATTATATCAAGGTAATTACACACACTCCCTCTCTCCCTCTCCTCCGTCTCCCCTCTTTCACCCCGCTCCCTTTCTCTCTCTCTCTCTCTCCCCTCTCTCTACCTCTCCCCTCTCTCTACCTCTCCCCTCTCTCTCTCTCTCCCCTCTCTCTACCTCTCCCCTCTCTCTACCTCTCCCCTCTCTCTCCCTCTCCCCTCTCTCTACCTCTCCCCTCTCTCTACCTCTCCCCTCTCTCTACCTCTCCCCTCTCTCTCCCTCTCCCCTCTCTCTCTCTCTCCCCTCTCTCTACCTCTCCCCACTTCCCTCACCCTGTTTCTCTCTCTCTCTCTCTCTCTCTCTCTCTCTCCCTCCCCCTGTCATCTTTCCTTCTCCCTCCCCCTCTCCACCTCTTCCCATCTACCTCTCCATTTCTATATCTCCTTCTCACCCTCTCCCTTTTCCTTCTCCCTCCTCTCCCCCTCTCTGTCACCTGTCTTTTCCTTCCCCTCTCTTGATCTCTCCCCATATACCTCTCCACCTGTATACCTTTTTTCTCTGTTCATGTTTAATTAGGCGATTATTCATGAACGCTTCAAGCTTTGAAAACAAAATTTCATATTTATATTTGTATTGAGATTCTCTATTTACATGCCATTATATTTTTTTGCTCCATGGCCTAGGTTAAGAGGGGAGGGTGAATCTGGATTCTTTTCTTTACCTTCTTTCTGACCATTTCTCTCACCAGTCTGAGACTCTCCTAGCTAGCAGCATTGTAAATCCAGGTGTCAGAAATGAGTACTTTCTTTCTCTTACAGTTCACATGTTCCTTTCTCTCACCAGTCTTAGACTCTTAACTGCATGCCACATTGTAAATTTGGGTTAAAGAAGTAAGAAACAAGTATAAATTCTCTCGCTTACCTTTGTCATAATCCTTTCTCTCACCAGTCTGGGGCTCTTCTAGCATGCGGCATTGTAAATTCTGGTGTAAGAAATGAGTGCGATCCAGCTCTAGCTCTCCTGTCTGACTACGTGCTTCATAACAACAACGTCATGAGGATAGGAGCAATCTTCGGGTGAGTGTACTCTCATCGATACTGTATAAGCAGTTATTTCCATGGGGTTTATTTTGTTTGTGAATTTCGCGAAACACTATTGATTGTGAGTTTTAACAACACACAACAATATTTCAGGCAAGTCATGTGGCATGAGTTGGTACAGGGTCATGTGATGGCAGTTTTTAAGACCACGCTGATGGTCGCGGCCGGCACCTGGTTTATGAACTAAAAATACCGGAGCCTACCCATAATATGATATTGGGAAATACTGCAACGTCGCTTCTAATGTGATTATAATAATAATAATATATGAGATTTGTAAGTCCCCAAGGCCCCAAATCCACTTGAAATCAAATGCTAAATGTGCACTTGTGAAATCAGCCAACAAAAACCAAACAAAATATAGAGATCACATCACATAGAAGCATCTGCTTTATAAACAAAGGAACAGAAGTATTAGATAGAACATACACAAATGACAGACAATTGATTATAAGCAGAATTGAGCGATAAAGATATGTAAGGTAATGTACAAAATTGTGATAATTTTCTTGATTGCAGTCTTGGTCTGGCGTATGCTGGATCAAACAGAGAAGACGTGATTAGTCTCCTTCTACCAGCCTTAGCAGATACAAAGTCTAACATGGAGGTAAGCTATATAATAGTGCATTTATTTAATCATTTACATATTTATTTCATCATTAATTATATATTTATTTATATATTTATTCATTTATGTATTTGTTTATTCATGTATTTATTTATGCATTTATTTGTTTATGATTATTTATTTGTTTATTCATTAATTAATTAATTTATGTATGAATTTGTATTTGTTGATTGATTGATTTAATTTCCATAATAATGATGATAATAAGAACAAATGTTATTGCCTGGGTGTTTTGGTGGTCAGTAATTGCTAAAAAGGGGCGGTAAGTGTATCACTAGTGGCCAAGCGTGTTATTATATTTTCCCCCTTTTTCCCACAAACTGCATTATATTTGACAGGTTGTAGGAATCACAGCTTTAGCGCTAGGTCTTATCGCCGTCGGCACCTGTAACGGTGAGGTGACGAGCACCATTCTTCAGACCCTCATGGAGAAGACCAAACTAGAACTCAAGGATAACTTTGCTCGGTACCTGGCCCTGGGTCTTGCTCTAACGTACCTTGGTGAGTCTATTTGGAGTATATTTAGAACCCCCCCCCCCCCCCAACAACAAAAAAGAAAAGTATCTCATGAAATTGTATTGATGACAAAGCTACTTTGTAAATACACATTATGCTGGTACCTTCCAAGTTACTTTTATAGTATTGCACCAATATATATCCATGTTTTCTATTCTTTTGCTGTAATAATGTGCAGTTCTATGTATGTAGGTTATTTTTTAATTGCTTAGGTCAAGTAAGATTTACCTGAATTATATTGAATGAATTTAATAATCTTATTCTTCTTTGAATTTATTATAGGCAAACAAGAAGCAGTTGAGGCCACCCTTGCAGCTTTGGATGTACTCCCAAGCCCTTTCAAAGAATTTGCCAAGATTCTAGTTGATGTTGTAGCATACGCAGGTGAGTATCCTAACTCATATACAGAGCTGCCAACCATTATGTTTTTCCCGGACTTATTCTGTTTTTTTCAAAATTACAGTCGTACATTGTAGGTTTTTGCTTCTTAAAATTCTTCTTTTGTTTGATCTCACTCTTATCTTATTTTTTATTATTATATATGCATGATTTATTGAATAAAGAACAGATGTATAAGTTGTGTGTTTATTATAAGTTTTGGTAAATAATTGTTAAGTCAGAATATGGTGCGCTTAGAGACACCAGTATTAAGCGCCTTATAAATATTGTTTATTATTATTATTCTTCTTTCTTTTCTTCTTTTTTTAGACATACCGCAAGTCAACCAATTAATTAGTTAATTTTTCACCTCTCTAGATATTTGTCTATCTATAATTCAATCTGTCAATCCATCTATCTATCTATTGACTTATCTACCTCTATATCCATCTATTTATTGATTTATCTATCTCTCTATCCATTTATCTATCTATCTGTCCATCCATCTACCTCTTGACTTATCTTTCTCTCTATCCATCTATTGCTTTCAGGCACTGGCAATGTCCTTAAGGTCCAGCACCTCCTCCACATCTGCAGCGAGCACATCGAGGACGAAGACGGAGAGGAGAAGGAGAAGAAAGAGGAGAAGAAGAAAGAAGAGAAGAAATCAGATGACGGTCCAGTGGATCACACATCACATCAAGCCGTAGCGGTGCTTGGTATCGCTCTGATTGCCATGGGGGAGGAGATTGGATCGGAAATGGCTCTGAGAGCCTTCGGACATCTAGTAAGTTCAATTTAGAAGTCGCTTCAAAACAAAACATTGATAAAAGGAGATTGATGTTATGTTTGAATGTGATGGATTAACGGTTAGGTTAGTGCATGTGCACTGTAGGTTGTGCCTATCTTTTATACGATGAGTGTGTATGGGTTGATGGGGGTACTTATATGTCCTTTGTCCTTCACATTGATCTACATTTGCCACTCTCCACCCAGGTGTTAAATGGGTACCCGGTAGGATGCGAAAGTTAATGTGGTTAGATGAGCAAGTGTGCACTTGTAAAAATGACGCCTGGCTGGAATGCTCCCCAGGGAGTAGAGAATGTGCATACATTGTGGGCAGGTAAGCCTGAATCCGATGACCAGGGTAATAATATATATCTGTAAAGCGCTTTGAGAGGGCCTGTAGTCCTGAAAAGCACTTTATCAGAACCAACTATTATTATTATTATTATTAATATACCCTTGGGAAAGATCCACTGCACCAGTCAGATGGTGCTGATTGGTTAGCTAAGGATGGATCCTGATTGGTCAAGATTGGCTGTTGGTCATTCATACAATCATTACTCTCTTCCCTCCTAGTTACGGTACGGTGAGCCCGTCATCAGACGATCAGTCCCTCTTGGTCTAGCCTTGCTGTCCGTCTCTAACCCTCAGCTCCAGATACTCGATACACTCAGCAAGTTCTCTCACGACCCCGACAACGAGGTCGCTCACAACGCCATCTATGCTATGGGCATCGTTGGAGCAGGTAGGTCCTACTTCTGCCACACATCCTCTGAAAATTTGTTCGTGCCCAACTTTTATACTATTGTCTCTATACACCTCTCCATTGTCAATAATTTTATTTGTGTCTCACTTGGTGTCTAAATCCATGCTTTCTCTTTCTGTCGTTTAACCTTTGTTTCTCAATCTCGTTCTTTTATCCCCCTCTCTTCCTTTTTTCTTGTTCTTATTCTTCCTTTCTCTTCTCCCTCAGAAAAGTTTCTCTCACTCTCCCTCTCTCTCTCTCTTTTTGTCCGTCTCTTTGTCTGCCTGAATGTTTCAATCAACTATCTCCATGACTAATTAACTCTTTCCCCTTCTTCTTTCCTAATTACACTTTTACATACCTTTCATGTACCTTTTCCTCTCTCCCTCTCACTTTGCTTCGTAATCATTTTCCAATCATATTGCAGACCAACTAAGACATGATTGATAACATCAGGAATATCATTTGAGCAGATAACTTGAACAGCGGAAGACAAAACGTTTTGGAGAACCTGTATCTCAATGTCCATTACATTGTCGCTCCAACGGCTTCTAAGCTATGCAAAATAGACAGATAAATCAATAATGATAATCAATTAATTTTTTTCTTCTCGGCGTAGGTACCAACAACGCCCGCCTGGCTGCCATGCTCCGTCAGCTCGCTCAGTACCATGCCAAGGACCCGGCCAACCTGTTCATGGTCCGTCTAGCTCAGGGGCTCACCCATCTAGCCAAGGGCACCCTGACCCTCTCCCCGTACCACAGCGACAGGCAGCTACTCAATCAGGTGGCTCTGGGAGGTCTACTGGCTACCACACTAGCATTCCTGGATGTCAAGAACAGTGAGTCACATGACAGATCACATGACCACACCATATGCATGTAATACTTAGTCACCTTGAGTGATTGTATGAACCTTGCTCCTGCAACTTTTTCCTACACTAATCGATTTCTTAACTTCAACCCTCAACCCAACACTATAGCTAACCTTAAACCTAACCTAAGACCGACTCGAGCCCAGAATAATTGTTGCTGGGTATAATGTCAGGTCATTGATAATACCACTTGAGCAAATTTTCTGATGGGCTTTCAATATTCCTTCAAGAAATTCCTTGAATGCTGTGAGCACCACATATGTACCCAAGCTAGAGAGATTATACTTTGAGCTCCTCACATGGTGGATGTGAGCACTTTAGAATTATCCAGAAATTATTACTGTTATAATTATTATGATGATTAATGATTATGATGATGACGATGATGATAATTATTAGTAGTAACATCATTATTATCATCCTTATCATTAGTATTTACTATGATTAGTATAACTATTATTTCTTGACAGTCATTATATGAATTTTATATTTATTTATTTTGTAACCTTCTATCAGCGATATTGAGCAAGTCTCACTACCTGGTGTACGGCCTGGTGACAGCAATGAGACCGAGAATGCTTGTAACATTCGATGAAGAACTGAGACCGCTCCCTGTACAAGTCAGAGTCGGACAGGTAAGTACTGCAAAAGCTCTTCTTTTCACAAATTTCCCAAATCATGTCATATTTACTTTATGATATGAATGATTGAGAACCAGGCATATAACAGAGATGCCAACTAGTACGGATTTCCCGTAATTTCTACGGGAAATCGGCTGATTACGGGCGGTACGATTTTCATACCATAAATCCCAGATTTTGCCGATTTTGCCGATTTTCAAAATTAGCACTTTAAGGTTTAGCACATACTTTTGACTATTGCAGCGCAGCCATCCTTGAATCCATGCATAGAAATCCCATAGGGCTTCCGATTGGACAATTTGTTATCTAGCACACCCCTTTCACAGTGCAGGTGCATACATGTGTGTCTTTGTATATTCTGACTGTGTACGTGTGTGCGTGTGTGCCCAGCAGAGAAAGACAGCTTCGCGAGCGGGGGCCGGGTGAAATACCTCTCTTGGCCGCGCCGCTACCGGGCGGCCAGCGCCAGGCCTCGCTACGCTAGCGCCGTGTTCACTGTCGGATTTCTCACAGGCTGTCACAGCGTTCATCGATTTTCGTCGACAATCTGAACTCATGTTGGTTGGATTTAGAGATCAATCCTCATGTCTTCCACAACTAAGAAGCGTGGCAAGAAGTTACAGACTTTTAAAGAAGAATACAGTAAGAAATGGAAATGCATCGTTCCTTCAAAGAAAATATGGAGTTGACACCAACTTATGAACTTACATGTGCAAGGACGCTGCAAAAGACTATAGTAACATATCAAGACATTTTGTCATGAGTTCATCCAGTCTTTCAGTAGAATACTTTCAATATGGAGTTACATGCACATGTAACACCAACTAATGAACAGGTATGTTACTTTTATTTAACTTGTTGTGCTATCGCGCTTGCCTGCGGGAGCTGCGCTTGCCAGCGTGCAGAAAAATTTGCGTCGCGCAGAAAATTACTGATTTTGTCTCCAAATTACTGATTTTTAGCCTTATGATTACTGATTTGTGCTCTGAAAGGTTGGCATCCCTGATATAATATAATTCTTCAAGGCACAAGAAGACAAAATAATACATACACAAAAACAATTAATTGGATAGTAAATATTGAATTAGACTCGTTTTGTATAGAATAAGCACATAGTTTTTTAGTTACACATGCCTAAGACCACCACAGGGTTCCTGATGCATAACACACCACTACTGTAATGTTTGTGTGACCTATCTTACTACTATTCATTCCAAATAAATGGTAATTTAATATCAGTGAATTCAACTAAAACCTTTGATTTTCTTTTCTTTCTCAGTCTGTAGATGTGGTCGGCCAGGCAGGCAAGCCCAAGACCATCACAGGATTCCAGACGCACACAACACCGGTCCTGCTAGCGTACGGAGAGAAAGCTGAGCTCGCTACGGATGAATGTATCCTTTATCAATCAGTAGCAAATTGGCAATTTTACATTACATGGCTTTGTTGCTGGTATTTTTATGCCTCCGTTACGAAGTAGCCGGAGGCATTATGTTTTCTGATTGTTTGTCTGTCCGTACGTCCCGTTCTCATGATCATGTTATCTTATTGATTGATTACCGCCAAACTTGGGTCATTGGTTATTGTTTGTTTGTTTGTTTGTTTGTTTTTATTTCTGCGTTCAAAATAATACAATACATAATATAAAATGTGTTTACAAAGATAATATACAAAACAATTCATAAGATAAACAATATAGTCATGATACATAATGAATACAAAATAAGGAAGTGAGCTTAAACTTTTTTTATAGATATATATATATCCATATATACGCACATATACATACATATACATATATATATATATATATATATACATATACTGTACATAGCACATGCATACATACATACACATACACATATACACCTATACATACTCTCACATATAATATAATATATAATCCAATCAATGAACGCAGGAGACCGCCATTGGTTAGTGGTTATTGATTGACTGGTTTTACCATAGGTTATAGTGTTATAAAAAACCGTTAAGGGAAAACGATTTTTGAAATTTTGAATAATTCCAATCATAAATATCTTAATAATAAGATTGGCGACCAGCTTGTAAAAGTCATGGGATTCTTGACTGACATAAAGGTTTACAATTATATGATTGCAGCATGATTTAATTCCAGGATTTTGATTAGAATCTGAGGCGAAGATACCCAATCTCATTAAAAGGACCATATTGCCCTCGTCTTATGACTCAGGGCGACACGATTATGTTGCGTGCAAAAATATTCAAGGTCATCCATTACTGCAGACAATTTCCTTAACCCTTTGTACCTCTCCAGATCTTCCTGGCACACCTATCATGGAGGGATTTGTCATCTTGAAGAAGAATCCAGATTTTGAGCAATGATTCCGGGCGGGGTCTACCGTCCTTAGCAACCAGATCCAGGGACCCTGACCTTGAAAGTAGGGTTCATACTTAAAAACCCATGGGCCACATTCTACAAACATGTTTCTTTGAAGCCTCGTTCACATATCACACTGTAAACTGCCGCAAAAAAACCCATCCAAATGAATAGCAACTGCGTTCAGCAAAGACTTGCATGTATTCACTGAGCTGTGTGTTATGAGATACAGAAATATGATGCATATTACACTCAATGTCATCATGAAATAACTACCGCCGTTTTGCTCTGTCATATTTGAACGAGGCCCTAATTTCAAGGAAAATTATTCACTGTTCATTACACCCTGTCATGGCAGTATATATTTGCATACTGTAAGTTTTGACGAAAAATACCTGGATTTTTATGTTTTGCCTGAAACGTTAATAATTACCATCACTATGGATAATTTCCAAGAGGTTTTTGTCTTATAATGAAACAATCAACCTTAGTATTTGACTCTTTATATATCTAGTGAAATAAAGCGAAACCTGTATATAAAGACCACCCGAGGAAGTCATTTTGAGAAAAGTGGTCTTCAAAGGCAGGTGGTCATTATGTACAGGTTCCTTGAATACATGTTGCAATGTAAATCACTACTCAACAAAACAAAACTAACAAATTTCAGGACAGTATAAAGAACCTTATTCATTATAACCCGAGGACATGTAGCCGTGAAGAAAGGGGAATAGAATTTCATCTGCATCTTCAAGCTACGGTTGGAGGGTCTGGTCACCCACATTTTGTTTTGTTTCGACTATGAAACCACCATTTTCTCTTTGGAATTCAAATTTGGTCCTGAACCTGTTTAGGAACAATGCTTGCAATCAAATAACTATATGAAGAAAATTTATGATTGACAGTTTATCTGCAAGTTGTTTTACAATCTGGTATTAGTGATACATGTCTGTCAAACTTTCCAACGCCACAAGGATTTTCGGAAAGCAGTTTCATACAAGGCCTAAAAAATAAATGATGTAGACATTCATAATTTATTCTTTTCAAGACATATGACATGCCTGAATTAAATTTTTTCTTTTTTTACTTTTCCGTTTTGTATATTATTACCTGTTAATGAAAAAGCTGGTTGTTAATGTAAGGTCCGCTTTCAAAGAAGACCAATTATATAATTAATGTGTAGATATTGACTTGATGTAATGATGTATTTGTATTGTTGCATTCTGAATACATTGTTTAGGCATGAACATTCAAACAGATTAAATTGTTTTGTGTAAAGCACACATGTTTGTATGTATATGTTTTATTCATTTACTGGGTCATGAGTCATGATTACAAAAGTAAATTTGACCAGACTGTTAATGTTAAGTTGTAGGGATGGACTGTTTTTTGTTCAGTCTACATTTTTTTCAGAGCGGAAAAGTCACGCTTTCCAATAACATACAACACTTAGAATTATCTGCAGTAGAAACCCACTTAAAGGCAGGGTATTTTACAGACTAGCATAAACTGATAACTTCAGGACTAAGAAGAATAGAGAGCAAGAAAGAGGCAGAGATTATTAAAGATAGACATGGACCAGAGAGATAGAGAAAGAGAGAGAGACGGACAGAGAGAAAGAGAGAGAAGAAGATGGACAGACAAAGAGAGAGTGAGAGCTGTATGAGAAATCATTGAAAGAATATAAAATGCATTTCAAAGAGGAAATGATTAAACATGACAAGATAACTTAATAGAGAATGGAATGAATTCATTTTATTTTCATTAAAATAAATAACATCAAATTTGATTATTTACAACACAAATTTGAAATAAAGCCCATTAAAATTTAACAAATTGCTAAGACTCGACATGAAAGACAATGTGGTAAAAATCTAGAGAGAAAACTAATATCTGATAAATATAATGTCTCTAAAACTGTAATGTAACACATGAAAGTAACCCATAACAATACACTATTTCTAATCCTTGGGATACAAAGCAAAAAATAATGAATTTCCAAAGCTTTAACCTAGCTTCTCAAATAAGGCACTCAATCATTCAGGGAGGTCTTTTGTGTACCAATAGACCATTTTTGTAATGTAACAAAATCTAATGGATATGTCGTTGCGAAGTGCCAGAATACAAATTATTTCATTCATCTGCTACAAATAATTGTATTTCAATAGTCAGAATGCGAACTGCAGACACTACTTGCTGCCAGGTAAGACAACGATTCTGGCTTTCCTCGCTTAAAGGTACTATGTCCCTTTTGCAGCCAACCTCAAATGCTGTAGAACTTTGCAGGAATTATGAATATGTCATGTATGTCCTATCTGTGAAATTTAAACGTAAGCAGTGTCCTCATATTCAAATTATGCAAGGAAACCTGTTTACTTGCTAGACTTCACTGGCAGACACTATTGAATGAGTGACTGGCTTTTTTCTTCTTTGGTAATAACATACATGAAAAGAGTTGTAAAGGGTACATGAGCATTTGTCTACATCAATAACCCACTTCTTGTGATGGCCAAGATTAAACTGATTGAATTTTTGCGCAGCATAAAACGTATGACAATTCGGTACAATTGTCTGAAAATCAAGACTATTACTTTTGGGCTCTATAGCCCTAAAGTCTATTTGACAACTAATAGTCGTTATTTTCCCACTTGAAGACATTTTCAAGCCCCACCTTTTTTATGGAAGTTCTAAATTAGTATTATCTTTCAAATGCAGTTGGAATTTAACTTTTTCATTTTTTTGGCCTGCAAATGGGACATAGTACCTTTAACAACATGTGATATGTGCATTTTGGTACAGTATTAATCCTTATGATATTACCAAGTCCCTCAGAGACGACTTCTAGCCTTCATTACCCTGGTCACTATACACAAACTTTCTTAGTCAGATACAAACTATCAACAATCGAATGCACGAGCACACAACTACATTTCAATCAAAGATCTACAAGCACAAGCACCTTTAGCTATCGAAAGTGGTAGCTTCAAGAAAAATATCAAATGTATGTACAACAAAAACATAATTTATTTCTATCCTAAAAAAAAATTAAATTTATCTTAAACAAAAAATGGAGATAATCAACAAGTCTGCATGGATCTGAGATGTAGACTAACAATTCAAAGGATAACTACTGTATTACAAACAAACAAAAAGTAATGGAGAAAAAATGTTTAAGTGTACCAAACACCAAACCATGCTTTACTTTTGATTTGAATTAGGTTTCCGTTTAAGTATTTAATATGGGCTACAGTATTTCAGTTCATTCTATACAAATCAACACATTTATTCCTTTCAATCAATTCTACATAAACTTATCTAAACTACAAGAACAACTTGTGTAATAACAATAAGTTTGCGATCATCACATCTAATCATTTCTTATCATAACTTACAAGTGATTACTATTTATATACTTTGGCTTACATATCACACATGAATTGATAATTCATTAAATAAGAAACGCTTGGACGGACAATGGACTCGTGGTATGGACGGAAATAATATAGTATACATGCACTATACCGGTAAAAGAAACTATAATTGTTGTGACCTACCATAATAATTCTCAACATTCAAGGTGTTTACAGGCCTAAGGATTATAAATACAAAGTCAATGACATTTTGAAAATGACACTCGGATAACATGAAAGATTATGTCAATGTCCATATCTATCTGAAACATATCCTCACATTATGAATTATCTGCCTGCATGGCAATCATATACCAGTAATTGATATCATTATCATCCCTTGTGAATGCACAGTATTCTGTCCTAGCTGTAGTTATATGTATAGCATTGGCAATGTTGATGTCAATTACAATGTCAATTACAATGTCAATTACAATGTCAATTACAATGTCAATTACAATGTCAATTACAATGACAAAATTGTCAAAGGCCATTACAGTTCTCACTCTGATTGTTTACTATGACATTGTATTCTTTTTTCCCTGTTTATTTTCATCTACGATCTGATAGTGACTTTCTCTCTTTCTATCTTTTCTTCACTGCTCCACCCACCTCCTCTACCTTTGGTCCTCTTCTACTCTCACTCTCTCTCTCTCTCTCTCTCTTTCTTTCTCTCTTTCTCTCTCTTTCTCTCTCTCTCTTTCTCTCTCTCTCTTTCTCTCTCTTTCTCTCTCTTTCTCTCTCTCTCTCTCTCTTTCTCTCTCTCTCTCTTTCTTTCTCTCTCTTTCTCTCTCTCTCTCTTTCTTTCTCTCTCTTTCTCTCTCTCTCTCTCTTTCTCTCTCTCTCTTTCTCTCTCTCTCTCTTTCTTTCTCTCTCTTTCTCTCTCTCTCTCTCTTTCTCTCTCTTTCTCTCTTTCTCACTCTCTCTGTCTGCATCCTCATCATACAAAACTGATTTCATGTAACTCACCAAACTAAAGCTGCTTTGAATATTATTTTACCATAACTGTAACTGTCTATTATTATGATTATTTGTTTTTGTAATTAATTGATCTGTAAAATTTCAACAGTGAAAAATGAATTTCCAAATCGATAATAAACACTTAATTTCTATTTTTTCTTCAATTAATGTCCAAATCTATCTGAAACTTGTCCTCACATTGTGAATCACTTGCCTGGCATACATATACCAGTAATTGATATCACCCCTCGTTTGTGCGCAGTAGCCCGCCCTGTTGTTGTTGTAGCAATAGATGGATGATATCACTATGACGATGAAAACGGTTGCTAAGAAGAAGATCAACATCAGAAGCACTGTCATGACCCAGTCATCTGGAAATGGAAACGGGGATAAAGTTATTCCTATTGATTGTAACATATACGTAGTTAGTTAATTCGTTATTTGTTGCTACTGTCGTTAGTATTTAGTATAAATGTCTAATAATGTTTAATATGTTTGTTTTGTATCACTAGAAGAATATATTATTAATTGAATATTATATATTATATTGTTGCTTTTACTCTAATATTTCAGAAATAACAATAAAAACATTTTGTTTAAATATATATTATAAATTGAATGGTATAGGTGTAATAACATTTCAAGTCTTAGACTTATATTGTCAAACCTTTGCGTGTTTCTCCACTGACTTTTTAAAGTCTACTGCTATTGTTTGTATAATCTCTTGTTGATCATGCCATGTAATCTGATGATCCATGCAGAAATTGATAAATAATTGTTTATGTTTGGATTATTTCTTTTAAAGAAAATTAAAAAATGAAGAGAAAAACATACAAAAAAATGAGCCTGGAGAAAAGAAGTATAGGATAAAACAAAATACAACAGAATATAACGAGGGAAGAGAAAGAAAAATACAGGAGGAAAAAGGTAGAAGATTATTGGGGTATAAATCACTTACCACGTTCCTCTAAAGAAGTTGGTTCCAATTCTCCTTGATGTATCATTGCTTCATTTGTCCCTTCATCTACACCATTCAGGTCTTTGCCATTATTATTGGTAAATCTATTTGTTGATATACAAAATAAAAACAACAACAAACAAAACAAAAATTATGAAAATATGCAGATAAGGATGTTGGACATAAGCCAGTTTTGAGAAATAAGCAGGCTTGAAATTGAGGCCACATTAGCCTTGACAACAACACCAAAATCATCATTTGTGAATAATTGTGGTATGAATTTTGCATTAGATATATGTTTTCTCAGCAAGTTTCAAGTGTATTTCATAGGCAAGTGTAAAACGTTTTATCTAGATGCCCGTGGTAGGACTACACCTGTACATCTCTGACTTGATTTCAAATCACACTCACCTTTGCCTCAGCTCTGGTGCAGTGCTGTCAGGTGACACGGTGTCATGTGACCTCTCGGTCTTCAATGCCTCCTCCTCCTTCTCAAATTTCTGCATAGCATCTGTGGTTTAACAACAGAGAAAGAGAGAGAGAGAAGGAGAATTGAGAGAGAGCAGGAGAGAGAAAGAGAGGAGAAGAGAGGAAAATGAAGAGAGAAAGAGAGAGAGAGAGAGAGAGAGAGAGAATAAAAGAAATATCAAGTTATGCTATGACTACTACATGTACTACTACTCACAAAAATAATGATGATGATGATGATGACTTAGAGTAATCTATTATTTTTAACCATAATTTTTTTTATTTTTTATGAGACTTGATTCATATTTTGTTGTAATACAAAAATTAGTAACACACAAATGAGTGTATGAGATGGGATACCGTTTTCACCTCAATAGATTTCTTTACCTTCTTCAAATAACAAGAGATTGGATACATTTCTTCTCACAATATACCAACTTGTAAAACAAAGATTAACATATTAGACTTGTTACCAATCTCACCTCAATAGAGATCTTTCCTACATTAGAGTCAGATTGGATACACATCTTCTTACAATATAATAACAAATACACAGAAGTATAACATGAGATAGGATACCGTTCTCACCTGAATAGAGTTTCTTGCCCACATCAGCATAGATAACAGTGAAGAGATCCAGTGATGCTATGGTAACGGGATGGTCCTCTCCATAAACAGTTTGATACATCTTGGTCGCTTTCCCACAGTAGTCTAGAGCAAGCTGCAACCTAAAAGAACAAAATTCAAAAAATAAAGTGAAACCCACCTTGAGTCACATGTGCACCCAGACAGCACAATGTCTCAAACAATTCTCACTATCGACAGTATATTATACAAACCTGTATGTTATGTTCAAGCCCCATTTCAAATGCATTCTCAGAAAGAAAGAATAGGATGAATAAAGATGAATAAAGTTGAATTAAAAGAAGAAGGAGAAAAGAGAAGGAAGAGATAGTAAAAACAAAACTGTGTTTTTCAAAAAATAAGAATATGAAAAAAGAACAGAACAGAAAAAAATAACAGAAAAAGAATAAATTGGATAACAAGAAAAGAAAGAGAAGAAGAAGAAGAGGAACAAGGAGGGGGAGAAGGAGGAGGAGGAGGAGAAGGAGAAGAAAGAGAAGGAGAATAATAAAGAGAAAAAGAAGAAGGAGAAAACGAATAAAAGGGAGAAGAAGACAAGAAAGAAAAATAAGGAATAGAAGAGAAAAAATGAAAGAGAAAGCAGGGGACAATGGAGAAGAATGATTTTTTTTTAAGAGAAAGGAAAAATATTTTAAAGACGATAAAGAAAAGAGGAAGAAGAATAAAGAAGACGAATGAGAAGAGGAACAACAGAAAAAGACTTATGAATTCCAAACGATAAACTTACTTTCCCTCCTTGAGGCACAGTCTAGCCAAGTTCTCCATCTCTTGACCTTTCTTAGCATCAGGTGAAAGGTCATCATCTAGGTCATCACTCTTATCATGGCTAGACTCCTCACCAGGCTCTTCATCGAGTTGTTCATCATGCTGTTCCTCGCCCTCCCCTTTGCTTGGCTTCCTCTCAGCTTTAGAGCCTGCGAGGATTAAACAGAATACAGAAACTGACAATATCTATAGGAGACATGAAAATGAAAAAAGGGAGGGAGGGATGGAACCATATACATGTACATGTACAACATACATATAGTTCAGATTTGGCCTTAATAAGGACATGATGGACAAGTAGAGAAAACTGTGGAGACTAAACTAAAGGAGATATAAAAACATTGATAGGCTGACAACAGAGAAAGAGAGAGAGAGAGAGAAAGACAGCACGAGACTGAGAGAGAGAGAGAGAGAGAGAGAGATAGACAGAGATAGGAAGAGAGAGAGAAAAAAAGTGAGAGATTGTGAAAAATAGCATGAAGGGATGCACAGAAAATGGTTTCCAAAAAAAAATGAACTTCAATGACTTGTGAAACCAGAAAATTAATAACAGCTTTTATAAATTACTTATCCTTAATATATAATGTTTTCAAACCTAATTAGAATGCTTACTCAGGTATGCATGTTAAAAAATAATAAAATAAGTGTCACGCATTAGGCGTGACATCACGCATTTCGAGGGTCTGGAAATGCTCTCACGCACGGTGCGCGCGCTAGATTTTAAAAAAATGCTATACCTTATACGTGTGTTATACCCTCGCACGCGCGCATGCGCGCCGAAAAATGAAAATGTCACAAATTGGCGATCTTTGAAATTGGCGTCTCTGTATTCATCATACATTTATCATCATTTCCATTTTCATTTAATATGCGAGTACAATTTCTAGCCATTTTACCAGTCTCTGTTTATCAGTACTTACCTGAGTCTTTCTGTACACTAACTATATCAATCAGAGCAGTTTCATAATACATCTTCTCTGCTTGGATGAAATAAACAGCTTTCTCATCTGAAAAATCGCTATTAAGGAAAAAAAACAGTTATCATGGAGTGAAAAAAATGCTCCTGTCTACCAAGTGTATGTTTTGTGCTGCACAAAGATTCAATCAGTTGAATTTGGCCATTACAAGTAGTGGGTTCTTGATGTAGACAAATGATCATGTACCTGTTAGAGCTCATTTTATGTATATTTTACTAAAAGAAAGAAAAAAGTCAGTCAGTCACTCAATAGTGTCTGACAGTGAAGTCTAGCGAGTAAATGGGTTTCCTTGCATAATTTGAATATTAGGACTCTGCTAACGTTTAAATTTCACAGATAGGACATACATGACATATTCATAATTCCTGCAAAGTTCTACAGAATTTGATGTTGGTTGCAAAAGGGTCAAAGTATCTTTTAAAAGACAAAAACAGAAGAATTGTTATCATATTAGATTGTAGCACTAAGTGCACAATTTATGAATAATCATTATTCTTAATAAAGGATACATTCCTTGTGCTCAAAATAGATATCAGCAACAGCATGAAGACACCTTGGCAGCTCCTCAAAGGTTGACCCCTCGGACAACCCTGTGATGGCTCCAAGATAACACGCGAGGGCTCCCTCCAAATGACCTTCCTCTTGTCGTCTCGACCCCTCACGGTAGAGATTTGACCTCTCAGGTCGCATCAGGTAATGAAGTTCACGATCCAGCAGGGCTTGGATGTTATCTGGATGAATTATGGGGAAAGAAGTTTTGTTTTGTTTTTATTTTCTGTATAACAATTCATACATACAATTTACAAATATAATAGAAATCAAGAAAAAAAAACCGGCTGGAATGCTCTATTCAGAGCCATCATTGAAATGGCTCTGCTCTTCCTAGAGGTCCAGAATCATGATTGCAATGAATTAGTAAAAAATCTATAGCAAGACAAAAGTGACTACATGACATTCAAAGCAGCAGTCTTTGCTGGTTTTCTTAAGTTGAAGTTAAATACAAAGAGAGATTAAAAATAATTATATAATATTGGCTGCCCTTGAGTGGTATATCAGTTATATTTGCAAGCTGAATATAATATATCTGATATACCACAAAAGAAAGTCAATATCATTATTATTATACATTAAAAATTTGAGCTACGTGCAGTGAAATTTAGAGGATTGAAAAGATCAATTTATCAATCAATGGCAATATTCCAATCCAATAGTGTGTCGAGAAGTCTTAAAGCAAAACTTGGAAAGTCAAAATGAAATATGATTCAACTTTTGAATATAAATTGGTGTCTAAAGATAAAGTTGAAAAATTTGGGTTCCCAATTGAAGTCCACATTAAAGGAACCTGTACACAAAGGCCACCTGCCCATACATGTACAGACTACTTCTCTTGTCTCGATCCCTTGCACAGTCTTTCTGTACAGCTTTTACAGGATTACTTCAAATCAAGATTATCATCCTCTATTTTCTTCATTACAGACCGTGTTCATTGTTAAAGTCAACATAGGGTCTATATAGCAGCTGACTGACACAAATAGACAGTAATCTTTTTTAGGATTAACTGTATTAACATACCATTTTTCTCTGACTGAATCTCTGTTTTAGTCGCTTCTGTGGTCTGCGATACATCATGATCTGATCCATCCGCTCCTGCTGTAGATCTTGTCACGTTACCAGCCCCAGCATCAGGGCTTCGATCGGTATCCCGCTCCCCGTCATCAGGGACTGCAGTCATTCCCTTCTCTCCATCTGGAGTTCCTTCTTTCTGGTGATGCGTTTCATCCTCATTTATTCCCTCGTTATCCTGTTTCTCTCCAACACTACCATCTGAGCTCTTCTTGTTTTCAATCTCGACATCACCCACAGGAGTATCAGGGTCTTCCTTCTCACCCTGAGCATCTAAAGCTGGTTGTGAGTCGAGAATTCCATCTTTTGTGTCTGGTACCATGCCCGACCTTTGACCTCCTGTATCCCCACCAGGTCCTGGTTGGGGTGTGCTGAGGGGGGTGTGGTCTGTATCATCTGCGGGATTCACAGGTTCTGACATCATGGATTCTGTCAATGAGGACCAATAAAAAAAACTGGATTAAAGTAATTAATCATACCGGTACATTAATCTGAAATGATGTGCATGTTTGTGAGAAATGTTTGAAGTAAAGAAATAAACGATAAGGCACTGTACACGGAGTCTGACTATACAGTAGAGTCTATGTCCGTAAGCAAAAATAAAGTTGATACTGTTGCGTTGCCTTTGGATTCTAACACAAAGCATGCATCCAATAATTTTCTCTTTCCAAACATAAGATAAAAATCAACTCTGATCCCCTCGCAGTTATGAGATGTCCAAATCTACCCCACAATCTGTCCCACTTTTTCCCTAAAATCAGCACATTCTATGCTAACAGAAACCATGGTAACAACAGAATGCAATATCATTTCAGTGATGTTCAGACATCATAATTATAATTTCCCAATATTCAATTTAAATATTGTCCTTCCTAGCCAGGCACAGAGAACTTTAGCTTAGCCTTAGGCTTACATGATGTAGGTCTACATTAGCGCATGCGCAGATCGTTCATCCGATCTCAGCCTCATTTTCATAAGTTGATGGCACCTAGCTTAGCCGACATGGGCCCTTCACTTCAGAAGAATCCATATGTATCCATCATAGAAGTATTATACTTGACTCAAGTATATAAATAACAGTATAGTCAGCTGGGTCTAGTACTAAGTACTAGTAGTAGTAGTCTGGCCTGGGGCCTGGCCTGGGGCCTGGCGCACTAGCTGGCCAGACTCGCGGGCGCGGGCTTCGTACAGATGCTCCTGCAGTATGCCACTGCACTGCACAGTAATTTATTGCTCTTAATCTTAGTCTTATCGAGGCTTACATTGACTGTTTAGTAAAATCCTTCACATTTCACATGAATTGCTAGTTAATTATCAAATGTATGAAATTTGTGCGATAATCACCTCGAATGTGTTCTCCAAACAGTCTAAAACAAAAGCTCAAGCAGTCCAATCACAAATCTCCCCGGCGCAAAATCCTTGTTTTGGCGTCCGTGGATTTGACCTTTGACCTGGCCAGAAAAAGGTGCTTTCCCTTCGTAAGTAAGCCCGAGGAGGTGCATGGATCTTTGAGTTTGACTTTCATAACATTTCTACTTCATTCTTGTAATGGTCTAACGTTTATTACGACCTTATACATTTAGTTGGGAAATGTGGATGATAGTGTTTTCCACGTCTTACTCGAATCAGGCCAGGGTCTTGGAGATGAAGGCAGTTTACTTTAGCTAGCTTGTTGTCAACTTCTTGAATTGCACTCGACTCCCTAGAGTTGAGCGGATTGGAGGAAGGATAGACGCCTATTCTACCGGCGTACCAACAGTAGCCCCTGCCGTCTCTTTGCTCTGCAGCTCAGCAGTGGCTGTTGCAGTGGCTGTTGGCGCCACACACATATCAAGCAAGTACACTCACACTGTCATATATAATCTAGTAACTGTCTTTTTCTTTATCCTGAAAAGTGCAGGCTTCATGGAATGAAGATTACGCATTGTTTCTTTTGTTTTTGTTGATGTTAGGAATAGGAGTTATTTATTTTGCAGTGCTTTGTTTTGTGTAATTTTTTATTACGGTATTATTTTGTCTTGAATATAAAAAAATTGGGTTGTCTTTCTTTTCCAATTTTGAATTTGAGGTATAGTTTATGGAACAGGATGAACGATAAAAGATTGAAAACCTAGTCTGCTTTCATAAACCATTATTACAACAGTGAAGTTTCAAGAAATTTTTAGGAATTTAGTTAAATATTTATACACATAAGGTCTATGAAACGCAATCTTCTTTCCCAAATAAGTTTAAAATTTATATAAACTTCAGTCAGTTTCCAATTTACTCACAGTTTAAAAAAAAATCTTATGAATTATTTATTAGATCTAGACCTACTGTACTTTTTATTTATTTATTTATATACCCCCCCGGTATATATATATATTTTTTTTTTGGGGGGGGGGGGATGCCAAAGCCTAGTTCAATCATATCCATCTTCAGATTATCATAAGTTTTTCAGAAACAAACAAAAAAATCAGATCAGGTCCAGATGCTGACAATTAATCCAAAGATCCGAACAAGTTGTTTTTGTTGTGGGGGAGCTGCTCTGTATTTCGTACTTGAATTCAGCATTTTAGCAAAGCCTATTCAGCCTATTTTCGAACTGAAAAACAGAATCAGCCTCCACAACTTGGTTTGGAAGGCTGTTCAATTCCACAAACTGTTCTCATAGAGAAGAAGTTAATGATTAATACAAGTACTTTTGTCTGCTCTGCGCTTTAAGTCAGATGAAATCTGTTACCACTATAGTGCTAGTGTTACTGACCTCAAATGCCCAAATTCACAAAGGAGGTTTAAATTTAACCCATGGTTTAAATCTCTATTTTCATGTACATAACCCATGGTCTAAAACTCTCAAATTAGCGCAAAATAAACGTGACACAGTCAGAGGTCCAATATTAGATGCGCGCAAGGCAAGATACCCATAATTTGCACTAATTTTAAACCATGGGTTATGTAAATGAGGGTTTAAACCATGGGTTAAAATTAAACCTCCTTTGTGAATTCAGGCCAAAGAGAGAAGTCACATTAGAACCATAAATTTTGAGCGATTTAAAAGTCTGAATCATGTGACCACGAGCTAACCTATACCAGCAAAAGCAACGTCAGTCTACGTAGTCTCCCTTCATAACAAAGTCCTTTCAATGAAGGAACAAACCTAGATATATATATGTCTTTGATAACAACAAGACAGAATGTTATAAGGTATCATACCAAACTTCTCTTTGTGCAAGCTTAAAGATAAACTTCCCATAGGAAAGTGAAAAGTATGCCGCAGACCTGCCGCAGACCTGCCGCAGATCTGCCGCAGACCTGCCGCAGACTAAAAGTCTGCGGCAAAGAGTATGCTGAAGTATGCGGCAGAAAGAAACTTTGCTGCAGACTTGCCGCATACCAGTATGCCACAGGAACAGTCTGCGGCAGATCTGCGGCAGGATGAAATTTTGCTGCAGACTTGCCGCATACTAGTATGCCACAGGAACAGTCTGCGGCAGATCTGCGGCAGGATGAAACTTTGCTCCAGACTTGCCGCATACTAGTATGCCACAGGAACAGTCTGCGGCAGATCTGCGGTAGGATGAAATTTTGCTGCAGACTTGCCGCATACTAGTATGCCACAGGAACAGTCTGCGGCAGATCTGCGGCAGGATGAAATTTTGCTGCAGACTTGCCGCATACTAGTATGCCACAGGAACAGTCTGCGGCGGATCTGCGGCAGGATGAAACTTTGCTGCAGACTTGCCGCATACTAGTATGCCACAGGAACAGTCTGCGGCAGATCTGCGGCAGGATGAAACTTTGCTCCAGACTTGCCGCATACTAGTATGCCACAGGAACAGTCTGCGGCAGATCTGCGGCAGGGCGAAACTTTGCTCCAGACTTGCCGCATACCAGTACGCCACAGGAACAGTCTGCGGCAGGTCTGCCACAGGAAATCCCATTAAAGTCTAATAGGGCCAATTGAAACCAATCATCTCATGCATATTCATTATTACTTTACACGTGTGACAGAAAAATACATTTATCATGATTTGTTAAGCAAATTAAGACAATGCACATCATTTTTGTGATTTCTATTTTCCTTTTGCCATTATTAACCAATAGATTATTTTGTCTGATCATGTTACAATTACATTCACGTTTAAGCAATAGATATATTGATTACTAACCAAAAAACTATGATTACTAACCAAGAAACAATATACATATTTAGTATATATATGTGTACGAGCCTGTGTCACTTTAAATGTTACTCTTGAATACACTTCAAATGATCAATGTGATGAAGTTAATACAATTGAGAATAGAATATACCTAGTTGGTAATATCGATATATATTGGTATTACCTAATTGGTAATATCGATATTGCCAATATCGATTATGAAGTATCAATCAGTTTATCACTGGTTCTTCTACATGCATACTTTATTGCCACGTACTGGATATGAAAGAGTATGCGGCAGGTCTGCAGCAGGTCTATACGAGATATGAATATTCATGACGAAGAGTCTGCGGCAGGTCTGCCACAGACTCTGCCGCAGACTTGCGGCAGACCTGCCGCAGACTCTTCATCATACTGAAAGAGTATGCGGCAAGTCTGCAGCAAGTCTGCGGCAGACCTGCCGCAGACTCTTCATCATACTGAAAGAGTATGCGGCAAGTCTGCGGCAGACCTGCCGCAGACTCTTCATCATACTGAAAGAGTATGCGGCAGGTCTGCAGCAAGTCTGCGGCAGACCTGCCGCAGACTCTTCATCATACTGAAAGAGTATGCGGCAAGTCTGCAGCAAGTCTGCAGCAAGTCTGCGGCAGACCTGTCGCAGACTCTTCATCATACTGAAAGAGTATGCGGCAAGTCTGCGGCAGACCTGCCGCAGACTCTTCATCATACTGAAAGAGTATGCGGCAAGTCTGCGGCAAGTCTGCGGCAAAACTAATTTGCATGTGAAAAAGATGACTGTCTGCGGCAGGTCTGCTGCAGATCTGCGGCAAGTCTGCCGCAGGAGTATGCGGCAGGCTCATTTCTTTCCTATGGGTTGAGTTCTGGTAAAAAAAGAAAATGAATTCTCACAGAATCTAACGAAACTTACACTGAATGTTCAAGATTACAAATAAATGTCATGTGCCAAACAATTTTGGAAGAAAATGTATACTGGCTGAGTAATGATCATATATAGAAAGATAAGGAAATCAGGGTAGTACTAGCCCCGACACCATGTGTGTTGTCCCATATACATCTATCTGTGTAAGTGATTGTTACTTTACCAAGACTCTGCCAAATTTATGATGATTTTGATGACTCTAGAACCTTGCATTACTCACCATTACTTACATGCTATATGATCAACTTTTCTGATCCATTCCACACCTTTTCTTTCACAATGCAATCGAATTACCGCAGTACTCAAAATACTGTATAGCCATTCAAGACAGGTATTGTCATCTTTTACACATATTCCACTTTTTACTCATTTGATCTTACAGTGCCCATCACACAAGCATGTATAACATCTCATTTTTTAAAAAGAATATAATATTTATAAAGGCAACAACAACATTAAATTGCTATAAATTTGTTGACTGTTACTGAAATACATGTACATGTACATGTACATGTACATGTACATGTAGGCCATCATACATTTTCTTCTTTTTAAAGGCAGGCTTTACTACTTCAGCCAGAAGGGATTAGACCACCCATCGAGCCAGCGAGGTCACTGTGATAGGTGGCTATCTCATTAACTTAGCTCTCATTTAACATAAGAAAAAGAGGATCATGGGGGACCAACAGGCACCGATTTGGGAAGTTTTCTATATAGAGGGAGCAAGTAGCTACAAGTAGGACAGTGTGCCTTTAAAAGTAAAGCCTTATCTAATTTGTATTTTGAATCTTGTAGGAGTTTCCTCCACTATCGAGAAATTTGATGAGTCATCAGCATGGAGTCTTGGCATCCCATAGCTCGTGTGTATCACCCACTAACAGCAGGTTCTATAGATGGGACTGATACCAGACCACATGACAGGGCTGTAGAGAGAGCCATCAAGGTAAATCTTCTATTCATGTCTGTTCACAGCCAAAAGTAACTGCGTAAAAGCATTAGTTATTGCCCTTTGTGCTTTATAGAGACGTCTTTAAATATAAATTTGTGAAAGGATATATAGGGACAAGTTTAATATCTGGTAATGGAACATTTATTTCTTCTTTTTTTCTTAAGCATAACAAATATGCCACTCTGCACTGTGTGAAACGGGAATGTTTATAGGTTATGCTCATCTGTGATACTAGATTGGAGACTTTTTCCTTTCTGGTACTGGTAGGGCTTCTGAGTGATTTCTTAGATTCCACTTTTTGTGCATAATAATTTAGTTTCAACATCATACCTCAAACAAAAGAAGGAGAAGTGTTTGAAAGTTAGTGAGAGCTGGGGAGAGCTGGACAGAGATAAAAAAAGAGCTAGAGAAAAGAGAGAGAGAGGGGGTCAGAGAGGAGGAAGAAGAGAGTGGGGAAAAGAATGATAATTGTTAATAAAATGTAAACAAAGAAAGAGAAAAAGTAAAATTGAGATGTGAAAGGATAGGAATAAGATCTGGAGGATTTCATGCATGTTGTAGTGCAATATTAGGAAGCTATCTTGATAACAAATATTCAAAAGAGCATATTCTGATATTAGGTTACATTTTGCATTTCATACATTTCTCATTTCAGGCCAGTTATGTACCGCCCTCTGTTGACAATGACCCGCACTTGACCCTCTTTGTGGCTAGGCTCAACCCTGAGACGACAGAGAAGACCCTACGCAAGGTAAATGCTACCCCCTTTACGGACTACAAAAATCATGTAACTGGGCGGGGCTTATCGTGAGTGTGCACTGATGATTGGTAGCCTGCTATCATGTCACCTCTTCAAAAATTTGTCTCTATATTTTTATTTTTGTTAGTCTGTTCACTCTTTTTGTTTCAACTGAATCCTATGATCTTTTATACAAATTCCTTTGTTTTGTACATTTTCTATAGGCTTACAGACTAAAGGTCATACAGGAGTCACCAATTTACTGCAAACAAACTTACTGTAATAATCATTATAACAACAATACCGGTAATAGTGGGTTCTTGTATAGTGCTCATGCCTGTCAGACTTGACACTCGATCCTGGGGGGTGTTTCACAAAGATGCTAAGTAGAACTTAACTCTAAGTTTGACTTTAAAAGTCATAAAATGTTGATTCAAATCATTCATATTTTCTATTAGGATGGGAGATTTCATATTCTTGATGTGGAATTTATAAAAAAGTCTAAAATACTTCAATTTTTGCTTTTTATTTGTTTATATTTTAAGGCTACTAATGGCTCTCCATAATGTTTGGGTCCAACTTAGAGATAAGTTCAACTTAGGATCTTTGTGAAACACTCCCCAGGAGCTCCATAATTATTACCCCAGCTTTAACATGGCTGTCATTATGGTACTCTAGCACCTCGAGGAATTCATTCCTGCCCATTAACCTCACCTTGGTTGAGTGAGTCTATCGTAGATTAATGTCTTGCTAAAGGACTAATAAAGACCATGGTGAGTCAATGTTTAAAGGTTCATAGTAGTTGGTGCTCATGGGAAATCTAAAACCATTCAGGTGGTTACCCAACACAAAGTGTGGTCAATCACCAAGGGTGGACTTCAATAATTTTTCTTCTTCGCTATAAGTACATGCCACTACCGGGTGTATTCTCGTACTGATGTAGGTGATGTGCAGGTGTATATGCAGTGTCTGAATAAAGGCCTACAAAGAACTACATGTATGTGCAGCTAACTGTGGAGACATCTGTAGCTTTAACAGAGGTCTTGCATAAAGAACTGGCCTCGAACCATACCGCCATAAGGGATTTTTCATCATTATAAATTACCCTCACCCTTGAGATATGAAGGCAAGCGGGAGTATTTTCTGGGCATCGGATCTTTGCTGCCTGAGGGGCCTGTACACACATTATCATTAAACCAAATCTGGGCCCTGTTCCATAAAACTTGTTAATAATAACAAGTAACAATTACTTTTATAAGTTACTGAAATCATGGTGTTTGATTGTCTGACAGCAAATTTGTCATAGAATTTTATCACTTGTAATTGATAACAAGTTTTGATGAAACAGGACCCTAGTGTTTACAAATTATGAGGCAAATCATTAGTACTACAAATCATATAATACACATGGACAGTGACAACTGGTCTTTACCTTTAAAGCGGGACGGCACTACTTGTAGCTACTTGCCCCCTCTGTATAGCAAACATTGCCTAAGCGGTACCTGTTGGTCCCCCAAGTTCCCCTTTTTCTTATGTTAATTGAGAGCTGATATGATGAGGTAACCACCTGCCATTGACCATGCATGGAGGTCTAATCCCTTCTGGCCAAACTAGTGCAGATAGGCTTTAATTCAGATATCCTTTTTATTATTTATCTTAATTGCAGACATTTTCAAAGTATGGCGACATCAAGCAAGTGAATCTCATCCGTGACGTCGTGACAGGCTTCTCCAAGCAGTATGCATTCATTGAGTTTGAAGAGGAACGATCAGCAAGACGCGCGAGGGCAGAGGCAGATCAGAGCGTGATCGAGGAACACATCGTCTTTGTGGACTGGGAGTGTGAACATACGTTGGATGGTTGGATCCCCAGGAGGCTGGGTAGGTAGCGTGAACAAACCCTCATGCCAGAAACTTCATTTAAGTGAAACGTTTGTGATACACGTACGTGTTATATGTCCTCTGTATTATCCACAGCGATTTTTTTATGTCAGTGTTGTGTCTTGTGAAAAAACTTTAACTCCAGGAACTAAATTGATGTGAAACTTTGCAATGTGTGATATAAATATACCTGTATGTCCTGTTTATCCACAGTTATTTTTATTTATGTTGGTGTTGTGGCAGTTGTGTCTTTCATTATTTTCTAATTAATTGGTGCGTTAAAATTTCGCAATTTATAACCACTCACAAAAATCACTACTTATCTGTTCATTGATGAACGTTTGTGATTTTACAATATAATGTATATGCATTAAGCAATCTCTCTTTCTTTCTCTCTCTCTCTTTCTCTCTCTCTCTATCTCTCTCTCTCTCTCTCCCTGTCTGTGTTTTGCTATCTCTCTGTTCTCTGTATGTCTCTTTGTCTATACCTCTCTCTCTCACACTCTTTCTCTCTCTCTCTCTCTCTTCCTCTCTCTCTCTCTCTCTCTCTCCCTCTTTATCTCTCTTTCTCTCTGTCTCCTTCTCTGTCTCTTTCTGTATCTCGCTCTCTCTTTGTCTATAACCCTCCCTCCCCCTCTCTCTTTCTCTCTATCTCTCTTTCTCTACCTGTTTCTCCTTTCTCTGTTTGCAGGTGGTGGATTGGGAGGCAAGAAGGAATCCGGTCAGCTGAGATTCGGTGGTAGGGACCGACCATTCAGGAAACCTATCGTAGTACAGGCAATTAGAGATAGAGGGATAGAAAGAGACAGAGATGAAGGGATAGGCAGAAGCAGAGATAGAGGGGTGGACAGAGACAGAGATAGCGGAATTAGAGATAAAGATAGAGAAATAGAACGAGACAGAGGTAGGGAGAATAGAGATAGAGACAGGGAGAATAGAGACAGAGATAGAGGGATAGAAAGGGACAGAGATAGAGGGATAGACAGAGACAGAGATAAAGGAATAGAACGAGATAGAGGTAGGGAGAATAGAGATAGAGAGGATACGGATAGAGAGAGAGGGTTAGGCAAAGAAAAAGATACAGACACGGAAGATGGAGAAATAAAAGATAGAGATAGAGAGTACAGCACAGATGGAGATAGAAGAACGGGTAGATATAGAGACATAGAAAGAGATCATAGAGCAAGGGATAGAGGGAAGGATGAAAGCAGAGAAAGATTAGGAGATCGGTATAGAGAAAAAGATAGGGACAGATACAGGGAGAGGGAAAGAGATAGATATAAAGACAGTGATAGGGATAGAGATAGATATAGGGATAGGAGGAAAGAGAGGGATAGAGAAAGGGAAGGAGAGAGGAAAGAAAGAAAGGGAAGCTATAAGGAAAGAGAAGATGAGGAGGGAATAGATGAAGAAGTGTATGACGGGAGAGAAGTGGAACAATATATTGCAGATGTAAAAAGAGAACTATGTAGTTCAAGATGGGATAACTAGGTTTGTGATGTGGAGTAAAGGTAAAGCATCGAGTTGGTTAAAATAGAAAGCATTCCTAAGGGCTCAGTGAGATACAACTTGGTAATCCACCGCAGAGAAAACCCTGCCATGGTTCTTTTACGTGTAAATGTATTGCAACTGCTCGCATTGAAGGTCCTATGCGTATTCACATAGCACTGTGTTAAAGAAATGTGCAGCGTCTACCACCTCATATCTATAGGAGGCTTTAGATGGTTAATCTATTTCCAAAAGAGGGTCCTTTGTAATGCATGAATGAAACAAGATATTATGTGTATTGTGTAATGTTTGAGTTATCCATCACAGATACATAATTTTAATTGTAATTTTATAATTGTCATTGTGAACATTTCACAAATAAAATTGTCTTTGGACTTGGACAAATGGTGTGAGCTCAAAACCCACGTTTGAAACCGGTTCTGGTTCAGAGCTACAGCGCTAGCATCATAGTCTGAGCTATAAATAGTATGATACACTCATAATAGACAAATTAGTCAGAAACATATGTTGGCAGCATAGTTATTTATTGATTAACAAAATGCCCAGCATTGTATCAAATATTTGATAGATTTATTTATAATTGTCCTTTCTTTTCTGGCACGAAATTATGATTCACTTTACAGGTTACTTAATACAATTATCAAGAAAGTCATCTTTCAATAAATTAACTTCCAATAATGAATGATGAAAGAGCATAAAGTGATTTTTATTTTATAAGATTGATACGTATGTCTGTTTTTTGTTTAATAAAACACAAGTATGGTATTAACCGCTTTTGTACCTTGTGTTATTTATTTATCAGTCAATGATTTTAACAACAACTAAAAAAAGATAAAATGATTTTTAAGTTACATTACATTGCATAGCACACATCCATTGTTTTGTTGAGTCTTGAAAGCTAGGAGGGACCTGATCATTACACATTTATTTACATTGGAATACATACAGTACATGTTGTTACAGGTAATAGCGTGAGTCCAACATTTTACACACAAATTTAATTTCATATATTTACTCAAAGAACAAAAGGAGTAGTTTAATCTTAAATTGAGGGACATCATATATCATGAAATGTCTTTCATTTAATTTGAAATATATATCATTTATATGTACAAAAGACATCAACTTTGAAAGACTAGCTATAACAAGATCACACACCACACAAAACTATTAACTACAAGGTGTTTGTATTTTACAAGAAGTTGGAATAAATGGGTAACGGTTTTATTATCATGACCAGCATGAAAATATTAATATGGAGTAATGACTACAAAACTACAACAATATTCTAAATGTATTCATAGTTCAAACACTATTTAGGCAAGGATATTTCATTAAATATTGATGTCTATTCATCACATCCGTGAAAGCATGTAATGTCCTTTTTTTGGTTTTCGTACACCTGCATTTACAAGAACTATCACAAAGTATTCAGTTTTGTTTTCAACAAACTTCTTTTCATGCCTCTGCATTTTACTTCTAAGCAACCTTTAAACCAGGATGTTGTTTTCTTTTCCTCCCTCTCTCTCTCTCTCTCTCTCTCTCTAGTTTAGTGTTGTTTGGTCTACAACCGGTTCATCTTCTACCCAATTGGTCTTTCCCATATGGTCCACACTCAGCCCATCTACTATCCACATGGTTAAATCATAAATATCAATTTTAAAAATGAATATTAGACCTTGGGAATAGTAGCAAAGAAATGGCATTGAACAAACTAGCAGTTAGACCCACTGGAAATGAGACTAAATGAGCAAAAGAAAACATTTTAAGCATTCTTATTGGAGATTAGACCAATTGGTCATTAGCCCTAAACAGTCATTATACCAATGATAAGTAGACAAAAATGATTGTTAGACCATGTGGAAAGTAAATGGGAATAGACTAATTGGGTAGTAGACCAACTGGTTGTAGACCAAACAGCAAATCGCCCTTTTGCTCTCTCTCTCTCTCTCTCTCTCTCAAAGGCTGAACACTGTATTAATGGAAGGTAAAGGAGGTCCATGTGCATTTTCACTGAGGGAGGTAGAAGCTCCTAATGCAGAAACGGTACTGTTATCCAAGTGCTCCCTCTGTGATAATCCATGCGTCGCTCCCCCATTCTCTGGATGGTAGATCCCAGGCTGTCCATAGGAATCTGAAGTCACACTTGAGCCATTTTGACTTGGGACTAGTCCATTGTTGCCCATAGGGTAGTCCTGATGGGTTGTTTCTATTCAGGGAACAAACAACATAATATACAAATTATAAAGAATATATCTTTGGACAAACAGTTTACATGTATCGTTGTTATTTTAAAAACAAAATATGCCACTTCCAGAAAACTTTAATTGAGCATTCCATTCCTATCTAGACTGTCTAGACAAAATTCCTAATTACTGATATTAAGCACTTTTTTGTTATAATGATTCCTTCTCGCTATATAATTATGAGATATGAAATATGAGATGATAGACCAATTTACTAACATATTCAATTATTGTATGGATGTTTCTTTCCTGGGGACCTAGTTACGAGCTAATTCCATTAATCTGTTCTCAAAGAATACAATACAAACTCCAATTTCAGTCTGCATGTATTACTTGATGCTATGTCGGGTAAGCATCGGACAAGCTTTCGAGTTGTCAAGTAGAACCTCTATTTAAAAAGTATGCATAAGATTTGGATATGTTAGTAAGCCAGTTCATTGATTTCATGTGTCTCTGTCGAAGCAAAACCTGAAAGCAGTAACAATGGACCACAGACTGAGAGGGCGCTGTTCATGGTTTACCTTGGAATGCCGATGGGTTGATGAAGTTGTTCTGGTGCTGATGTCCGGGGTTCTTTCCCTGCTCTCCTCCGCACGCCGCTTCCAGCATACGCAATGTGTCCGCTTCGTCGCTGAAGTGCTCGTGCGGATGACGGCCGCCATTTTGGCTGGCGTACTCGAAGGGTCGCATGTCCTGTGCGTAGCTGTCTGAATTAGGGTTCGTCTGATGTTCCAGACGGGTGCGATTGGCAAATGAGTTACTGGTGATGACTGAGACCCTTTCCGCTGCTATTGGTTTGTTTTGACTCGCTGTCTGGTTCGGGTGGTAATAAGCTTCACGGTGGAAAAGGAGAAAAAAACATACGGTATAATTTAAAGTGAATATGCTAGATAATGTTATCAGTTCATATTTCTTCTAAACACTGCCTTTAAAATATATATACATTAATCTGTAGATGACTATCAATAACGTTTTCTTTTCTTATTGTTGCATTTTTAGTTATCTTGTGATAGTTATTCAACATCTACAGTAGACAGCAAAATGGCGTTGACGAGTGACGTGTTAATTACTTTTAGGTTGTGTCGGAGGTCTGTTTTTTTGTTGGTTGTACTCGGATGATCCCTTATATCAAGCGAAATATGTCCTATATTTGCATTATGTTTAAAGCCAGATAAATATGAATGAGAAATATGACTGATGGTTTTCAAATTTCCTCTGGTCTTTAGAAGCAAGAAGCAAGAGACTGCAAGAATACTACTATGTCTACAGATCTTAGCGGAATAAGAGGATCGGACGATTTATACCTTGGTTGTAGCTATTAGTGGAGTAGGGGTAGGTGGAACCCGATGCATCCTGCCTTTCCCCGCCCATTGCACAATTGCCATAGTAACGATCATCCCGGTGTGAGTAGGAATCTGGGTAGGCCACGCCCCCTGCATCTGCAGAATCGTGAGAGCGTGGATAATAGGGCGAACTATTGTAGCCCTGAGGAAATACAGTTGGATGGTGGTAGTAGTTGGATGCTGGGTACGGGGCCATGTAGTTTTGGGTCCTCGCAGACGAGAGATACGGCTCCTGCCCCTGAATGTGATTAACATAGGGGAAACCAGCTTGCGGGGACGTGGACGGCATGAAAGGTTGGTTGTGGGAGGGGCCAGCATGAGGCGCCAGCGGTAGAGGCGTTTGGTTGATGACAGAGTTGCGCATGACGATAGGCGAGATGGGAGGAGTCAACATTGGGTTGGTACGTGACCCGAGGGAATGATGATGGGGTGTGGTTCCATAAGGCATGAGGTAGTCTCTTTCTCCAGGCGCTAGGGAGCTCATATGTCCGGGATAAAGCGTGTTGCGGTTATGGTCGATCACTTCTTCCCGCTTGCACTGTGACTGGTCCCCAAGGCCAACTTGCTGTCTCTGTACTCCGTTGCGGTTAGCAAGGAAACAAGACCCAGCAGGATTGGATAGCGGTCTCTGAGTGTTACCTGTCGTAAGAAAGATAACCATAATATATCATTAATAAGACATTAACTGCCATGACTGTGTTCAGAAAAAAAACATCAGCTAATTGAACAAACTTAGAGAAGATGTTTGACTTAAACTGTTCACAATGCATACAACTTCATTAACAGTGTTAGAGATTGAAACAAAAAAGGACATTACATAAAAACGTTACATAGATACACGATATAGCATGTAGCCTACTCTCGATACTTGTGTGGAATGGGGTTGCCTAATGGTGAACAAAAGGCTCTCAGCCAATCAAATGCCTGGATTTCTGTAGCTTTTAACACTCATCGCATCGTGTTACAAGTTTTATGAAACATGGACCAGAACTTCAAGAGTGAAAAGATGCTGGAGCTTCCTTGTCTAACCGATTTATACTTTGTATGCCGTTTTTTGTATGTTATTCCATCCATCACCTTGAAGCAGCACTTAACTGGAAGAAGATCATTTCCATTATCCTTTCAATATACTACTGTTATTGTGTGCTTTGTATTGGAAATGTGCACCTTTGATTTTTTTTTCGTTACTCTATTAGACATGTCTTTGTGTTTTATTTGTGTATGTTCTTAATCAGGACCATGAATGAAAACAGCTTTGCTGATGATGCTTTCATCTTATATAAATTATGTTGCGATAGATAAACTAATTAATTAAAAAGAGAGTGAAACAGAGAAAATATGATGTAGGGGGACAAAGTCGATGGATTATATTACTGGTACACAGAACGATATAAAAGTGAACATAAAACTTAAAGAACGAATAGGAATTCGAAAAAGAATGCAACAACGCTTGAGAGGAGGATGGGTACATATAAAGTTGAACATACCTGAGGCCTTCATGTGTTTCTCCAGGCGATTTTGAAGGTCGTTGTCCTTTTCTGTGTTGAATTGGCTTTCCACAGCCAGGAGAATGTACTCATCAAGCAGCATCCGAATCAGATGGAAGGACGCTATGACAAGACAAATCATGAAGATCTTGTGATAATTATTATACTTATAACAATAATGATAATGATAAAAACGATAAATATAATGATAATGACAATAAGACAAATACTTTACACTTATAGTAATAATAATAAACTTAAAACAATAATTTTAACAAAAATAATGATAATATTAACAACATTGTTTTATTTGATTCAAATAATTGTAACAATAATATTATATATCAATAATAATATTATTGTATTCATCAAGCAGTATTCGAATTAGATGGAAGGAGGCTATGGCAAGACAAATCATATTGAAATAGAGGGCAACATCAACGATCTTGTAATAATAATTATACTTACAACAATAATGCTATAATAATAACGATAATTATTATGATAATAATACTGATAATAATACTTATAGTAATGATAATAGTTTACAAAAATAAACTTAACGATAATAAAACAATGACAAAACACATTGAAATGTTTACTCCCAATAATCATAAGAATCATTATAATGATAACAGTATTACTACTAGTAATAATAAAATCAACAATAATGATGGTAATACTAATAATGTAAATTGATAGTAATGTTAATAATATAGAGGGTTCAGGAGCAGAGGTTTCGGGTAGAAATAAGGAAATTTGAAATTAAGAATATTTTAAACATTCAGGCCAAAGGGCCATGTATAAGCTTACCAAAGCTCTGTGCATTATTAATTGTTAGTGAATGCATGACACGAGCTCCAAAGAAAGACCATTTCAGCAAGAAATCCTGAGCTCGCTTCTTGAAGGAACGCCCGTTCTGCTTACTCGGCTGTTACATGAAAGAAAAACAGAAAGAAATAGCCCAATAACTCGATTTAAAACTGGAAAAATTTATGTAATAATAACATCATAATAATGTTGGCTATTTTTATAACACAAATATCCACCATGCAAGATGTCCACCGCGTTCAGGTTCAGAGTGGCAAATTGGCGAAATGACATTAAGTGCGGCTGCGGGACTCGAATGGTAAACTACTTGATCGAAAGTCCAAAAATATATCCACTAGACCAAGACACCTCTACATGATCTAATCTTTACAACATAAAACATCACGCGATTTTGATGAAATATTCTTTGGAATGTATTTTTCATAATTCTTATATTAAGTTTGGTGGTCTTAAATGAATAAATAAACAAGCACCATGTTCACAAGTATTCCAAGTAAACACTACAATGTTTGCTATATTAAAAAGATGTTGTTGTTTTTTTTTCATTGAGGTTATTTTTATGAGAATGGTATGAAATTGATTGACCTTTGACATCATACCTTGATGACCTTTGACTCGACGACCTGGTCTAGCCATTCAGTAAAAGCCTCCACCGTGGCTTGTTTCTTCAGAAGTTCCTTAAAGTCATTCAGAACTACAACAAAAGAAAGACAGAGAATATAAATATACATATTTCAAAATTATTAGAGTAATCCGATTATAATTCTACTACTAATGATGATAATGACAATAATAATAATTGTAGTGATTATATAAGTACTAATTATTATAACAATATTAATGATTATAACATAGTACTATGCCTTTCTTTGTTCTTGTATAATATCGCAGATTAGTAATAGTGTGATAATAACGTCTATATGCGGTTGCAAACCAAGGCTGTAGCGCCCAGATCACTCATGGAATCATTTCTGCCCTAGTTGTACCAACTTATACACCTCGGTCAAGTGTGGCAAATATCTAAACAAGGCTTCATGTGAATCTTACATTCAGTGTTCAGTTCCGAGTCAGTTTCATCTTGACTAACAGACAGCATTGCATGAGATCCAATAGAGCACAGATCAACCTTCTCAAGGTCTTCAATCATCTGGTCAACGAGCTGCTGGTCGAACAGAACAGGACGAGCCGTCTGGAGAAGGAAACAAATATTTCTTGAGTACTTCGAATATAATAATAATAATACAGCATTTGTATGCTCCATCGATCTCGTAAACTATTGCGAGGCGCAGAAGGATAGAATTAAAATGAGTTACATAGAGAAATGAGAAGGAAAAAAAGAAAAAATGCATAGATGTACATTCAACATATAATTAACTAAAATGACATGCGAACATATATGACTTTAGATTCTTTTTAGATGTTTCTAGGGATTATAGTGATCGGATCCTCAGTGGAAGAGCATTCCAAAGATATGGCGCTGCAGAAATATAACATACCATAGTTAATAGCTCTTGGTAGTGTGTTATGAGTTAGATTTTGTTTTTTAATGTCAATATTCCTATTATTATTATTGTGTACACGCTCAAAAAAATTGTGATATTTTGTATATGTTGTATCGCTCAAATTTAATTTGATTCGTATGTTGCAGAAGAGCATAAATGCAATTCAATTCTAACAATTACTCCGGTTTTAGCGGAGCTACCCTGATAAGGCACTCAAGCATTGAATGAATTAAATTCTTCCTTCCAGGAACACATTCACCTGGATGGAGAGAGTAAAATGTCGATTAATGTCTTGCCAAAGGAAAATATGTTGTTTCGTGACATTATTGTATGTGATATTTACCTGAGCTAAGTGCAGGAACGAGGATTGTCTTTTAAGCGACTGGACAAAGCGTCTAGCCACGGTCATCTTGGATTCTTTGAGGGTGTCAGGTAGGTTCTCAAGTGATGACGTCAGCCATAACTCCCATTGTCGAGTAAAACGTCGGATATCCGTCAGTAAACTGTAGGCAATCAGAGAATGAAAATGAAATTTCTTAACTTGAAGCAGAAGAAGCTGAACCATTAATTGGAACATGTGTCTTGGAAACAAACAAATGGTGCATTATTTTACATTCATTGCATTTGATTTAAGATCATGACTTAAACAAAATCACCTTTCAATAGTAGGGCACGTGAGGGAATTGCAGAGTATGGCCTTATTATGATAATTATTTTTTAGTAGCGCCACAAAAACTCAAAAAAAATACCACAGCGTTTATAATACACTCCCAATTTGAAAAGAAACATAAATAATATATAGACTCGTAAAATACGTAAATCACTTTATATTACCGAGGGAAGCAGTCCTGTTTAAAGAATCGTTTGAATATGGCAATACAGTGTTATTTCTCTGAAGGAAAGTGGAATGTCCTATCCGAAGCAGCCACTGTGGAACGTTTTTTTGGTTGATGAGAATACTTGATTTGGCAATAATTGCTTTTTATTTCAGTCAGTTGTAAAGCTTAGGTGACGAGCTAGTGTATATACTCCGAGATAGTAACTCTTTATTTGCCACTCAAATCATCTCCTTGTCACATCGTATTTATAACGGGATAGATACATTTATACCAAAGACTTCAAGACAAACCATTCTTATTAAACAATTCTAAAACATAGCTGCCAACCATTCCTATTTTGGAATACGATTCCTTTTTGGGGGGCCATGAAGCTATTGTTTTGAACCCCAGATTCCTCTCTTTTTCTGAAATATTATGGGCGGAAACTATACAAAATAGACTGTATTCCTAATTTGGCCTTGATAAATTCCTAATCTGTACTCGAACGTTAAGAAGACAAACCTTTCAGGCATTTCTTGCATGGTAGCTGGAATAAGGATATCGATCACTGTCTTGTAGAGTATCGAATCGCATATGCAAATGAGGTCAATCATGATGGGATTATCGAGCAAGGGTAGGAGGTGATCGGGCATGCCTTGCCAGAAATGCAGCAGAAAGTTCTGGATCTGTTCAAAGTGGGTAAGACAAGGGAAAATTCCAGGATGACATAGAAATATAGAATACGCATATCCGAAACGTGAAACAAGCTAATACCACAATAAGCTTTGCGCTACTGAAATGATGTCGTGCAAATTGGGAGATGAAGAGGCTAGGAAATTGTGAGCCATAAATGCCCATATAGATCATAGTGTGATTAGTTGATTACGAATACTCTTTTCGTTTAATTCAGCCCAATATGAAAGGCTTGCTACTTAATTTGTGAAATTAGAAATTATAAGATTACCCAGGAATCATAGAAAAGAAAATGGAATACGCAAGAAGTAGGCCTACTCAAGAAAATGAGTATAGATGAAGTGGGAGCACCGCGGTCTATAATGGTAAAGGCCCTTGAATATTAGGGAAGTCCGGGATTCGAACCTTGCTCGGTGATTACACCCTTGTCGCTCTCTACCCAGGTGTTTTAAGTGGGTATCTAGCTAGCAAATAGCGGTGGTAATGATAATTACAGGGCCTGCAGGAATATTAGTATTAATCTTGCTTTGCTAGATGGATAAATAAAACTAAATCAATATTACATGTATCATTATAAAAATTTGTAACTGAGACATACAAAGTATATTCACATTAATACGAAAAAGCATTTAGTGAAAGTAAATAAATGTAAAATCTATTGTTTCTTGCCTCATCGAAGCTTGAATTGATGATCGTGTCAAGTACACACTGAGAATGAGTCTTGTACATGACAAGAAGGGTATCGACCTAGAGAGTAAAACAAAGGAGAATTAGTAGGCTAAAAAAGATGAATATATTGAATTGTATAAAATTCTCACAACACCATTTAGATTCTACACAAAGCTTTCGGACCATTCGTTCTTGCCTCTTGGTCTCCCAAATTATTCATTTTTCCCGTTTATCAGTTTATTAAGTAATTTTTTCCATTGAGCTCGTGGTAGTTGTTACAGACAGCATTGTTTAATGAAACGACCCTGATCACGCTCCTATGCACGCACATGCACATACGCACACACAGTCACATCTCTGTCTCTCACGCTTTCTCGCCATATTTCCCTTACTCTCACTATTCTTCTCTTCTCTCATTATCCACCCTTCGCCCCTCTTGTTCTTCGAGCTCATTCCATTGGATCACATTCACACCCACACGCACACCCACACATATCCATCTACCTCTCTTTATACCTCTCCCTTTTCTCTTTCTGTCTGAGCTAATCTCATTTCCTGTTTTCTGTCGCGCTCTCCCTGTTTCATCACCTACTACTTTTTCCTACACAAGCTTTCGAATCCCGGCCTAGCAAAACATCATCTACATTTGCCACTCTCCACCCAGGTGTAAATTGGCGCCCAATATGCCAAAGCGCTCCATATTTTGGCTGCCAGCTATGACAGGGATAACGATGTTGGAGCGGACATGTTCACTATATATAAGTAGGCACTGTTAATTTAGGGAGATGTTATTTGATTCAGTAGTAGAGTATTTCATCAGCTCTCTGTCTTCGCCTACTGGCTAAGGCGGACCCCGGTACGAAACTCGAGTCACGTCTCTCGGATGGTGACGTTAAAGGTCGGTCCCCAGACGTAAACAATCTGATTGATACACGTCTGTAAAAAAAAAAAAAATCACACCAAAACACACGCACACAAACACAATGTCTTTATTGTTATTATTTTGTTGCCCTTTCCCTCCATTTCTCCCTCAACTTCGTGTCGCAGCTAGTATCTTACCCTTTCCGCTGACAGAACAAAGGGTAGAGCCATCTGCTGAGCATCCGGGAACTCTGGCAGTAGTGTCCCTGTCTTCGATGACAAGGAATACTTCCGGGTGAAACCACCCTGTGGTAAATTAAAAAATATAGACAGTTAACAACCAAATTATTCTTACCCGTAATTTTTTAATTATGTAGAAAAATTGATTTGTCCCGATTTATGTTTCTTGAGAATGTGACATATTAAAGCTTGCATTTAAAAGTATTCAACAAATGAAGGCCCTAAATGATTATTCAACCTGTCCATATGTCATTCTTGTATTATGAAAAACACAAAACACCATCAAATTTAAAGGAGGTTGGAATAACTTGGTCGTTGACTGTAGGCTCACTTTCTAAAAAAGTATCGCTATTAGGGGTAGTATTATGTAAAATATATTCGCAACTGCCTTTGAAATATCATGACTCAGGGTCATATCCAATACCCTATTATGTATCCTGTAGACACTAGACATCATGTTCAGGTAACGTAACGCGTTATTGCAACTTTCACATATTTCAGAATGTGATGGGCATGGATGCTTAGAATTTTTTTATAAATATGGACGCAAATTAAAAAGTCGTTTGCTATATTACAGGTTTCTAACTATCTCTCTGATCATAATATACTCTAGGCCTACAGTTGTCAAAAACAAGTAAATAAAGAGACAAACAAATCATAATTAAAACAAAAAGAAAACGTGAGAAGAGTTAAAAGAACTCGTTAAAGGAAAAGGTGAGTTCTGGTAACGGATTGCATTGTGAAAGAAAAGGTGTGGAATGCATCAGAAAAAGTTGATCATAAAGCATGTAAGTATTGATGTGTACTGCAAGGTTCTGGAATCATCAAAACCATAATAAATTTGACCGAGTCTTGGTAAAGTAACAAGCACTGTACACCGAAAGCTATATATGGGACAACACACATGGTGTCGGGGCTAGTACTATCTTATTTCCTTATCTTTCTATCGTCATTACTCAGCCAGTATACATTTTCTTCCAAAATTGTTTGGCACATGACATTTATTTGTAATTTTGAACATTCAGTGTAAGTCTCGTTAGATTCTGTGAGAATTGATTTTCTTTTTTTAACCAGAACTCAAGTTTATCTTTAAGGAGTTTAAAAACCCTTGCCAGACACATTTTTGTGTCTTTCAAGAAAAGTGTCATAACAGGCGTGGGTGTGAGTCGTAAGACATAACGGGAATCATAACAAAAAAGGAGATGAAATGAACATCATTTAGTAAATTTATAACTCCGGTTTATTCCGCTCCGTCATATGCAAGTGCATAAACCAATCGAACAGAGTATGACGGATAGAGTTTTAATGAAACACGACATGTGGTCTATTGCAGAACGCTCCAGTCTTAAAAGCGACACATGCCGATGTTTCCGCGCTAGCTCGACGACGAAGGCCCGTGAAGAGCGCGGGAAGAAGGAAGAAGCAAAGGGGGTAATTTGGCGCCATTATTCACCGGTAAGAGGCATGTCAGATAGGAGTAATTTACAGCCTGGAATTTGTCCCTATGTTTGCATTGAGCAGATGAATATAGCAATAAAGCTGTACGCTTCCCCACTCTTTTAAGTGATCAGGACTGAACACGTGTGACACTGTTAAATGTACAGGATAGCTTATTAGTATACTAACACTCTTTGGAAGCAATAGCTTTTATTGGATGTGTTTTCAGGAAGGAAATAAGGTTTATATTAATGAAAGAAAAGGAGAGGCGGAAATATCAAAATATTGAGAGGGTTTATGTAGATGGCGAGAGTAAATGAGAAGAGAAAAGAGAGAGAAGGAAAGAAAAGGACCAAAGGAAGGGGTGTCACGGTACAAAATAAAATGACTTGACAGGTACACATTTTGGAAATGAATTGACCATACTATTTTTGCGAACGCAACACGTACCCCCTTACCAACAAAATCACAACAAAGGAAAATGGAAAAGGTAAAAATAAAAACATCAGTGGGTCAAAACGACTGCTTGGAAATGGGGAAATCCAGTCAGGATCTTTAAAAATCTAAAGACGTTTGTATCCGGTGAGGCAAAACATGTGGGTCACGCTTTTCATTAACAAATCTATTTTAGGCCTATGGTGTTTCAGAAAACAGGTCGGAGATGCTCCGCGCATGGACAGTTAAAGGTCATTTGTATAACATTTTAAAACCCATCAAGACGAATGCTGGATTCGTTTTAATGACAGTTATGTAATCATTCATTTCATCACCGACGGTACATTCTATGGTACGCAGGTCGAAGTATGTTTTCCAAGAGGGCAAACAAAAGGTATTTGTAAAGTACCTCCATCACTTTGGCAATGATCATTCTAAAATGCACTAAGTGGGACCTTTAATAATAAAAACATTCTTGTGGAATCAAGATAAAACAGAATATGAAAATACCATATGAGTAACAATCGCAACGAAACTAGTCGTTCATTCTAAAGATCCTATAGGTATTATGATTTGAAATTTAAATTTTATATTGATGTCGTCTTAGGTAGAAATAAACATTGTAATGGTGTACTGCTATCGGGGGTTTATTTCTTATTTGATCCCTTTCGGAAGAGTCATTCCACATTTTGTGAGTCGGCTTAGTAACTTTTTATTCCGAGCCCTTAGAAAATAAACCAGCTGCTTGAGTATAATGGCAAACCTTCCGCACACAATGTTTTCATGTTTGTCGCATTACCATACTGCGTTTGAAGCAAGGAGTTTTAAAAGAAAGAAAATAATCTTTAAAATTCTTAAACTGGCTACACGTTGAGAGGTTCAGAATCATTGTTTTTCGACCAAAATTGGCAACTTTTTAAACTTTTAGACACGGTTTGTATCCATGTTTATTGTTTTCAGAGACAATTGCGTTTTATTAGAGCAATGTAGCATTAAAAGAAAAATATTATTGATGCCAATTTGAGGAATGATTAGTGATCGATTTAGCCCTTTAAAAATCCCTGTCCTGAAAAGGTCAGGCAAGATTTGGTGACTATAAATAGGAGGGAGAAAGGGGAAGCACCGATTAGAGTAATTTATGTACATTGAAGGACATTCTCTGGTGGGGTTGAATGCTTTCTAAACTAAGCAACCGTTATTTCACGGTGAAACCATAACATGGAAGAACGCCATGGGGCACAACGTTTGGTAACCCAGTTACCATCCGCAATCCCTTTCTCCGGGAACGTTGGTCTTTCCACATCACCATGCGTGCATGCCGGGAGAGGTGGCGGTCAGGTCATGCCGGTGGTTTCGGGGATACAATGCGAGGCTAGGCAGACACGCTAGCTACAACTCGTTGCGTAGTGGCCTGGTCTCCCAGTTTAAAAAGACCAGGGGGGTGTTTCACAAAGATCCTAAGTAGAACTTAACACTAAGTTGGACTTAAAAATTATGGACAGCCACTGGAGCCTTAAAATGAAATATATTCAAAAGCAGAAATTCAAGTATTTTAGACTTTTTTTTATAAATTCTACATCAAGAAAATGAAATCTCCTTGATGATAAAAAAATATGAATGATTTGAATCAACATTTTATGCCTTTCAAAATAACTTTTACAAAATATTTTCAAAGATGCTAATGGCTTTCCATAATTTTTAAGTCCAACTTAGAGATAAGCTCGACTTGAAACACCCCCAGGGCATCGCTTCAAGAAACCATCATAAGTAGAAGTTCTGCGACATCCCATTGAAATGCGTGCTAAATTTAATACCCGCAGTTCAATGGTTTGGCGGCTAACTTGCAAGACAGTGTACTCATGACGCTTTCGTGACACGGGTGGCGTTAGAAGGCACTCGTTTTTTTCCGAAGGTTCATGATTCCCAAAGTTCTTTATTCGGAAACACAAAATTTCCATATCAGCCCGGGGATTCCTAACTACTAAAATGAAATAGGGTTCCAAAAATGCATAGATTTATTGTCTTAATTCGAAGATTCGTTTATCAGAAGGTTAATCATTCCGCAAATGATAACTTTATTCCAAAAGCTCGTCATTCAAAATGCTACGATGTCGACATTGGCTATCATTCTTTCACCTCAATCATTTGGTTTGCATTGCTTGTCAAACTTCTTACTTATCTTAAAATTTAAAAACCTTGAGGTTCGATTTGCTATCGTCTATGAAACCAAGAGGTGGATTCTGATCGGAATAAACATGAATTTCCGAGAAAATAACTATTGTTAGGGAATCATATTTATAATACTTCTTTGATTTTATCATCTACTTTTACCATCTGTCAAATCAAATCTTCAACATGGAGAACAATCTAATGAGCTGTCCAACTTCATTCATTTTAATTTAAAGCCCTTACATATTGTATTCGGTTGTTTTCGAGATCAAACTAAAAAGAGATTTGGATCAGAAGCAAAAATTTAGAAATCAGTTTATATCACATCGCATCCTTCACGGCTTCCAAGAAATAACGTGTAATAGAAAGTCGCCATAATTTTTCTGATACAATAAAACTGTCTCTTTGTGTCTTCTCCGTTTTCTTAATAAAAGAGGTACAAGTCTCAAGATATCGGGCTTAGTGCTTGGATACCAGTGAGTGGGGATGAGCGGGTCTGGTTACGTAAGTAACGTCGTTAACCTGCGGACCCGCAAAGTTAATATCTTAATTAGATAACCCACAGCGACGACCATTCGCACCGGGTTCGATGTGGCGGTTTATTTCCATTTGGTCTAATGTATGGATTTGTCTTTGTTAGATCCATCTACTATCCGACATTTTCATTGTAATTTTTCCTCTAAATAATAAAGATTAGAAGTACAATCTCTCTCTCTCTCTCTCTCTCTCTCTCTCTCAAGTATTTTGTTGTTTTCGTTTGTGTTGGTGCATGTCAGTGCGTTGTGTCATTGAATGCAATCACACTATACCATAATTATGACATATTTCATTCAGGATCTCCGCATCGATTGTTAACATAAGTGAAATTGCGTGTAAGGCTTTTGATATTCTTGTACAAAAATTTAATGTAATGTCCGGTTGTGTAATGTTGGATGGTTATGTTTGTATTGTATTGCATTGTATCAATTCAAACATTTAGTAAAAACCAAAAATATATAAACATTCATGAGTATAAGCAACGAAATAGGAAGAAAAAACACCGTTAAAATAGTTAAGAAATGGTTTTTTTTTTCTTTCTCTCATGTTTGTATTGCTTTAAAATCTTTTCGTCATGTCTACGCTGCATTATGGAAGGAAATCGGTTAACTTCCACCAACACATGTGCGAATGAACAAAAGGGATCAGTAAAACAATTTAAGGCGACAGATCGTTGATATGGGCACTTTAAACTACTCGATGGCCTATCCGCTTTCCTTCGCTACTCAGGAAATACCTACGCTGGCCCGCTGTTATAGCCGCCTAAGCTCTCGGGGTCTTTGTTTGCTAGAGCCCCGATACACGAGCTCTTTAAGGGTTTCGGCAAACAATATGGTTCCCGCGGTTAATATATACAAGGATGAAGTACGGTGAACAAGCGAAACGTCATGATGACAATACTTTAGCTCTTCACTAAACCAATGTTTCTTCGAAAAAAGGGTCCACAGTGGGTTAGTGCACACGTTTTGACACTCTCTATTATAATGTTACATATTTCCTTTTCCTAACTTAATGCAATAAGATTTTGTGGTTCCTAAAAGCCTTTTTAGTAATGGGGAATTTGTGACGCCTAGGTGTTTAATGAAATGAGTAAAGTTTTTAACTTTACAAGGTAAAGAATGGGAGCTATCATTAACATCAAACATAATTACAGACACAAACACGAACACATAATGTATAAATTTACGACTCAGTGATCTTACCTCGCTTTTTAATCTGGCCCCTGAAAATCTGTGTGGATTAAACCGAAAAAAAAAAACGAATCGATTTAATACACAGGAATTAGTTTGGCAAATTTTACAAAGATTTTCGTAATTATGACTTCGTTTCCCCTAAAATGCATTGAGAACCCACCGAGGATGTATCACAGCTTTGTTAAAGAAAATTAGTTATCCTGAAGATGATATTGATCATGAACTGTAAGGTTTAAAGCTGTTTTCAGTTCTTAGCTGTAATAGATGAGGATCATTGTTTTTCACCTATTTCCTTCATTCTGAACTCTGTCAATAAAGTGAAGTTTTGATATCAGTGTGGTAATGTGACAATGTGAAAATGCTGTTTTTCTAGTTGAGGAATTACTACATAAACACGATAAAATATTCATCTACCATATTTTTTTGTTATTTTCTTCTTTTGCCAAAGAAAATTATTGACACAAAACATATACACTAACATGAAACTAACATGAGAGACAATAGTTGAAATTATCACTAGTCACGTGACGCGCTAATGACCAATGACTGGTAGAGAATCTTACTATTACTCACACATTGAATGAACTACACAATACATACCTTGTAAGTCCCTTGGTAGAGTAGACTGTATGATAATAAGCACTGGATTCTTTGATACCAATACCGTAGTAGTGATATCTGCAAGAAAATGATCAGAAAATGCCCCAAAATAACTAAATAGGAACAAAATCTACATAAAAAGACATTAATAATTCCACTCTGCGATAGAAAAAGTTAATTGATTTTGTGATGCCCATAAAGTTGGAATATTTCTCTTTACTTCTTTTAATGAAAAGATTGTAACAATATGATTGATTTTACAAAGATCAAGTTTATATTTTCTTAGAACTGAGAAGATAAAAGCTCTATCCGTAACGACTAAATCATATTGTCACAATCCTTTCATGGAAACAGGTTTAATAATGACAAATTATCATAAACGCTACGGGCAACTATGTATGTGTGAAACGTCAAACAGACATTTTTTCTTATGCTATTTCCAAGTAAACATCGTTCAGTGCAACGAATAATGTTAAAGATATATTTGTTCTATTCCTTTTTTTCAAAGTACAAAGTTACAATAGTAGTTTTAGATTTGATTCGCAATTAGACATTTTTCAAGTAAAGAAAATGCATTTCTACAGAGAGTGAATTCCTAAAGTGAATTATACAGACATATCTGCCCCCCCCTCAAAAAAAAATATATATATATGAAGAAAAAAAATATAGAACGGCGTTTCTGCCTGAACCTACAATACATGTACATGGATTTTTTTGTTTAACTCTGAATACGATTTTACTATTTGACCAGTGATTTAATTTTACGAATTGATTTTCATGTTAATTTTAGACTAATAAAATTGCCAATAATTATATGTGTCATTCAAGTGATTAGTCAGTTAAGGACAGAACCACTATGTCTTTATCGGTAGACAAACCAGGGTCGTCTTCTTTATCAGGTATCTCTTTGAAGTGACCGTCAATCGCTATGGTAAATACGGTCCGGGGAATATAAATTGTGTCCCAAAGCAGAGGCAATTGGTGATGGATATCTATTTTCTCTATCGTCCTCCGTCCAAAGTTGTAATTTTAATTCACGTAGCACAAGACTTTTTGATTTGATAAGATTAATTTATCTATTTTTCCACTCCATATATGAAATTGAAATAACATATATAAAGTTACTAAAAAATATTACAATATATAGGCATAATAGAACAAATGAATTATACAGGTTAGGTAACGAAGAGTGATAGGTATCTACGAATTAACAAAATAAGTTTACAGAAGTCATTTAAGTTTGACAATAAGAAAAAAATATGTTCGACTTCGATACAAAAAATTGCTGAATTGGGCTTTCCTCCAATTGTTAGCTATGTACATGTATTTATATTTCATTTTTATATATTTTCTTTGTATAATATTTTGTATCTGATTTTGGAAATAAAAACAACAAAACAACAACAACTTCATTATAAAATTGAAGTGAATTTTAGCCATCAAATGTGTTGGGCTCCCGACACATTAGAGAGGCTTGAACTTTAAACATGATGCCAATCTCAGCTTGTTTTTTTCTCGAAATAAGTTGAATTAATAAGTGGACAAGGTTTGTACAGTGACCAATATTTACAATGACATTAACATCCGAACCAAGGTTAATAAACATCGTAAACTTTGATAACAATGGAATTTACGAAACAACATCTGAGAGAACAAGAAATCTCTTAATGCGTGACGCTCATTACCTTGTATGATGTGATTTCTTGTATTTGTGTGCGAGTGCGTGTGTGTTGTGCGTGTGTGCATGCGGGTGTTTTGTTTGTATGTTTGTATTGTTTCGTTTCGTTTGTTGTGGTATTTGTTTTGTTTGTGCTGTTTTGTTACTACGTCGTTGTAATCATATGTATTTGAAGAGATGATAATAAAAGTCTTTAATTCAATGGCTGACCCACGTGCAACCTCCCCCTTCCAATATTTGTTTTCAATCTCAGTAGATGGTCCAGAGATCGTGCCACCGGCCAAGAAAAGGAAGGGGAAAGAGAAGAAGAATCATGAGTTGATGGCCTTTCTTCTTCTTCTTCTTCTTCTTCTTCTTCTTCTTCTCCTTCTTCTTCTATTTCCACTTCATCTGTTATTAGTAACTATCATAGCTTTTCCTATTTTATCAGGAATTTCTCCCTTCCTCCCTCCCACTCCCTGTCCCCCTGTCTACACCCTTCCCTCCCTCTCCCTTTGACTCTTTCGTCTCTCTTCCTCCCTCCGCCCCCCCCCTCTCTCTCTCTCTCTCTCCCTCTCTCTTCTTCTAGATCTCTCCCTCTTTTCTCTCTTTGGATAGAATTATATGAAACTATCATTAGCGATATATTAATGTAGTGTCTTACTTTGAATGGCCTCTCGTTCCAAGTCGTCTTGTAGTCAGATTTGGGAATTTCTGTCGAATTGTCTGGGGGAAAAAGATAGAAATGGAATATAATCAAACGGAAACGTGATGAGTTATGAATGCGCTTTTGATAATAATGCAATCAAGCAATATTGATCTTTAACTCTTATCTTCTCTCTCTCTCTCTCTCTCTCTCTCTCTCTATTCTTCTGTTTTTTTCTCTCTCGCTATCTCTATTTCCATTCTACCCCTCTCTTTCTCCCCCTATTCCCCCTCTCTCTCTATCTTTGTATATAACTTATTCGCTTCGTGTTCCGTTTGTCCGGGAAACTGATTTTAAAAATAATGTTATCTTCGCAATTTGTATCTCCAATGTTTTTGCTTAACAGAATGGGAAGATCCCTCGTTACGTTGGTTACAGAATACGTATTATTCACTGTTGTTCCAAACACATTGATAAAAGTGTAGTAGTTTGGAACGGTTCGCATGACGACAAAGTAAATTACATTCCACGATCAGTCAAGGTAAGACAACATGTCTGCATTCGTAGTCTTCGACGCAAACTCTTCGAAGTCGGCAAATCTTTATCGATACTCGAGTTAACTGTACTCAAACGAATGAATAAATATGCTTTGATTTACATGTATTTCTCCGTAGATTATGTAAAAACCGCGCAGGCAGGAATTTGTAAACGGTTGTGATTCAGCTTTTCTTTGTCAAAACGCATGTCAACACTGAAGGTGTTTTTTTAGCACATCGCTCAAAGAGTATTTCTCAATTAATATACATGTACTCGGAGAGAAAATAGATGTTGACAAGTTTTAACGCAATATGTGCGCTGCTCATTTTGCAATCATTAGTTAGTTATACGATCTCAACTCTCACATGGTGTTTAAAATACTGCGCCATTCGCTGACACAGTCCTACGTCACGCAAATCATGCCTCGTGTGCAACGGGTATGAGAGACATATTGGCGCTAACAAGTTACGTCAAAGAATAAAAGTTAGTCTCTTAGCAGATGAAATGCTGATGTCAATTTTGTTTCATTGTATGACAAATACATCTATAAAGCGGGTGATTGTATTGTGATTTTCCCAATCCTATTGCAAAGGGTTCCCGTGATAGACCTGTTTTTATCTATGTTTCAATGTTTTTTTTAAATATGTAAATCATGTGCAATTCGGCATGACTACCGCGAATTCGATTCTTCTGAATAACCATCAATCAATCAAACAAAACAAAAAATCAAGCAAACACGAAAAATCAATAAATCAGTGTTTCTCCCCATAATCCATGTTTATCTACTATTAGCTATTATGATCCAAATTCACCTGCTGTGCGTAATGGTACCTCCATTGATGAATTCCACTTTTTATACATAAGCATGCTGTTGCTGTGCCTGACAAGCCTATGGCAAAGCTTTATATTTTTCAAGAGAAGCTTTTGTTCAAGAAGCATGCATACAATTATCAAACAGGTCTATGTCCAGGGGGGGGGGGGCTACAAAGATCCTAATTCGACCTAAACATTATGGAGAGCCATTTGTAGCCTTAAAATAAAATATATTCAAGAGCAAAAGTTTAAGTATTTTAGACTTTTCATATATCACATCAAGAACATGAAATGACCTTGATAATAGAAAATATGAATGATTTGAGTCAACATTTTATGCCTTTTAAAATATCTTGTACAAATTTGTTTCATTAATGCTAACGGCTTTCCATAACTGCTAAGTCCAACTTAGAGTTAAATTTAGGATCTTTGTGGAAAAAACACCCTGGTCTACTTGTAAAGCACTGCTGGGTCTGAACGCAAGACTACGTGTAGTTTTTCATGACGCACAACACCACGCGAAAGGACACCATTATTACGTAACATCGGATATATACCTCGTCGATTTACTCCTAGGCCGTGAGATTTGTTTGTCCACCCCGCCATGAATAGATGATGGCGAGAAAACAGTGGACTTACAAGATCTAAACACTGATTAGTTCTCCTTATCAATGTCGGATACATGCAGACGCAAAGAGGATTTATCAATATCTAAATAGATGAATTACAAGTAAAACCACTGTAGTATAACGGTGAACCTACAAGGTATTTTATTATTGGACGAGGTTTGTTTAAGAATTTCTCAGACTTGTCGTCATTATTGGAAGGAATTCTTCCAATGCTCAAAGGATGACGCTGCTGTTTTGTCGCCAAAGGTAATCGCCCCAATCCTCACAACAAGAAAAACAAACAAACATCCGTAAACTAAGACAAAGCAAAGTAACTGAAATACAATTACATATGCATGTAGGATATGTGTGATACCCTGCGAGTGGATAGAATGTTGATTCTAACAATTGGATTCAATTTTGTATTATTGTTATGATTAACTTTTATCTATTAAAAACTGCTTTTGTTGATTAACGTAGGCCTACTCTGTTCACATTGATGTATATTTCGCATGTTTTGTAACTTGTAGGTTAATTTGTAATATTTTGTCTGATATATATCATTGTTTGTCGTTGTAATTTGTTAGCATAGCGCTCAAAGACTTCGGTGGAAAGCACTTCATAAGCACCGTTTTGTCATTATTATTATTATTATTATAGATTATCGTGTTTTTTTTGTGTGATTTTGTTTAACAAAATGATGACGTTGAACCTAATTAAATGATTGCTTGAGGGTAGACACGTGACTCCGCATTTCCAAATGTGTTACTAGTCATTAGAAAGTGCTACTGGCCGGTATTTAGCATTTACGAGATCCATGTATTCAGCTTTCTTATTCACATAGGCCTATACCAGTTTAAGATATTGCATTTTTTCGCAATGATGTCATTTTACAATTTGAATTTAAATATTTAAATACCATAATGAGCATTTCACTCATGCTTCCCGTCTCCCTTACCATGGCATCGGAAATGATATCGTTTCACAAACACTACATTGAAAATGTTCACGAAGACAAACTTTTAATGAATATGTTTTTAAAAGTTCTACTTCTAATTATCCAGGAGTAAGATAAAATGTAATCATTTTTTTTGTTTAAAGACCGTCAATACTACTGGGACAGAAGGGATTAGACCACACAGCGAGGTCACTGACAGGTGGCTATCTCATTAACTCAGCTCTCAACTAACATAAGAAAAAGAGGATCATGGGGGACCAACAGGCACCGATTGGGGAAGTTTTCTATATAGAGGGAGCAAGCAGATACAAGTAGGACAGTGTGGCTTTAAAGGTACTATGTCCCTTTTGCAGGCCAAACAAATGAAAAGGTTAAATTTCAATGGCATTTGAAAGATAATTCTAATTAAGAACCCCCTTTAAAAAATGGGGCTTGAAAATGTCTTTGAGTGGGGAAATAACGACTATTAGTTGTCAAATCGACTTAGGAGCTATAGAGCCAATAAGTAATAGTCTTGATTTTCAGACCATTGTACCGTATGGTCGTACGTTTTATGCTGCGCAAAGATTCAATTAATTTAATTTTGGCCATTACAAGAAGTGGGTTTTTGATGTAGACAAATCCTTTACAGCTCATTTTATGTATGTTATTACCAAAGAAGAACAAAAAGCCAGTCAGTCACTCAATACTGACAATAGTGTCTGACAATGAAGTCAAGCAAGTAAACGGGTTTCTTTACATAATTTGAATATTAGGACAATGCTAACGTTTACATTTCACAGATAGGACATACATGACATATTCATAATTCCTGCAAAGTTCTACAGAATTTGAGGTTGGCTGCAAAAGGGACATAGTATCTTTAAGTATAAGGAGAGTTGTCAAATGTAACGCAGTGGTGGATGCGAAGGGGTCGTAAAAACGCGGCTCTCTTTCTTCCTGATTTCCATGACAGAAGTATACATAAGGTTTTGCTTGTTCCTGTATTTTGAACCACTCCCACTCCATACCTTCAAGTTCAAGTTCAAGTTTTAATTGTTCCGCATTTTACAAAAAATATAGACATACATATAAAATAACAAATTATACAAGTCATGTAGTATAAATGGGCACGTCTCAATGATTCTCAATTCATATAATAGATTAAAGACCGTCACCACTACTGGGCAACAAGGGATTAGACCACACAGAGAGCCATCGAGGTCACTGTGACAGGTGGCTATCTCATTAACTCAGCTCTCATTTAACATAAGTAAAAGAGGATCATGGAGGACCAACAGGCACCGATTGGGGAAGTTTTCTATATAGAGGGAGCAAGTAGCTACAAGTATGGCAGTGTGCCTTTAAGTGAAAGGTGAGGAACCTGTATTGTTTATATCCTATAAAATACGGTTTGGAGTGCGTTGCTCTATTTTTCAGAAACTCAAATATTATACAAATATACTGTTTTTCGTGGGCTCCTTTGTTTCTTGAGTAAACTCCAAGAGTGAATAATTATCATTGTCAGTATATTTAATTAGAACAAATTTAACCTTCCCTTTGCCGTGAGTGCTAATATGCACAGTCACTCGTTTTCCAAGCGTGCCGATCGGCACAAAACTCATCTAAGCATCAGATCACTCATAAACTGTAGCTGTACATGTCAACCTTTTGAACACCTGTTATTTTTACACTGGAGACATGAAAATAATCTTGAATCCCTTAGTGTAACTATCCTACAGGAAACGCAGTTTGGCACAGGGACATCATTCGCATGACACATAAAGTTAACATGAGATTGTTACCTTGCCAAACGTAGCAGCGCATGCTGGGTCAAGAGTCTCCTTGCGGCAAAAGTCGAGGTAGTGTGAATAAAGAATACACCGTGGCAAGCATACTCCCTCACATATACAGTAATTCTCTTCCAACCTAAGGGGATGAAGTGAGTGAGGGATGGTGAGAGAGAGAGAGACAGAGAGAGAGAGAGAGAGATGTGGGGGATTGAGAGAGAGAGAAATAGGAATACCGTCAGCAGTGCGAATAACATTTGTAAAGAATTATAGATGAGAACATATTTTTATTAATCAATAAATATATAATATTATTCTCAAACGACCTCAAAATAGTAGTTTAGAACGATGTAACGCCCTCCCCCACCCCTCACCCCTCTCGCAGTAACCCAATCCTTACTAAACGTATACGAATCAAAGTAAGTTGTAATATGACTCAATCTGACGCCAGATAACATTACAATAACGCACGATGTTCATTATAGAGCTTTCATTGAAATAGTTTTTAAATTTCAGCTGTGATAGTTTTTTTTTATAGGATACATACACTGTTGCCCAAACAAAGTTGGAATACTTTTTTTTTCCTTACCTCTTTTCATGAAATGATTGTGACAAAATGGTTAATTCTTGATAGATAATGTTTCTGTCTTCTCGGAACTTTATTGGTCAATCTCTATGAATCTTTAAACTACTAAAATTCTGAAAAAAATGTCAATTCTACTCTTAAGAAAAATGATATTCTCACAATCATGTCATGAAAAAGGTGAATAATTATATCAACTCTTTTGGCAACAATGTAGACTAGCATAATACTGCTTATAAACTCACCATTGCAAAGTTAGTGCAGTTTGTTTCTTCTTGTCTTTGACCATTTGGGCTACGGTCTTTTTGCCAGTCGTTTTCTTGGTTTCATCTTTCTTAGTCTTGTGCATTTCATCTTCGTTTTGGTTGTCTACGTCTGTCTTCCTAATTCCATCGTCGACGGACCCGTTTTCGAGTTCTATTTCGTGCTCATCCTCCGAGGAAGACTCTGCCGTCTCACCTTCTGTGTAAAGATATAAGTTTCAAAGGGCAAAGAGTTTAGTCAGATCCAACTGTTTACTTACATATCCGAATTATATGTATACTGTTTGAAGAAAGGTTGTTCTTGTCTATCCGAAAGCTTGCCCGATGCATACCCGACCTAGCAACAGACAATGTATACTGAATGGATTGCGAGTATTGTAGTTTATTCAATAATGACAGGTGAATGGAATACCTAGTCACTAGGTCCCCAGGAAAGAAAAACATCCATCAATTCGTATGTTAGTAAACCGGTCTAATGATCACAATTATTGGCGAGAGAGAGAGAGAGAGAGAGAGAGAAGAGAGAGAGAGAGAGAGAGAGAGAGAGAGAAAGGGGGAGAAAGAGAGAAGGGAAATATAGACAGAAATAGTATTGAAATTTATGGCAAATATAGTAAGGAGGATGGAAAAAGAGATGAAGAGTGAGAGAGATGGAGAGGGAGGATGGAAAGGGAAAGTGTGCGCGCGCGTGTGCGTGTTAGAGATAAAGAGAGAGAGAGCGCGGGACTTTAATGTACAGGTGTAGTGGTCGACTGGATACGTCACCGGACTGTGGATCACAAGATCCGCGGTTCGAGTCCCGCCGACATTGATCTACATTTGCTACACTCAACCCAGGTGATGTAAATGGGTACCTTGCAGGAAATCATTCCTTGAAATGCTAGAGTGCCGTAATGGCAGCCGTGCAAAAGCCAGGGTAATAATCGGGAGCGCCAGGAGTGTCAAGTCTGACAGATATAAGTGCTATTAATACAAGAACCTATATTATTATAATATAGAACAAAATAAGATCTGAAAAAGACTTTCTTATCGAAAAAAAAAGTATTAAAAAAAACAAGATGAAAGTGTGCGAGGGGACCTAGGAAGGTGCGGATAGGAAAGAGGGGAGAGGGAAGGGAAAAGATCTGAAGTAGAAATGATGAAGAAAAAGAAGAATTTAAAAAAAGAGAGAGCGAGAAAGAAATAATAAAAAGAGAAAGAAGGAGAGATAGAAAAAAGAAAGATAGAGAGAGAGAGAAAGAGAAAGATGGGTGGGGCTGACATAGAGAGACAAGGAGGGGTAATTTTGTTGGTTTAAGGAGCTAAACGGGCTATAAAAGGGTCAAATATCACAATACCGACCTCGTGAAGATGTTTTCAAACTTTCTGGATGGTGACTCATCCTAGAATCTACAGTGAAATGTTGATAAAGCCCATTAGGCTTAGGTAACATGTTAGATAGCCTATACTGATCACACTCATTAAGCTAGAACAAAGACAGATGAACGCCTCGTAATTAAATCGGGAACACTAGCATATGGCCATGGGCTTCGGTGATCAGCGCTCACGACTTTAATTCTAACTCAAACATGCAAGGGTTGGCTGAGAATCAACTTTTTGTCCATTCTTAATTAAAATAATAATAATAAGAAGAAGAAGAAGAAGAATGATAATAATAATAACATCGCTTGTATAGAAGCCCTAAAGACAACAAAGTACCATAAGCGCTTTCAAAATTAGAGAATGTGAAGGAAAACCTAAAAGTACTCGTTCCTAGCCTCATAAAATAAGTATATCTCATTATGCCGAGAGAAAGATTATGTTCAAAGGGGATTTTTGAAAGAGGCAAGACAAGTTAATTCTCTCATTTAAAGTGGAATAATTCTTTCACAATTTCGAGGCCTCCACTGTAAAATGAATTGGTTTCGTTATAGTTTGGATTTGGGAATTAATTAATTTTTGTTTTAAATATATTTACCAACAGCAATACAGTAAAAGGATGTTTACATATACAAGAACATAAACTATTGGTTGGTAAAAGGGGCCCAATAAACGCACGTGTGCTAGTCGAACGTAACACATTACACAGCTAAAACAAAGTATTTTGATACAAACAAAGACTTTTTTTTGTTAGAAAACCAAAATGATGAATTTACTCTTACAATCGATAATTATTTGCAACATCAGTTTAATTTTTACATGTAGAATTCCAATCTATTTGTCTTCCAATCATATTAATGATAACATTTATCCTGAATTTATTTAGAATTACTAAACTATCTGAATTTTGCACCATCGTTTATTCTTGTTTATTTATTTGTTTAATCATTATCAATATTATCATAATTATTATTACTTTTTATACTTTACATTTTATTTATTAATTTATTTGTTCATTTGTTTAATTATCTATTGAATTAATAGTTTGTTATCATGTACATTATATTATAACCATCACAATTTAGTCTCTTTGGGCCACGAGAATGGAATCTAAGTAATGAACTCCCCCAATTAACGGAATCTCTTCAATTATTACAACTCCAATATTTATTATATAATTCGCCTTCTATCACTGAAGAGAAATATTTGTTTCTTTCGCATATTCAACATGTTCAAAGTCTGTGTAATATCGCTATACATTTTTAGTCTCTCAGACGAATTTGAAAATCTTTTAATCTATCATCAAGTAAGGGTTTGGGCGAAATATTTCACTTTTATCTTTTCACCTATATATCTGTTTGTTTTAATACGTTATCCTTTTACGGTTGTTAATGTAAATTCGAAACTTATCGGCTTCAATGTTGGATATTACTGAATTAACCTTATCAGAGCTCATGAGGAAAAAAATCTCATAATTTTTACATTTTTTATCTAGGATATGTGAAAATTTACATAAGCATCAGTTTTATATTTTAGAGCACATTAATTCACAACCATGTTATCCAATTTCATTCTATTTTGTTGAATCGAAACAGGTAACAAGAAAAAACGCATAGTCCTCGGCAGTCCTTTTTAATTTGTGTTATACATGTACGGTGATGTTAAATTATATATGATGCAAACCAAGTTTTACAATTTACCAATAATTAATCTTGCATTAGAAATGTCAGTTTCGGACGATTTAGTCTATAGAGAGGACGTTTGTATATTTAAACACGTATATGTCCAAGTTACTGTTCCGTACGTCACAAACCACATCTAAGATTTTAGTATATATATAGATGGTTGTAGTAAGCTAATACCCATGACAGAGCTTTTATCATACAAAATAAAACGGGAAATATGAAATGAAAATACATTTTGGTGTCAATATATAATGTTCACAACACCACATCGGACTTGCCCAAAAGATACGTTAGTCGAATTGTAGTTTTGTCTTAAAAGTCAAACGGAGAGACAATGTAAAATGAGCTCTTAACAAAATAAATATTATATGAAAGGTGAGAAAAGGGCTTGCTGCATGGCAAAATAAGCGCTATTGCACATGAATGCCGCCAATACTAGGCTAAATCGGCAAACTACCGTATCCCGAGTATTTTTGTAAAGTTTTCTCTGACAATGACAAAGACTTTGATGACAATTACAATGACAATGATGTGCATTTGTAAATTATACTTTTTTCTCATTTAAAACGCTTTATTTATTTGTAAGTAATCATTCGCAACCAGATGGCCGAATTTCAGATTCTTTTACAATCAGAATAAATAAAATGGATACATGAATGAATAATAATTCATCGATATCAGTGAAAATGCAACATTGTGAGTATATATAAGTGAGCTTATTTCATGATATAGATGCATGACGTGGGCCTAAGAGTCTCGATAGGCATAGCAATAGGTTCCAGCAAATATGGGAATTGTAAATAACAACAACAGTAATTCGTAGCAACTTTTATGAATCCACCCCACTGTGAGAAAGAAGATATTAAGGGAGATGAAGGGGGGGGGAGAGAGAGAGAGAGAGAGAGAGATTTAGGGGAGAGGAAATAAGGAACGGAAGATGACATGGGTGAAAGAGAGAGAAGGGGTCATTTTGATTGTTAAATTAACGGTCCTGGAAGAAATTAAGTTAACAAATTTAGATTTCTGCTCCTTTTGAAACATTATTTATCATATATTTTCTATTATACAAGTGTCGAGAAAAAAAATCAGTTATTTTAAACATGTTAAAGAGTGCATTCCACGTTCCCCTTTCCGAATTGGGAGGGCCCCATGCACCCCACCCATTTTTAAATGTTATCGATACACCACTGCATGAAAGAGGAGTGGTGTAATTAGTATGATTATGAGTTATGCTAACGATAAGAGAAATTATAGAAGGAAAGAGAATAACAACATATAATGATAACAAACAAAAAAACTTCTGTTGCATTTTGATGAAAATCTTTTTTCCGACTTAATAGGGGCAGAAATAGCAAATGGTAATAAGTGCACAATGTGCGAATGAGATTGAAGACCATTCTAATCAAAGGAAAAGATACTTAAAAATGACGTTTTGAAGAATAATATTTGTTATGAAAGGCTTACCGCTCATGTTGCTTTGGAAGAGCGTTTTCTTCGCGGGATGTTCACCGTCGACAACCAACTTGATCACGCTCATCGACCGCTTACTCGCCATCCTAGCTAGCCCGTTAATCTCCCGTTGGATTCTCGCACCGTTCCGCTAAACTTCCCTACCAGCTCCTATAACTCCTCCTTCGTGGGCGTCCTTGGTCGTGTTTGAAGCCTCGAGTACCGGGGGACTGTCGGGGAGGGAAAGACAAACAGGGTGGTAGTCAATGATTAGCTATAATTGCTCCAAAGGCCCTTAATGTGAAGACTCATACACGGGTATTGACACAGTAGTTCATGTAACAGAACAGTTTATCATATACAACCGTCTCTCTCTGTCGAATGTTGAATGTCACAGAGACCTTCGCATTTTTGTTTGACACCTTGGCTACATGCAATTATATTACATTGTTATTTATGTTATTTGTCGTTATTTGTTTATGTTATGTTAATGTATTGTTATATTTTATACAAATGTGAGTCTTGAGATGATTTATATGCCTTCTTTTTATTTGCGCATGACAATAAATAAATTCAATTCAATTCAATGTATGACTAGTATTTGTTTGTAGGTGTAATTGCTAATTTTAGCATCAGAATATCGTTTTACATCAAATAATAAGAATTTCATTTTAAAAATCAAAGAAAAGGACAGTGAAGTCTGTTTTGAGTGCAATACCGGATTGCGCAACAGGCGGAGTTTGCAATGTTCAGGAAACAAGGATAAGTCTGATAGAAAAAATAACAAACCAAAGAAAATGACTGACAATAGGGAAAAAGGGACAGGGATGGAGGGGAAAAGGAGGAGATATAAAGACAAGCAGGCGGGTAGGAAGAATATTGGGAATACACGACATTTTACTATTTTATTTCTAAAAGACTAAATGCTTATCCTCATAGTTTTAGTAACTGTTGCGCCCCTTTTTGTTTAGGTTTGGAAGCACCCTGGGTTTGAATAAAATTTGTCTTTACTTGAAAAAGGCTGAAAGGCGAAATTAGTATATTTTGTATCACCTAAAAGGTTGTTTATTAATTCTTCTTCTCTTGTCTATTTTTCGTCAACAACAACATGGCAATATATGGAAATATATATTTATATACGCAGTAATTAAAATATCCACCTGCAAGTTGAAATGGGGTCAGCCGACCCCACGTCGACCGACCCTGAGTTGACTTCTGAATTTAGAAAAAAATCAGACAAAATAGAAGTAGTTTTGAATATGTAAATATTTTAAAAACCACACAGCAATATAATTTGGAGTAGGCTTCTGTATTTCGTATTTATACAGTCATATTTTCAGTGTCATTCATCTAACTTATATTTGTTTCAAATCATTTTTATGACTATAATATTGTTACTTTTACCATTGTGAGAGATTATTAACCATTATTGAACGTTTAATTCAATGTTTGAATAAAAATTACTGCTCTTGATGGCGGCTGTTCACATGTATTACAGGATGAGCAGTTCATAAAACCCATTTCATTTTATTTTATTTTATTCGGGCGTTGTCTCACGTGTAACCTTGCACCACCATTGCCCCCATCCCCCCCCCCCCCTCCACAAAAAACCTCATACAGGGAAAGCCAACTTGTAAGAGGGTATTTCAATTGCTGCATTTATATGTATGATTTATGTTTATTTATTTATTTATTTCTGATATTTAAACAGGGTGGCACATAATCACCAATTTGGTGGTCCCACATGAGGCTCTGTTTGGTAAGAATAAAATAAGTAATAGCAGGAAAAACAAAATTCATTAATTCATAAACATGTAAACAGGTAATATACAAATTAATTGATATCCTTCCGCTCATTTTCAACATTAGAGTTAACTTTCTTTTGGGGCACCCTGTACCTAACTTCAATTCATCTCAACAATATGCTTCAATCGCCACCATGTGTCATGCAATTGGCCATTAATCATTAGTTGGTCTGCCACCGACAATGCATGCCATCACTTTGGAACATGAGCTCTTTTCATAATGTGTACAATGTACAATTGTCATTGTGATCGAGCGATTCGTCATTTCTTCAAGCGTTTTTAGAAATTAAACCCCCAAAATGTTCATCGTGGGTCGACAAGGTAGTTTTACTTGTAACAAAACGTAATGGAGATATATATATAAATATAAATAAACTGCTGGTCAAAAGTTTTGTTACATCCTTTATTTTGAGATCTCTTTTTAATTTTTGGTTACTGACTTTTGAATATCCCATTTTCGTAATTTATCAAAATGTATGCATATGCCTTTGTAAAACACCTCGATACGAATTATTGTATTCACCTGTTATGAATTAATGTATCTCAATAGTCAGAACTGAAATTGCATACAAGTCATTAGCTTGGTAGAACAAATGTTATTGCTTGCCCTACCTACCAACATGAAATTATGCATTTTGCTTTCTAATTGTTCTAAATTATATTGAAACACTAGCCATTTTAAATTTTCAAATCAAACATATTTTATAAATAAAATGAACACAACATTTGTCAAATCTTATAACTGTTAATATGTCTTCTTCTTATTCTCCTCCTCCCCTTCTTCGTCTTCTTCTTATTATTTTTCTTTGTCATTTTCTTCTTCTTCTTCACCTTTTTCTTCTCATCCTCTTCCTTCTCTCTCCTCCTCCTCATTCTTCTTCTTCTTTTTCTTTTTCGCTTTTGTGTTCTGTTTCTTCTTCTCTTCCTTCTTATTGTTTTTCTTTTCCCCCTGTCCTCGTCCGCCGTTAGGTGTCGGTGATGATTTCTTCTCTGTTTTTCAATTCAATAACTTAAAAGTGGGCGAATGGCACAAGTATACTGACATGACTGAGAAACAGAACATGATACCATTCTCTTTTCAGTCATATAGGCTATATATATATACACGTAGGTCTGTCGAATCCATTTCGTTATTTTTTCCTCTCAAACCAATTTTGTTTGCTTTCTGAATCAAGTATTCTCCAAATCAAACAAATCAGTGTACATATCTTCTCATAATGTCAACACTCGAATTAATATGATTGAGTGGTGTCGGGTCAAAATTGATGGAAATTTATGTACCAATTCAGATGCCCTTCAGGCTTCACGGGAGATACACACTCCTGTATATACAGTGTGTTATTCTAAAAAGGATACTCGAATTCTCCCAACAATTACTGGAAATTTGATTTCGTCCTGATTAATTGTTATTAGTCATGTCAAAGTACAATTCATCCTCTTTCATATGTTGTGATATTGTCATACATGAAAGAATTTGAACGGTTTTATTTTAAAGTGAATGATGTCAAAAGTATGTGTAGTTAACACAGAGAAATAATGCGTAATGTATGTCCATTTTAGTATATTTGCAAACGAGCGAAACAAAATACCGAGACACAAAGCAAAGCTGAGTGATATTTCTTGATTTGTTTTAATATTCATACTCTTTCAAAATTTTAGTAACCTTTAATAAGACATGAGTCCATATGGCCCGAATGGACAGAAAAATCTGATTTAAGAACAGAATGGAAATGAATGTGGGGAGAGATTCAATGAATGGCCATTCATTGTGTTGATGCATAGATCCATCTCTCGTGGGCGAATCAATTTTTATATTACTGGTTTAAAATGATTTTAATTCGATCTCAGGCTTTACCATCACAATATAATATGATTTGAAAGGGCATAAAATCTCCTTGTTAGGATACATTATAATACTTACATTTTCATATAATTTATGTGTATTTGACGAGATGTTGCAGGAGGATTGTTTGTTCCCTTTTTGTTTAGAGGAAAGACATTGTATAATTTATATACATTAGTTGGGAGTTAGGAATATGATGAATGCTCACGTTAACTTGTGTATGATCTTCCATTGTAAATAATTATTTTAAAAATTCATAGAAAACTAAGGTGCAGGATATAGTTTTTTTTTTGTGGGGTTTTCAGAAATATTTCTAAACACATCATGCATTTCAAGAGATTATCTGACAAGCGTTTAATTCAAGCCAAATCGCACGAATTGTCCTCTTTATAATATGCCCAACTGGCCCCTTTATATTGTGTATTATTAAAATAATGGAAAGTAAAGTTCTTAAGTGACACAGAAATTAGGAATGTTCATTTCATGACATTTTAAAAACAAGCGGCATCGGCGCTCGTAAGGGTGAATAACGGGGATAGTGAATACATGACATACAAATATCTCTTCTTTTCCTTTTATAGAAATAGTCCCCTTACTTCTAATTAAAACTAGATAATTCTGAAATTTCGATGATTTATACATGAGTTCATTAACTCTCTAGGCAATTATACAAATAACTTTGAATTACACTAACGTGGTTTTTCTTTTAATATGCTGGATCTGTGTTTACTTCAAAACAAATAACTGTTCATCTGAGTTATCGTTACTGCCGGGACTTTTAAGAATGAATCAATAATTAAGAAATTTTGTTTTATTGCAAGGGGGATGAGTTTATTTGGAGGATGCGATTATTAACAATGTACAACAAATTAAAGTATTTAACATTACTTACCTCACTCAGAAACTTGCATCTATTATGTAGGTGCTGAGCATGTCCACTTTAACGATAGGGTACGGAAAAATACCCGATTAACAGAATAAGAGAGTCAGATTATACCTTGGTAGAATGGTTTTACACCAGTCGCCAAAGTTACGATCCGTTTTTGAAATCACGTATAGATAGAAAATGCGTGTTGATCTCGAATGCAATCTTTTTCAAAATCCTGCTTTTGGGGATCGTGCCACGAATTGATATCTTTTTACGCGAGACAAACTCAGGCGTCTTGCTATTAAGGCCATGCTCATATAAATTAACTATTCTAAATGCGGTCCAGTTATCAGAAGTTGTATTTACACAGCGGCAACCTCTTACGATATTACTACATCAATTATGGCGTCTGTTTGTTTGAGGCTTTAAATAGTCGTACGCATGCGCAGTAATGGCTCAGAAATGGACAAAATATATTATCACTGGATTTATGCAAAGCATCACTATGAAAATCATAACAATGAAGTAGCGGTATAGTAGCAGGAGGAGGAGGAGGAGGAATGGAAGGAGGAGGGCTATATTGCTAGTTTAAAAGAGTTTTAGTTCGATGATCTCAGGTTTTTTTCAGCAGAATTATATTTTTCTTCGAAATAACGCCATTGTATCCATTGTATATTATGAGGTCTAAGGGCCAAGTCATGGCAGGGACAATTGCAGAAATGCATCGAGCATTCATCGGAAGTCCTCCTACCATTTGTAGTCTCCTGTCTCTTATCACGGTCCATGCTCTTATGTACATAGTTGCGACTGATAAAAATCAATTTCTACTCTGTATAAGACGCGGGGCCCTGATCTCACATGTAACCTTATCTTTATGAGATAAAAAATGCATGACATTGCATTACATGCCTATTTTCCCCACTATTAAAAAAAAAAATCATTCTTTCATTTTCGGTAGCATAGGTACGGGGGCATGGCGGGGGCGGTGGGCACACACCCTTACCCATGTTGACGAAAACAGGGAAAGGCAAAATAGAGGGATAAGGGGACTTGAATTCAGATGAAAGGACCCTTCTCACACCCTCTACTCCCTAACGATATACCTTGTTTCTTTGTATTTCATCCACCAAGTGAGACTGGTGCATCTTTCCTTCAAAAAAGGGGGGGAGGGCCCTTCAATGGCTTGGCCAACATCCGTCATGTCTGAGCTTGACTCGATTTACTCGTCTAAAGACACATTCATTCAAAATTGCTTTTGATGATTACCTGTGTTCACATTGATGTGCGTTTTATATGTATTGTAGTTTGTAGGTTTATTTACAATTTTTTTGTTTTGTTTATCAGTCTATTCTGTTTGTTATAGCGCTTAGAGACTTTGGTGGTAAGCGCTTTATAAGTAACGTTTTTATTATTATTATTATTATTATTATCATAATGATGAAGCTAAACCTGAAACTCATTTATATGATGCGTGCATGCACTTCAATTCTCTTCTCTCATTCTAATCATACATAAAAGGGTGATGTTTGATATCACGTGTATGAAGAAATATAATTCTACTGGAAAACGGAATAACATTTTTCTTCCTCCAGTTTTCAACAAATCAATCATACAATTTATTATTTAGCAAATGATTTCCTCTTTTCCTTGACGGAAAAAAATGGGTATTTATCCACCTCTCTCTCTCTCTCTCTCTCTCTATCTCTATCTCTCTCTCTCTCTCCCTCTATCTCTCTATCTCTCTCTCTCTCTCTATCTCTCTCCATCTATATCTCTCTCTCTCTATCTCTATCTCTCTCTCTCTCTCTCTCTCCCTCTATCTCTCTCTCTCTCTCTCTCTCTATCTCGCTCTATCTCTCTCTCTCTATCTCTCTTTTTTTACGAGTTTATTGCTTACACTTTATTCAGATATGAGATTTGACAATATGAATAGTAATAATATATGACCAATGATAATAAAAAGTACCCCAAAAAGGAATTTAATATCGTAATTCAAATCGAAGATGACATACATATTTTTAAAGCAACATCTATGAAAAGCTCAGTAGACAAGAATTGTTAGATAAATATTAAATAAATGAGTTTTACCCCCCAAAATATAATAATATAGTAAGATAAGAAACTGAATATCTTTCCTAATGGAAGTACTGTAAGAAATGTAAATAAAATGCAAGCTACGTTCTAGTTGTAATTGAAAGTATCTCTGAAAAGGCTAGGATATAATACATGAATAGCTAGTTTACCCCTCCACAAGAAAAACAAAATATATATATATAATAACACTAATAACAATAGTTAGGACCTGCTGCTACTAAGATGCTCAAGACTATTACATCTACAAAGTGCAATGATTAAGTCAAGGAAAATATATATTGATAAAAACATGGTATTTTTCTTTGAAAAGGAGGTCAAATGGTCGAAGTTCGGCAAGTCAATTTACATGAAATTAAATAACTTTTAATCTTGTTATGGCAATTAAAAGGACCATTTAAAGATAGTTTAGCTGTGAACGTAAAAAATAGCTGGAATTACTGTAGTTTGCATCACTATAGTGATACTAGTGCTCATATTTCAGGATCGTCAGGTCAAAGGTCAAAGGTCGTAAAGATCGATTGACATGTACGTATATATTTGTTTTGCTCTCCGTTATATTCCAATAACTATTCAAGCCATGAACTTAACCCGAGTTAAGCGGAGGCAAATTGAAGACGCAGTCGCATTTGTCTCATGTGTATACTGCGTGTTGCACTTAATTGTTTGTCATTTTAAAGTCATTATTTCACAAACATAATTTGCAACGATTAAATTAGTGAATTAAACTGTTTGTTTAGACAGTGTGTATCAAAGAAACGCACAGTATCAAATATGTAGTATGTCGAAATTAAAATTCTTTTCGATCACTGATTTTTGTTGTTGAGAAATGTAACATAAATATTCCGGTTTACATAAGCATCTTCTAAGCATCTTATCTAGAAATGTGTCATATATTTTACAATTCAAATACATAAATACAATAAAAGTTTTATAGTGGAATAAGAATGCACTTTAATTACTGCGATTATAACATTGTCAAGTAAGATAGTGATATATACAATAAAAATTGGTTCCCAATAAAAATATTAAAAAACAACAGAAAAGGGATGCAGCCATTTGGGGGGATGTTTAGAAAGTATTAATAGTATAAATAGAATTATCTTAAATAGTTTACAAATATGAAATAAGAGGATGCAGCCATATTTGAACAAGAGAAGTGAGTGAATTTGGGCAAATGCTTAGAAAATATTAATAGTATAAAAGGTAAACACCTCAAATAATATACAAATATGAAATAATAATAGGATGCAGCCATATTTTGGCAACAGAAGTGAATTTGGACAAATTTTTGGAAATTATTAATAATGTAAATATAAGTCTGTGAATATTGATGTGCATCCCCTCTTTCTTTTCTCTTCTTTTTCTGTCTTTTCCCCCTTTTACCAATATTTTGTTCCTCCATATTTGTATTATTATGTATCCTTTGAGGGTAGTCATACTATCAAGCTTTGCTTATTTTGTCAACCCTCCTGTTTGATGTTCTCGCTTAGTTACACACAACCTTACTTTATTCTACATATATTCTTTTGTCATGTGTGAATTTGCAATATTTGTTTGTTATATATTTGTAAAAATGCAAAAGAAAAAGAAAATCAAACAGAAATAAATAAATCAAATTAAAAAAAATCAAATCAAAACACATCAAATAATATATAGATATGAAATAATAGGATGTAGCCATATTTTGGCAACCGAAGTGAATTTGGACAAATTTTTGGAAATTATTAATAATGTAAATGGAAAACACATCAAATAATATACAAATATGAAATAAGAGGATGCAGCCATATTTGGGCAAGAGAAGTAGATGTGAAAAATGTTTTCACAACCATTTTGAATTTTCCTAACCATTTTTCCATGAAAATAAGACATAAGACAGGCTTCTAACAATCTTTCAACACTTAAATGTCTAAAATGGTATATATATAGCATATGTATTGCTTTGTGACACTTTACAATCACCTAACATGTAATTAAATAGTAATATTATAGTTGGGAGAATTAAGGAATCGATCAGATCAATTTTTTAAATGTTTATCATTAATAATGGTATGTTTTCACTCAAACTTTCAGATTATCTTAACTTGTACATCTTGCATTGAAGTCACTACCTTAACACCATTTTCTCTCATCTGAACAATTTTACCAAGTTCCTTTCAGAAAATGTTTAGACACACATCTACCATAAATTTAATTTTTGCAAATATGTTTTCATACAACCCCTGTCTATTACGTCATCAATAACTACAGAAAGTGAAACTTTCTGTTTGGAGCAATTTGGAGAGGAGCTCGCAAGATACGTCACAGTGTTGCCAATTTGTGTTTCCCTTAAATTAGAATGACATATTGCTCAAACTATCACTACTTTGTTTCACTATTGTTTCTTCGTCAATTAGTAACGAGGATGAAAACGGAACGGTCTTCGTCGAGACCTATGATAAGCATGATATTGGAAATGGAGGGCGTTTCACAAAACTTGTCATTAGTGACAAGAGAAAGTTTTTGTTATAAGCTACTGAAATCCTTGCTTCTGATTGGTTATCAGCATATTTGTCACTGATTTTTTTTTCATTTGTCATTGAAAAAAAGGCTTTGTGAAACATCCCCCTGATGTCGATAGCGATGTTGGTTATTAGAGAGCGATGCTGATGGCGTCTTCGTAGAGGGCGATGTTGGTTATTAGAGAGCAATGCTGATGACGATTTCGTAGAGGGCGATGTTGGTTAATTAGAGAGCGATGCTGATGGCGTCCTCGTAGAGGGCGATGATGAGGATGAGGAGGATCCCGAGCAGAAAGCCAAAGTTCTGAAGGCAGAAGATGATTCCTTTTCTCTCTCCTTTGTAGGCATGGAGAAGAGGAAGCTGGAAACGAAATAAAATAAAAAATATTATATTAATAATAATAATAATTATAATTATAATAACGATAACAATAACGATAACAATAACGATAACAATAATAATCATAATGAAAATAATGATAGTCATCGTTGGTTCTTGTATAGCGCTTATAATGTCTGTCAGACTTCGAGGAGAATGAAATCCCCAAACTATTAGCCCACTATCTTATTCAAAATCATCAGCCATCAATAAACAAATCTTGAAATCGAATTTTTGCTGAACTTACCATGTGCACTAGTCCAACGTAGAGGAACGTGCCGGCAGTAGCAGCGAAAATCCATTCCCGCGCGTTCTGCGTCTGCGCAAGAGGGATCCCGACCCACAGACCGACGAAACACGTGCATGCGGACAAGAGATTCCAAAACACCGCTGTGGACAAGCGCATGCCCTGGTTGAGGAGAACAGCTAAGTCACCTGCAAAGAACAAGGAATTATAGAGAATGCAACGAAAATAAGCATAGGAAGAAATTAAATCCCTATATATTCCACACAAATAATCTCTCTGTGCTTCATTGTACCGTGAAACATGCCTATAAAGACCACCCAAGGGAGACAAGAAAAGTGG